ATTTAGATTACTTAATATCCACAACATTATGGGTAACGAGGAATTACTTAACATACTCCTGACCAATTCCATAAGAGTACGATTACGCCTTACAGCTACACGCTTCTACTGTGGCATATATAACAAAGTATATTGAACACAAATGGCATACATTTCAAGGAGTTTAACAAACGGTTAGAGTATTAACCTGTTTTATCATACTTTACATAATATTCACCACCTCTATATGACCTTATGATTTTCACTTTCTATCTAGTTGTTTTTCAACCTCATTTATGTATACTTCAAGAGTACCCACTGCTTGAGATTTTTCATACAACAAATAGATATATCCATATCGTGAAAAATTAACTATAAAGGCGATAAAATACTTTTCTCCTCCAAAAGATGGAACATCAGAAGGTCTACAAATAATTTCAAGAAGCTATGTACTTATTGTGGCTCATTTCTTTGTGCGTTTAGTTTGTCTACCCTTAATACAATCTACACACACATCAAAATCAGTAAAGTTTAGATTCAGAAGAATCACATCCTTTACTAATTTTCCTAACCTTTCACTAGATATTGACTTAGTCTTTTATGCCAAAGATAAATTTTCTATTAATTGAGCTACGCTTAATTCTAAAATTATGATACAAGATTAAAAGGATTTTAATAAATAAACCATCAAATTTGAATTTACAGAAATCATCAACAATAATGCCATAACTCACAAATTATAATTTCTTAAATAAATATCATTACCAAATTTAAATGAAAAACCATTAACATAAAGTTTTTGAAATAAAATCAAATTATGGGAAATTGAATAAACATAAAAATTTTAAAATAATTTAAATAAAATCCATTGTCTAACATTAAACATAGTGTCACAATGGTTTTAACAAAACTTTTTCCTCATTATCATAAATAAGAAATTCTTATTTGAATTTGTGGTTTAGGCCATAAAAAATTCTTGCATCTATTAGAAACATAAATATTAGTACTTAAGTCAACCTATCATGTATTAAAAAGAATTTCAACAAGTAATTCGCAATATACAAAAACCAAAAGCGTACTTTTCTTTTTCGAATCATTCTTTATATGTCGTGTAATCTTTCTAAAAGTGTTCAATACATTAATGACATTTTTTCATTATTACATTACTTTCTTTTAGTAGATTGACCTAAATCTTTTAATTTTGGGTGTTGCTCACTTATTGCCTTTTCTGACTTATTCCCAAATTTCTTTCTAACTTCTTGAATCGTCAGATGAACATAATGATTACCTTGCTACTTAAGTTTTGTCTCCTCATAAATTAACATAATGGTCAATTAAATCACTTTCCACTTGTCTTAATAGTGTTAATTCGAAATGACCCATACTAAATAGACAAGAAATTGAGAATAAATTGAATAAGAAAATTCCCATTCACAATCATCCATAAGGTTCTCAATTTTGCAGCAACATTAGTCATCTAAAAATACGATCATACATGGTACGAGTACAACAAAAAATCCATAGTAGTTATATCAATTAATAATTTTCGTTTTAGATATTTATCTACAACACGAAAACATTCTTATAATCAAATATTCCTTAGCACTATCACTATGAGGAACAATTATTCGCATAACCATAATGCTTAATCTGTTCGATCTCTCCCAAGCTTTATGGAGAATCTTTTCTTCCTCACTGTTTTTATCAGTAATAACAGTAAGTTTCTCAATTTAAAATGTTAAATTAAGATTTAATATATTTAAATTTTGAACTCAACTTACTCATTTCATTATGAGAAGTTAGTCATATTGAGAATCAGAACAGATGTAGCATGCGCATTAAGGGATGTAATAAAACAAATATAATAAGATAAAATCTTAACAACAATAATGCTTTGAGTTAACAACACGTATGTATAACTTAAAAATATAAATACAATGTATAACTATAGTACCCCTTTGGGTGGCAACTATAAAATACTAATAATGATGCTTATATGTATTTATACGTATACCTTTATTGGTGATGCATTATTTAATTAAACAAATAAGTTACCTTTGGATATCCTATATTTACCTAATAAAAAAAAAATACATAGACCCTTTAATTTTTATTTAATCACTTGAAAATCAATTCCCTTTGAGGAATTATTTCTCATAATTAAATAAAATCAATATTCATAAATATCACAAAAAATTATAAGCATCATAATTCATGAAATATTGCAATTATGTTTACTACTAAAATTAATATTCATCAACTATTATGGTTAGGCCACTTTGGTAGCTACCAACCTTTACATAATATGAATATTAAATTAGATAGTAATTAATTTATGATTAATTATGTCTATTACAAAAATTAATATTCACCAATCATTATGATTGGGCCACTTTAGTAGCTATCAATCTTCACATAATATGAATATTAAATTAGACAGTAATTAATTCATCATTAAGTTATATTTACTACTAAAATCAATATTCATCGATTATTATGGTTAGGCCACTTTGGTAGCTACTAACCCACACATAATATGAATATTAAATTAAGTAGTAATTAATTAATTATTAATTTACCCATTTAACATTATACACACATACTCATAATTATCAATTAAAGTTTAAGCAACTTCGATCTCAAAAACTTAATAGTCCGAAATTTCATAGAAAATATCTTTTTATTTTATATACATAATAAAATATATTATTTTATTTTCGGACTTAAAGATCATAATTGAATCAATTTAAAATTGATTCTACAATATGTATGTATGTTTAGGTACGAAACAACAAGTTATTTGCATGTCTAATTTATTAGATTAAATTTCTAAACTCACAAATTATTCTAGAAATTCAAATTCCTAAAATAAATAAATCAATACATATATTTTATATATTCAATAACTTTAATTTTAATTTATTTTAAATTAAAATCAGAATCTTCAAATCATTGGACAAATACTTATAACAATAATTTAAACCTCTTTAATAAAATAAATAAATACACAAACTTTATGTATTTATTAATTTTTAAATAATAATAATAATGAGTTTTTGTAATCCTTTCACAACTGACTGTTTCTATAAAACAATAGCAAGACAAATGCTATTATTATTATTATTATTATTATTATTATTTTAATTCAATGTTCTTTATTAGTCATGCACGAAAATTAGTAACCTAAAGCATTGAAGTTGTTTGTCTTACACACATTATGCATACATTTGTACTATTACACATATGTAAACTATGTATCAGTAATCAACTTTCATAATTCAATTTTGGCTCGGAAATTGAGGTACCCAAACCCAAAAACCACACGGACTGATCTAAACATACGATTCTAAAATAATGGATTATACAATCATTTAATTTTAAACTTATACATATTATTTATGCAACTTTAATGAAAAATAATGAGTTCCTAAACCGTTAGCTCTGATACCACATGTAAACTATAATTATTCGTGTTAAACCATTCATCACAAATAAACATGAATCCCATAATCTTAGAACTTCATGATTTTCACATATCTATAATGCATAAATAAATAGTTAGATATAAATACCTCGATTCATGATGTCAAACCTTGTTGAGATTAAATCCAACTTCTAGATCCTTTAACCACGAACTAATCTGCAACTCTGATCAACAGACAAAGGTGGAAACTGGTTTCTCTCTCTTGGCCTTTTGTACACATAAAACTTTTACGTGTTGTATCATTAATTGTACATAATTGATGGAGTATATGCACTTTTATAAAGGCAGAGAGAGGACTAGTTTTCCTTATAGTAACATAATTATACTTTCCATTAAAGTAAGGAATAAGAAAGGAAAACACTTCTCCAATAAGTAATTACCAAAAAGGTAATTATAAGTTGACCAAAAATAAATAATATTAATTAATATCTATTTACTTACCCACCAAGTAATATGTCACATGTCCAAATCATGTGGGCCACAATTAAATAAATAATCTTATATGTTACTGTTAACTTTTTCAAATCCGGGACATTTTTGAAAAAATAAAAGAGCAAAATAAATATTATAGCACTAATTTATGTCAGATCTCATAAAATTTAATAAAATAGTAAAACGGATATTATAACACTAATTTATGTCAGGTCTTATAAAATTTATTAACCTATGGCACATGCAAGAATTGAGAAAAAAAAAATGTTACTTTCCTTTTTATCACCAAAAGTTGTAACTTATTATTTGGTTCGAAGTGAAAGATTAAAGGTTAAATAATTTGCTATAGCCAAACTCAATTATTGAGCTCAAACTTTAGGTCAAAATTAATAAAGAGCAATTCAATTATAAAACATATAAATTCTATTAAATGAATAATATTCACTAGTTTTGTCTGTTTTAATTCATGAATTTCGACCAATGAACATTTTTTCACGAGCTCTCATCCTTTCTGAAGTTTCGATGAAAAAAGATTCTTCTAACAACACAACTTAGTCAACTCCACATGTTAGAACAGCTTCCATTGAGTCTCTGCACCTATCCCTTTTTTGATTTTCGCTTTCCGAACCTTCGTTTGTTTTTGGAAAACAGGATTTGGCTCAGGATTGCCCATTTTTATTAATTCCAGGGTTTCTAGGAACGAAGCCATGAATTATTCAGTTTAACAAAGGAATGCCAATAGTTCCAATTTGTTTGCAACCCTAGTGAAGATTTTTTAAATTTTTTTATTTATTTAAAATATTCAGAAAATTAGGAAATAAATAGAAAGTGAAACATATTTCAATTAAAACTTCTAAACCTGCATTACCATCTGTATAACATAACTTTAGCATCTTCTCTCACTCATCCTTTTCTTTGTTAAAAGGAGATCGACATGATGGACTAAGCAAAGAAACCAAACAAGTCAGGCAACAGTTTTTCTAAAAAGATAGAATCTCAGTATACAACTCCTAAAAGCCATTCCTTTCTTTCTTCTATTCACAAACCCATACATATAAAACCTTCCATCATTTTCTTTCCTTTTCCACCTTAAATCAATCTCCAAAAACCCACTCAAATTCCAACCTCCATAGCCATGTCTCTGATCAATCGCCCTCGGGTTAGGGTCAATGGAGTCCAGAGAATGAGAACTCACCATTACTATTGGTGTAGGCAATGCCAAAGAACTGTCAGGATAGCCTCAACCAACCCATCTCAAACTTTGTGTCCCCATTGTTTAGGCCTACTCGGCTCTGAACTCGACATGTCAAGGCCAATGCTCTTGAGTGGCCTCGAACTATCCCCTGCATCGCGGTTACTTGATGCCATGGCTGCAATGTTTGATCCCCCCTCAGCAACAAGCCAAACTAGTGATGAAAACTGGCGTGCTCGCGAAGCTTGGATAGTCCTCCATTTGGCACGCCCTATTCGTCCCCCAGGAGCCCTCTCTCCACCTGAAAGCGCGGTTCCTGAGGCCATGGACTCGATGGAAGTCTCTCCCGGTAATGGGATTGAAGAGGTGATTCAGGAGCTGACACAGAATGATAGGCCCCGACCACCTCCTGCACTTGTTTCAGCCATTGAGGCTTTGCCTACGGTGATACTCACATCGGGACATTTGAGCACTGACTCCTACTGTCCAGTCTGCAAGGATGAGTTTGAGGTTGGAGTGGAAGTGAGAGAGCTGCCTTGCAAACATTTTTATCACCCTGATTGCATCATTCCTTGGTTGAGCATCCACAATACATGTCCAGTGTGTCGGTACCAGCTAAAAGTTGACGATGATTCGGATCAAATTGACAATATTGCTGAAAATTTTGGTGTGGAAGAGGTAGCAGATCAACTCAACAGGTGGTGGACTCAACTGCATTCTTTGTGGCCAATCAGTCTATTGTCAAATTGGAGGTCATGGTACCTCAATGTCAGAGGCAATAGAATAAACTCTTCCTCCGAAGGTACTTTATTTGTTTTGTTTAAAACTATGGTTTAATTCAAATTTCACACACAAAATTAACATTTCATATCCTACATTCTTGTTCATTCATATTATGCTAAAATGAAAGCTATCTAGCTAGTCCATCTCTATCATCATTAATATTGCGGTCATACTAATTTATCTGGTAACATTTTACAGACAGACATGGATTAAGCTGTAACATTCATTGTATAAACTCATAACTCTTGGAGCTGCTAACTCTCTTGAAGTAAAATGTAACAGAAATGTGTTATTTTCTACAGATGGTCCGTGGTGGCGCTCTTGGCTCATTTTCTAGATTTTTGTCCAAATTGCAGTCCTGTAGAAGCGAGAAGAAAGTGGTTTGTATAAACAATTTATGATTGAATCATCTCTTCGGTAGGTATGTGTTTATATATAATTTTTTTTAGAGATTGCTCTGATGCAAATGAAAAGGTATCAAGGGCTGGCAGGTATGTCTATTTCTTTGATGCATATGCTTCATTTAATTGTTCATCCAATGTATGAATTGAATGATCTCATTCACTTTTACATTGATTTAAAGGTAGAAATCCATCATCCAAAATAGACCTTTTCAGAAAAATGAGTCATTTTAGATATGATTTTTAAAATCATAAATTTGTTGTGGGAGAAAAATGGTATGCTCTAAGCTTTTAAGCTCCCCCTCCCTCCCTCCCTCTCTCTCCCTATATATATGTGTATATATATAATATGTAATTCCTTTATTTTTAACTCAAATCTTATTTTGCAGTTAACTTGATAAAAGGGGCAAAGTACTAATCAATTGTTGATCAGCTGGGTGGACTACAGGTTTTGGAAAGGTTTTTGATTTGAAGAAGCCTTGAAGAAAAAAAATGTTCATATTTTAACTATTTAGCACTATGATTACGATTTTATATGACAATACATATATATATATATATATATATATATATATATTATAATGATATTCGGGGTGTCAATAATATATGGTTGTGTACGTTTTTGTTTCATGGGATGTAGACATTGTTTTATTACCTAACCTCTTAATTTATTAAGTTGGATTACATGCTCCATTGTAACTATTTATTTTTAAATGAGTGGTTTCAGTTACACAAAATTTCTCTAGTTATTCTTAGCATTAGAAAATCTACCTTTCATTTTTCTTAGAGATATTGTGCATATTGAGATATTTTAAATAAATAATTTGCACTTGGGAGTTGAATATTAGTTATATGCGACACAAACCACGAGATCATTTGAGCCAACCAATTGGAATTAGATATTAGGTATAGATATAAATAATACTCTACAATTAATCAAAAGACTTATATCCAATTTTCAAAAATCTTTTTTTTTTATTATTTATTATCATATATTTATTTTGTTTTGCTTGTTTGGTTTTATTTTTAGATATGCGGGATGAAAAAATTATACATAAACCTTTTTTGTTTCAATTTTTTTTTAAATTATTTTCTAAGAACTCAATAAAAAAAATTAATTTTTCTATAATTGTCGTTTAGAATTTTCTCTAAATATTTTTATTTACTTTTTAAACTAAAGTTTAAATATTTTATTACCTTTTTGTAATTAATAAATATTAATTTTAAAGTTTAAATATTATTTCACCTTTTGTAATTAGTCATTATTACTTTTAATCACATGGACTAAATTGGTCGTCGAACAAGTGGTCCATTTCGAGTGGTTCAATAGGTAGACTCTCTCTCTCTCTCTCTCTCTCTCTCTCTCTCTTAGCGGAGCAGAGTGATGGTCGGTTCAGCAGTGCCTCGGCCTCACCCACCGGGGTTTCCCTTCCCAAATTTCAGAGTGGGTCCCACACCAAGCCACCTAGTCACCACCGCCACTGCACACCACCTCGGCCACTTCCTCCGCCGTCGCTTCCTCTGCCACCGTTTTCATCTAGGGTTTCTTCTTCCATCGTCTTTCAGGGTATTCCTCTCTCTATATATCTTGCCAAGAGACAAAAAAAAAAAAAAAAAAAAACATTTTATTACATTGAATACAGCGATTTTGTATGACTAAATTGGGTAATATGAGTTCTGATATAACTATTTTTTTGTTCATTTGATGAACTCTTATCATTTGTTCCATAATTTTTCCGCTACATGTAGAGTGTATTGGTATGAATTGGTCATGATGTTGATCAAATTTAGGCTTTCTGGTTGCATCTCAGTATGGCAGATAGGAATTTGGTTAAGCATATGGAAGTTAGATCAAAGCATTGGGATGATCAAGTACAATATCATGTGGTCCAACAATGTACATAAGTTGAACCTATTTTACTGCAAACTTGAGCTGTTGAATGAGTCATGGTCCATTTCCTATAAATGTTTACCTGAAAAGCCTATCTTATTAATTTTCAATTAGATTTTTGGAATTTTTTCTTTATTAAATTTATTTCTTACGAAGAAAAATAAGATTTTAAGTAAAGGAAAAAAATTAAGAAGAAATTATAGATCACTGAATTCAGTTCATGTTCGAAGCACGGATCTCGAACTGTAAATTGCTTGGATATCAACACTTTTGGTGAATTTGGAATCAATGGCTGTGTTTATCATTATATATTGTTGTTTTTGGGTAAATCCAATGTTCAACATGCATTATCAGTATTCTCTGTTACCTTTTTATTGAAAGCCTTGTAATACTTATTTTCTAATTCCATTAACTTGTGTGCTACTTATCCCAATATGCTTGTTTTGGGAAATCTTGAATTACCTAAATTCTCTTCACTTTTGGGTGACCTGCATAAGATCCTTGCAATAACTGAAACTTGGACGTATATGTGAACTTTCATGGATGCTTACATAATAAAATCAATGGCCATTATGATTTGTAAATTTTGAAGTATAAACTCCGTAAAGGGAGCAATGTGTGGGATATCAACTAGCATACATGTAGTATAATTTGCTTAAATACTGTAAAGGTATGTTGCTAATATTATAATTTGCTTGACATAAGCTGTATTGATTGTCATATCCAGATTCTAATAGGTTTATATTGGTTTTACTGGTTGAAGTCTCTTTGTTTCTAGATATAGAATCCAGGTCTCATTAGAATTGGCTATCTAGAAGTCTGATAATTATTTTCAATTTGAAAATTTTACAGCTTTTTGGTAGTAAGATGCAATAATGTTACCTAGGTGTGATGCCTAAGAAACTGAGAAATGATTCCTAGAGTCTTCTTCTCTTTGATTTATTTTTAATCACAATGAGTTCATAATTTTCACTGATTCTTCTAGCAAAAGCCTACCTCCAAAATACTAGTACTATCTTAATGCTTGATGTCTAGTTGATAGGAGTTGCCTAGATATTCTAGCAACCTTTTTCCTAAAAATCAAGCAACCTATCACCTTGATGAACAACCTCAATTCCAATCATTCAATTCTGGCACATTAAGCAATACCAGCTATCCTTAGTGACTTTTCGTGGATACTGTTGTAACAAAAAATAGGAGCGTAAAGAGCAGCCACAGTAAGACGGGGCTAAGCAAACTTCATTCCTTGACTAGTTAAAACAGCAAAACTTAGCCCTTTCCTACACACTTTACAAACTGTCAACCCGGATTTATTTACCAACCTTTTGCCACCAAAAATAATAATATAATCAACGTGAAGGAAACCCTTTTAATGCTACCTACATCAAGCTTTACACTAGAGCTTGTAGGAGAGTGTTCTTTGCACTTATCATACATCACTTTACGTGTATACCAACTCACTATGAGCTGATTATAATTATGGTACTATGTAGAAAGCTTTTCACTCCTCAAACTATCTATTTGGTACTTGTGCAATCAATAGTTGTTGCACTTTCAAATGAATCGTGTCACTGAAGTAATGGCAAATAAAAATTGCTTGGGCATTCTAATTTGTAATAATTTGGCAGCCCTCCAATTTGAGCCTTGGCTACCCATCTGATCCAATTGGTTTGAGGAGTAAACAGCAGTTCAATAATGCCATATCTTCGAAAAAAGGCAAGAAACGCTGAATGGCAAAACCCAAATCATAATCAGATGCCCAATAATAGAATCGCAATTGGGTGTTTGAAATTGATTCACCTAGAAAAGGAAGCTACATTTGAATCCTGCCATTACACTTAATAATTTATGTTATGCCGAAAGAAATTTTCTTCAGGCTGATTATATAATTTAGAAAAGACCTTAACTGTGATTTTCTTGTTCAACAGAAAATCTCTCGTCTGGGACACGTGCCTTCTTTTAAGGATGCATGGCATGAAAGAGCCCTTGATTTTAAAGGAATGAACATACTTCAATGGTCATGTGATGCTTTCTCAGCAACATGCTTGTCTTGCTTATATTTCTTTGATGGAGAAGAAAGAAGAAACGATTCTGGAGATGCAAGGAAGTCATACTTGGGGACATCAAGAGATGTCTCATTTAATGGAAGGCAATGGACCAATATCCTCCTTGCGATTAATGTGTTGTGAGTACCAGCTTCCCAAACAAGGACAAAATAAAATCATTATATCGCATTGTTTAAGGGTATCAACATCTCTTACGCAGTGTCTTCCATTCTTGTTTGGTTTCGTCATCTCATACGCAGTCTCTTCCATTCTTGTTTTCTTTTTCTTCCCCAACACATTCCCTTAAATCATAGTAGGTTCATTTTCTACTTCCCAGCTTTCTGAATTGTTTCTGTACAGACCAGTGAGAGTCTTTTATCCAGTAGTTTCTTTGTGCAGAGTCTATATTGCACAAACTGCAACACAAGGGAAGCTATTGCTATGGGGAGCTAAGGTTAGACATGAAAAAAATGAAAATAAAAATTGATACGGATGTGTATTATCTTTTATATCCGAAAATTTATGTTTTTGGCTCATCTCCCACTGGTTGATGTAGTGCAGATTAATAGTCTCATTGACAAAGGACAGCTATGGAGGCTTGCTACATCATCTTTCTTGCATGCAAATATTGGGCACCTAATGGTCTGGTTTGAATGTTACTTCTTGGAAATTCTTGACTGATTTTCAGTTTGGTTGTTTAAGCGCAGATTTGACCATTTCAGGTTAATTGTTACTCTTTGAACTCTGTTGGTCCTACTATGGAGAATATTAGTGGTCCTAGAAGATATATTGCAGTTTATTTCACCTCTGCAATTGCAAGTAACAGCTCATAATCCTACTACAATAGACAATGCAGTTCCTTATTTTCAAAGAAACAAGTGGCACTTCATTATTATTCTAATTTGATGGTTTCAAGAAATCAGGTTCCGCAATGAGTTATTGGCTCTGCAAAGCACCTGCGGTTGGTGCATCTGGTGCAATTTTTGGATTAGTAAGTTTTTTGAACTCTATGATCACAAAGTACTTACTTTCTTAAACTCACGTTTGAATAAAGAGAACCAAAAGTGAGGAAAAAAAGGGGCCTAGTATCCAGCATTCACATGTTCACAGAAGCTTCTAGAATAGTTGAATATGGAAGTCAACCCCTATATATATATATATGGTAGGTAGGCAACTCACACACAATTTTTTCCCCAATTGGAGCTTGACCCTCAACCTTCCCTTTAGGGAGGTGGAGATACGACCCAAGCTTGGTGGTGAATGCATAAGTTCTATGTACTTATTTTTCGCAAGGCTTAATATGTAATTCTCTTATTTTAATTTTTTACTCTCTCCTATTTTACTATGTCAATTATAGACATTCTTTACCACCCAGGCCTAGAGGTATTTCCTCTCATTTCAAAGTGAAAGGTGTTGTGTTTGAGTCTCCCCCAAGTGCATTATGGGAGTTAATTGCCAGCACCAAAAAAATAATAATAATTTTATAGACATTCTTTTTTGTTTTTTTCTGCCTGTAGTTGGTAAATGTTGATTTAAACACTGTTTAATGAAGGTTATAGATTTCAATCTTTAAAAATGAACTTTGGAATAAGCCTTGATCAATTCTCATATTTCTATATGCCATCCTGTTATAAAGCTCTGGGACTTGTATTTTGTCAATGTGTACATTGTCTCTAAAGTGAAAAAAGAAAAAAAAAAAAAAAAAGAAAAAAAAAATGCTTCTCTTTCCCTTTTTCTTGTGTTTTATATTTCTATATTTATAGAATCAGTTTGTGGTCAGGTTGGAGCCTTTGCAGTGTTTGTCTTGAGGCACAGGGACCTGGTTAAAGGTAGTAAGAGAGACTTGCAGCATATAGCGCGTGTGATTGTTCTAAATATGGTATGCCCTTCACAACCTTACTTAAATCCTTGCACTATATGGTGGAAAACTAGGGAAATCTTATTGAAGTTATTGTGATTCAGCTGAGTTATGCCATATATTAATTCTATTGAATGAAGTCTAGTGGTCTGTGGTAGTTTAAAAGTGCTCTCACTCACATAAATTATGTTTGCGTCTGAGTCTTTCTTCATCTTACTGCATTTTTCACAATGATCTTTGTTATTTTATGCTTTTTATAGCTTATAATGATTCAAATAATGGCAATTATCGTCTATCATGCAGGCTATTGGTATTTTGTCTAAAGGCATTGATAACTGGGGACATGTAAGTATAACAGTGTATTTGTTGCATTTTATGTTATAATTCATTTTTTTATTCAAGGGAGCTCTTTCGAGAAAGCCCTCCAATTGTAGAGCAGGGTATATGAATTTGTCTCCTTCAGTATAGGCTGTCCTGGCTCATAAGGTCCCAATGCAGCAACGGGATAAAAGCTGGATAGAGTAGAGCCTTTTTTTAGGACCCGAAACCCCAAAATTCTTTCCCAAAGATTCAAGCAAATGTATGAGCTATGGTAACCGCGACACTTAATAAAAGAGGAAAGAGTGGGGTTAGAAGAGTGTGTGAGGAAATGCAGATGCAGCAGCAGGTCTTTCCTATCCCGCCATACTCGCATCCTCTCATTCCCCGTTATTGTACTTCCAAACCGCTGGTGCCACTGACCCCTGAAAACCAACCCCCCCCCCCCCCCCCCCAACACACACACACCAAAACATCCCTATAAAGTGATTTTTCAAGTGTGCTGATAATGATTCTATTTGAATTTATTTATTTGGGTGGATTTTGATTGCTTTTATGTTATGTTGAAAACTTCAGGTAGGAGGCTTAGTAGGTGGAGCTGCCACTGCATGGCTTATTGGTCCTGCATGGAGGTACGAGTCCCCATCTAGTGATGGACGAAGAAGAGTTTTTGCTGACAAGGCGCCAATTTTCTCCATCATCAATACGAAAAGAACACCACCTCGGTAGCCCACTTTAATATGTTGATTTATGACAAATACTTCCCTTATTAACACATTTGTGTACATTCATTTAACAAAGTTATTTTTACATTTCATGTTTTTGTAATTTATTGTCTTCGAGTCTCTTTGTCCCCTGATACATGTTCGGGAGGAGGGTTTTATTATACACAAATTCTCTTGCAAGCATTATAACAAAAAGCAAGAAATGCCCATAAGAAAACGAAAAATAATAAGTACTTAGAAAATGAGACACGGGCCACATTTATTAGAATAGAATACACTGTCCGATTCTTGTTGGGTCCTTCTTGCTCACGGATTGTTTGGATTGGGTCCTTCTTGCTCAAGGATTGTTTGGATGGCGAAAGAAGTAAAAGCCTGATAAAAAAGAAGGAAGTAAAAATCAGTTGCTTGCGGATTGCTTGGACGACCAGTTCTTCTTCTCCTCGTTTGCCCGATCAAAAGAAAGAAGTAAAAGAAAGAAGTAAAAATCATTTGCTCGCGGATTCTTTGTTTTTCTCTGTCGACCCACCGTTTGATTATATTGCTTAAGAAGTAAAAGCCTGATAAAAAAGAAGGAAGTAAAAATCAGTTGCTTGCGGATTGTTTGGACGACGAGTTGTTCTTCTCCTCGTTTGCCCGATCAAAAGAAAGAAGTAAAAATCATTTGCTCGCGGATTCTTTGCTTTTCTCTGTCGACACACTGTTTGATTATATTGCTTAAATATAATTTATTATACATTGTTTTAATATACCCACGCTCCGCACAGTAGCTTGTGACTCTTACCTTATTTATAGATACCATGCATATTGTCTAGAACCGTCCAGATAAATGTTCTAGACATTTGCAACAATACAAAACTCCGGCACTTTTAGAATCTTCTCTACACGTCTAAAACCTCTCCAATAGCCTAAAATCTTCAACTCTTTCTAATATTTCACAAGATCTACACATGTAAAAGACCTTAGAACATCAGTCTTGTCATGTCCGCGTAGCATCTCTGCAGATAGATGGGGCGTGACATTAAGCATCAAGTTGATTACCAAAATTCGATGAGCAAAATTAGGGACCCCAAAATGTCTTATAGCTTCTTTCACTCTGTGAGGGATAAAGGAATACTCTTTAACTTGAGAGAGATGGTGGTGGCGGCACGGTTTAGAGCTAGTTTAGAATTACGGTTTAGAGCTCGTTTATATATATATATATATATATATATATATATATATATATTATACAAGTCGGAGCTGCCACTACATGGCTTATTTGTTCTGCATGGAGGTACGAGTCCCAGTCTAGTGATGGACGAAGAAGAGTTTTTGCTGACAGGGCGCCAATTTTCTCCATCATCAATACGAAAAGAACACCTCGATAGCCCACTTTAATATGTTGATTTATGACAAATACTACCCTTATTAACACATTTGTGTACATTCATTTAACAAAGTTATTTTTACATTACATGTTTTTTTTGTAATTTATTGTCTTTGAGTCTCTTTGTCCCGTGCATGTTCGGAAGGAGGGTTTTGTTATACACAAACTCTCTTGCGAGCGTGGAAAATGATAAGTAGTCCGAGAATGAGACACAGGCTACATTTATTAGAATAAAAGATAATGTTTTGAATGTAAGCGTGTTTTGAAACATCACAATCAATAGCCCCTCACTATTTATTTAGTATTTGTTTTTCTGCAATTTGCTCAATTTAAATATTGTATATCCTATATACACAATTAAGGCAAGAACACAATTTCATTAAATATTTGATTTTTATATATTTTTGTTTGTTTCTAGTGTTCCTAAATATTATTTCGGGATAAAATGAATTTCGCTGCTGGATCCGAAATTACACCGCATCTCCAAGAGATATATATCTATATATATATATATATATATAGTTAGTAAGACAAGAAGAGAGAGAGAGAGGGTTTAATTTTGGGACAATGAGTTATATAAGTAATTATGTCATTTTGTACCTAAAACACCATTTTTGCCCATATAAAATTTGACCTAATCTAAAGCGGTGTCAGTATAATTTGTTCTATTACTTTTACTTATTTTTAGAAGTAAAACTACTCTTTTTTTCTTTTTCTTTTTTTAATTACTTTTACTTGTTTTTAGAAGTAAAACCACTCTTTTTTTTTCTTTCTTTAAAAAAAAAAAAAAAAATCAAAGCCAGTGGAAGTCTCAATCTATCAAACCTTTTCTTAAAAAAGTTAGTTGCAAAATTTTTTGTTTATTTTTATTTATAAATATACCAAAATTTGGTCAAATATATTTTTGTCTGCAATCTAATAAATAATAAAATATTTTTTACTTATAAAAGTATATTTTAAATTGTTTTGAATTATTATTATTATTTTTTAAGAAGAATAATTACTAAATCACCTTACCATATTATGAAAGTATTCAAAAGGATGAAGATATTTTTGAACACGTGCGTCATACCGCCATGACATCTGGAAGAAAAAGTGTACCCGCTTCCAAAACGCATAACATCTTTTGTTTCCTTGTAAAAGGCCCATAACATTCACATGCTACTGAAAATAAAATTAAAAATTTAATAATAATAAAATAAAAAAAACCATCACAAAGATTTCTTAATTTCACAATGTCATATACTTGACGCTTCCAAGACCTTTTCATTCAATCACTGTCTCTATAAATGTAATATTGGAAGACTGTTAATAGTTTATCGCTAATACGAAGATAATTAACAATATATCATGTATGAATGATTTTCGAAAAAAACTAGTCAATAAAAGCCAAAGAATTTTCTATATTGAAAATTTTGACTACAATTCGATTCTTTGCAAAATCACCATGACAGATGTCATCTATATACCATTCTATTTTAAGGCTCCGAATGTAAAATATTTTTTGAAAAATATATTGAAAATTTGGACTAAAATTTTATTATGTGCAAAATCACTGTGACATATGTCATATGTATCACCATTCATTTTAAGGCTATGAGAGTAAAATATTTTTTGAAATTTTTTTTTTGTATTTTTCGGTGTTTGGTTATCGTAAAATATTTACAAATAAAAAAATATTAAAACCTAATAAAAATAATTTATTCATTAATTTTTAAAAGATATTTTTTTATGTTTTCTGTTATTTAGTTGTCCTAGAAAGATTTTTTTTAAATTTAGGATTACCAAATACCGAAAAACATAAATAAATAAATTTTAAAAAATATTTTACACTAAAGAGATTTAAGGCATAAATTTGAGCATACCCAATCACTTTTACATCCGGATCCGATCCGATGTGGGACAAATGACCCTTGTCCTAAAAAGCGTTGCTCAAGTCACTTGGGCTGCAAACTCGAACGCCCTTCGGAAGGGTAGTTTAGCGTGACGCTGGATCAAGGATTAAGTCTGGTTCAAATACTAATTGTAATGGGTGGGTACTTGCCCATTTACTAAAAAATTCAAGTTGTTGGGTAGTGTTGCATACCTACCTATTATCTGATGTGGGACAAATGACCCTCGTTACACTAGCCATGTTTGTATATGAAATTAAACTTTGGTCAAATCCTTTTCTAAAGAGTTGTGAAATAAGTTGTGAAATATTTGTTCACATCGTTTAAACATTTTTTACCGTAGAATTTGGCTATGAAAATCTGTGTTGTGAAACCCACTTGGATGACCTTTTCAAAAGGAGCTGTTATTTTATTTTAATCCATATTTTAAGAATGATGTCTTATTATGAAACTTTTATTACAGAAGTTAGCAATAATATGAAGGATTTAATACTATAATTTTATTACTAATTATACACTTTCTGGAATTTTTTTTAGGAATTTATTTGATTTATATTCATATTTTTGGAATATATATATATATATATATATACTGGTTATTTATATACACTGTTGCACTGTGTATCGGCGCATTCAATTAGGGGATTTTGTTTGAGTGATGAGGATCCAGTGTGGGCGTGTGCATAGGAGAACAGTGCACACGCTGATCTGGGCCGTGGGTGGAGGTGTGGATGGTGAGGATAATCTGGTGCGGCGCGGTCCATGGAGAGATGGTGCGCCTGCAGGATCTGACCGCTGGATGCAAATTTAATGGTGGGAGAAGATACGGTGTGGACGAGCTCACCATGACACTGAGGGACATCTAATGAAGAGCTGCAAAAAAAAAAAAAAAAGCTGTCTTCTATATAAATAAATAAACCAAAACCCCCCCATCCCGTGCAAGAAGCGTAATCGTAGTCGTTTGCTCTACTCACCCCGTTCAAGCAATTGGGTTGCTGTTTTGCTGTCCGATTCTGGTTGCTCGCAGATTGTTTGGACGGCGGGTTCTTTTTCTCCGCCCGATCATCTTCTCCGGCCTCGGTTGGCCGATCACCCATATATACCGTCTCTGGTCGTGATATTTGATTGTTCTTGTTCTCTCCGTTCAAGAATGGAGTGCGACACACCGTTTGACGATTCGTGCGCTGCTCGGTTTGGGGCCTTTTCAATCATTCCCATAGCCGACCCAAAACCATACACTCAATTCTACGCCGACTTTCAGGTCCGGTTCACATATCCTCCGTCGGATTTCATGGACGACGATGATGATTTGGAGGAGGACGACGACGATATTGGTTGCTTAGAGACAGAGTGCCGTTCTATGCAATTTTGGGTTCCATGTGACGGATTGACGTGTAACAACAATAATACATGGTCAACAATATCAGATATGCTGTGTGACCTAGGTGTCCCCTTACGTGTTCAGCCTTTCATGATTTCTCGGATCATTCCATCGGCCGAATCTATGGTGAAACAAAATCTTGATAAAAACTTAATGGTATTGCCTATGGAAGTGTCTATAGATGTAGTGGGCCGTCCAGAAGATGAAGATGAAGATGAAGAGGAAGACGAAGACGAAGATACAACAATGGTGCCAATGGAGTCGAGGCGAGTGCCGGCTAGCGAGGCATCCATTGAGGGCTTAGAGAAGGTGAAAGTCAAAAATTCAGATAGTAAGATGCAGTGTGTAATATGTTTGGAACAGCTTTTGGTTGGTTCGGAGGCAACCCGGATGCCTTGCTTGCATGATTTTCATAGGGATTGCATTGTTAAATGGCTCGGAGTTAGTAACTTGTGTCCACTGTGTCGCTTTCGGATGCCCACTTGAAGTTTTGATATTAGCACTGTGTGCCACGCCTGATGTTATTATCTGTATTTTATTTGTTTGAGAATTCTTTTTTGTTTTTGAACATCCATGTTCTTCCAAACTATACATATTCTTTTCTTCTTCTTCTTCTTCTTCTTCTTCTTCTTCTTCATATATATATATATATATATATATATATATATATTCCCATTCAAATATCGAGCAGTTTGGTTATGGCCAGCTTTTGACCTATGGAGGCATTGGCTAGGGTTTCGTTTCATTTTCGACCACACAAATTCTACTTGAAAACATTGATGAAAACATGTATCAATATTTGAATCCTGAGTAGCTTATATTATGAAGGGAGGTTTGGTGTGCTCCCGAGCCCAAAATGGAAAAAGGAAATCTAAGAGGGAAGATAAACATGTTCTATGGCACCTAAAGATAAAACATATTTTCTGAAATAACACAATTTTTTATATAATTTTTCCTCCATCTTTAGCAGTGAAATTTCAAAAGTCCACACTATGACGTTGCTGCATGTGATGTGCTAACCCTTTAGTTCAGCAAGGCTTGCTCTGTGGGCGATTACTGTATCTTTATACCAAAAAATCATAACTAAACAACAAAAATCAAATTATATCTCGACCATCCTCAGTTTCAAGCCTCCCAATGATTTTGATGTAAAATATATACCCATATCTTTCAATGTGTTTGTTAACACCAGTTAATCCCGTTTCTTTGTTACATACTTTGCTGTGCCTCCTCACATTGCAGATGCTCAAAAAGAACCTGTATATCTTACACTTGAACACTAAGATGGTTTCTCCTTGAAATACTGCACGAGAGCATTCAGTTCTTAACCAGTTACCGTCTCTAGGAGTTTATTCCCTTTGGGAAGAACACCCCATGTCTTCATGCGATGTTATAATGTAGAAAAGAGAGAGGCCCGCCATCTTTCGGCTTTGACCTGTAACTTTCTCCAGTTCATGTACATTATATATACCATACCGCTCGCATCAAAAGCGCCCAATAACTTTTTTCACCAAAGCTTCTACCATCCTATGCCAGACCAAAACTGTCAGCTGCTGTACTTAGCAAGCTTGGAAACTATATTTCTGTAGTATGATGCGCAAATTTATCACTATCACCAACATAGAAGATGGAATGTCAGGAGTCCAAGGAAGCCAAATAACCAGATCTCCTTGTAAGGACCTGTCGCAAAAGCTGCGAAAAAATAAAATAAATAAAGGATACCAGTATAAGTTGTTTTAATTAGCTATGAATGTCCAAAAAAAAAAAAAAAAAAAAAAAAGAAAAGAAAAATAAGTTCTACGTAGTTCTCAAAACCAAGCAAGCATAATATACCATAGAAAGGCCATGAAATGCATCTGGAAACAGATTGCTAACATAAGAAGAATTTAGTGAATTAGGCATCAGGTTTTGCAAAACATAAGCTTAAATTTGTGTCTGGTGGGGAAGTCAAATTTTCCTCCCCAGCCCCGAGGAGGAGACGGAAAAGATCACTCTTCTCCTAGCTATTAAACAAACATACTACGTTGAAAACCTGCTTCACCGTAACTTGTTCTCCTAGCTATTAAACAAACATACTACTTTGAAAACCTGCTTCACCATAAGTTGTCGTAACGTGTTGTTTCTCTGTAATCAATTTCCTTTCTATTACCAATGCGCTCTGCCTAGATGATATAAGCCCTCCTCCTCTGAGGAGGTTGAGTGTTCGAGCCCCGGTGGGGGCAAAAATATATAGCGAGTGTGTGTGTGTGTTTAGTTGAATTTTGGAGGGAAAAAAAAAATCCTTGCTATTGCTTTGTTCTGGCTCATCTGTTGAGGTTCTAGAAGTACATCCACACCTAACCTTGGCCTCCTGAGTGCATCAATAGCTCTATTGCTACCACCAAGTCCCTCCACACAAATGTTGAAGGGATCGAAATCAAGAAACATCCCATGACTACTATTTTTCTTGATGACTCTTCCACTATAGTCTACAGAACATTTATGCTTTCCAAGTGAACGTGCTTCCTCCAAGAAAACCTCAGACAAAGTACACACATACAAAGAGAGAATAAAAATAAATGTTATTTTACATTTGACACTTGAGCAATGCCTAGGGATCATTTGTGTTAGCTCCAGATAACCAGAATCATGATATTTGTCAGAAGGATAATCAGTCCAACCAGTGACATATGCTAGTTGCATGAGAGATGATTTACATAAGCATCATATTACTGTTGTGTCATTCCCTACTTAGGTGTTGTTCGATGACGCAATTCAATGCTTAATTCTGATTAGATTAAGTGATATCCAATTAAGTGTGTTTGACAAGGCATTTAAAATATCAATTAAATAAATAAGTGCCGCTTAACATAATATAATATCAAGTGAGTGATTTTACTCAACAATGAAATGAGGAAGACTTAAAATATCAAAAAAAATATATCAAAAACATCTCTCAATTTACATTTAACACTTAAAACTTCAGCACTTAAAATAGAGTTATTAAAATATTCAGTACTTAATTTTCAGATTTATCAACCAGCACATTAGTGTTCCTTGATACGGTAAGTCATGTTATTAACATACAATAACATGTAATTTCTACCACATATCTATGTAAAAACAATCATATGCATTTTAATCAAAACTTGATTCATAATTTTCCAAAATAATTTCCACAACATCTAGGCTTCAATTCCTAACCAAAACTAAACACTTGCAACTCAAACAAGCATCAAGTAATAACTTATATCAGAGATTAAAAAAAGTAATCAACTACTAAGATGAATGGGGATAAAGAAAACATTATTCACAGATTGCAGTACCAACTTACATGATGGCGATGGTGAGATTGACGGCGAGGCTGGTGGTGGAGATAATAACTCTTTCCCATTCCCCTTGTCCTGGCCTGGACTGGAACCATAGGATACAGCAGGTAAAGGAGAAAGATCTGGGGACAGCTGTGATGGGGGACCCATGGAAGGTGGATATGCAGCAGAAGCCAGAGGTGAAAATGTAGGTGCAGTTGGGTTAGAATGAGATGCTGGTGAGGGGCTTAGTGGAACTGTGGAACCACAATGTGGACTAGAGCGAGGGGAATGTGTATTTATAATTGAAGGTGCAGGAGAACTTGAAATCGGAGGTAAAGAGGGGCAGGGCCCATTTTCCGGTCTCGGTGCATATGGGAAGTCATCATCAGACGGCGAAGAAGCATCACAGTCTAAACAAGGTGGCGAGTGATGAAAATTAGGTGAGGGAACTGGCGAATAAGATGGAGAATGAGAAGGATATGGGGAAATAGAGGGTTCTGCATAGTCATTTTCCTCAGGAGATGGAGCAGGAGCTGGAGTAGGAGAAGGAGTTGGTGGGGTTGCATCAAGTGTACGATTGAGAAAGGAAGATAATCTGATTTCCTTAACTTTACCAAAAACAGAGTTACTGAGGCCAAGATTTTTTGCAGGAGACCCTGTGATTGTTTCAGCCAATTGCTTCAATCTTTGTGGCAGAAGAATTCCCAGGTCTGACGTAACCGAAGCCTGAACTGTGACTGGGGGAGCTCTTGTTGACCCATTTTTGTTTGTCACCTGCACATACACATTCTGCATGCAAAACAAAATCATTACCACACGATATAGAGAAATACATATTATGTAAGGGGTGTCAATAACTGATTAAATAAATAAACTGAAGCACACTCTAATATTAGGATCTCAAACCATCATATTGGTCCATAGAATAATTAGGAATTTGGGAAATCTGTACCGAAAATTATTTACCCAGTTATCATACCCACTATTCTGGTGGATGAACCATGAAGAAGACAACAAAAATAGCCACTATATAAAAATAAAAATAAATAAATAAATAAATAAAGCAGTACATATACTGAATTTGAAAAAAATACTCTGTATTAATGGTAATAAGGAAAAGAGGAGCAAGCGGGTAGAGTAATTATGTTTCTTAAGAAATTCTTTTTGCAGGTACCTTCTGCAATATAAAATATAAATGAAAGTTTCAATGCTAAGCTGTCTTCAAGAACTGTAAGTAAACAAATTCTTGAAAAGGATATGATATTTTGTGAATAATATTGGATCACTTAATTTATATTATAATTTTTTGAAGTGATGGCAATCACACATAAAAATTGTCCAGATTATGATATTGTGGAACATTTCCAGAAACCAAATTGATACTCTAAAGTGAAATGTACAAGAATGTTTCTTAAACATAAATTATACCTCATAAGGCCTCAGATGCAACCCCAACTTCAGCTGTTCCTTCAACTCAATAAAATTCTCCTTTATTTCATATATAGAATTATAAAGAGTAAAATTGAAAAGGATCTGGGGTATCTGCCAAATGGAAGCAGATTGCTCAGGAGGAATTACAGTAATTCCTCCAGGAAACTCCAAAATCTCAAATGAAGATGGCTGCCCAAAAATTGAAGTTGACAAAGTCAAATTAATTTGCTCAAGGAACAGCTCTATCAACGACGACTTCAGCACACTTAACGACACTGAATTTATTCGGGAATCCATTGGATCAGAAAGAACACCGAAAATAACATCAGTCAAGTTAGATGCACCTGCTCGGTGCATAGATAGGACAGCAACCTGCTTGAAAAAATTTGCTTATTAGGATGCTTTCATTCCACTCGGAAGTTAATGGAAACGAATATAAATATTATATAAAAGCAGGAATTTGAAATAACCTTTGTAAACGGGACACCTATTTCCCCATTGATATCATACTCTAATCTTGCAATGTGAGGAACAAGCACTGAAACTGGCTTTTGCAGTTTGAAATATGCCTGAACTGTAGCTGAGAAAATTAAAATAAACAAGTTAATAAAAATAATAAATTATAGAAAGTAACTAAGAAAAATAAATAAATAAATAAATAAAATAAAAAAAGAAGAAAAGTCCGAATATCAATACAGTACACAGAAGACCACTTCTGTAAGATCAAGTAAAATATCAATCCTCAAACAGTTCCAGAAAAGCCTTGAAGTGAAAATGCAAACTTCAGATAAAAAAAGACAATATGAATAATACTAGATCTGTACCAGCTTCACTATCAAATTTATTTCCTTCGCTGGTTTTGTTTAATGCATCTGATATTTTTATTATTCGGACAGTGAAATGCAACTCAAGTTCTGAAGCTAAAAGGTGAACTTGGTAACAAGTGTAGGGCCCCACAATCTGGGAATATATATAGAAACCTTGCAGGATTTTTTATTTTTTTAAGTTTTAACACACACTGGCGATGGATGTACATGTTTACAAATACCAAACTCTCACTTTTGAAGTAGCTGGATAAACTTGGACTGGGTCTAACCTTCAAAATATTTGCATTTACATCTGGGTCACTCTGTTTGAACTACAATGTAATATATCACTCATCAGTGAATCAGTATCAAACTGAAAAAGAGGAAACAGCCAAAAACAATAACTTCCTAAACATGTAAGTCAACAATTTTGAATTCTAATGCAATGTTAATATCAAAACAATAATGAATTAATACCGATATTTTTACCGAACAAGAAGAAACTACTGTTCAAAACAAGATTCACTCAGCACAGAACAGGAAAAAAAAAAATGGTTAACAATATCCCCTAAAGATTAAGCTATGCAGGAACATTAACATGACGGCAAATCTATTCACAAATAATTGGCTTAATTAATAAGCAGTTGGGATTTGGGAAATTGACAATCTTTATCGCAACTAGCCCACGCCAGTAAGTTAAGGAGTGTTTGGATATTCCATCAAACTAAATTCTCAATCTAAATTTATATACAATGCAAGTACAAATTAAGTTTCCTAAAGTGGCCCATTAAAGACATGACAGAAAATCATGCAAGAGATGGTAAAACTTGCATACTCGCATCAGCATTATTTCATGAAATACTAAAACTGATCCTATGCCATCAACAAATTTATTGACAGCTCAAGAAGCACTAAGATGCCAAAATCTCCAATAGCCTAAGCACATGGCATAACACAAGGTGTGGGCATGAGCAAATTAAGGCACACATGACATAGTTTCATATCAGATATATTGAAAAATATAAAAATTAAATATGCAACACAAACTAGTGAACATCGAAATAAGAAATTTTTTCCGCATATCAACTCAGTGGATTAGCAACTAGGAAGCATGGACACTCCTCTAGGGCATGAGTATGCATGGGGCACGCAGACGGACACGTCCAACATGGCTCAATTGAATTTATTTTTTTCCCTGGTAGGACACACAACAAGGACATTGTGGGGGCACATTTAAGACACTTCGGTGACATGGGCGTAGTTTTGCAATTTTTTTAAAAAAAAATAAAATATACCGATGCAATTTCAAAACATATTATAAGTTAACATAAAATTAATACAATATTTTAGAAAACAAGAACAACACCAGATTGTATACATGATAATGTGGATAAATGAGAACAATATAGATTTTTTGTATATATAATTATATATTATTTTATTGACGCATACCAATGTCCCTTTTTATTTTTATTTTTGAGATTTTCGTATCTGCGTGTCTGTATCTTGTCATACCCATGTCTATATCCGTTTCTCATATGTGTTGGTACATACATCTTTTCAAATTTCATATGCATTCAAGTAAATTAATGTAAAATTGAAATATTTTAAATTACACACTACAAAAATGGTCAAATTTTTTTCTAAAAAATAAAAATAAAATTCTACTAAATCAGGGCACATATATCCTTAAAAAAACATATGCATCAACTAGATCAATTACTATTGTAAATGTACAATTATAAAAGACTACAACTAGATCATAAATGTTTAATCAAGCACTAAATACATATACTGTTAGTAGTTAACCCAATAACTTCAAAAGCAAAATATATTATAGGATTAAAAGAAGTGACATATCAAACGCGACCGTCATATGACAAAGCATGTTTATTGATGGCTACTAAAGAAAAAGATAAAGATATGATTGAATGATTAGTCTACTAAAAAGAGTGCAACAAATAGCTCTATATTCACTCAACTAAAGGGTCGCATATGTGATAAGTTGAGAAGCTTCAACTAGAGCTAGCCAAGACCGGGCCTTTTTACAGCCTAAGCATGCCTTTGATAACCATGATCATCAGTAGTGATAGATGTCATGTTTTATTTTATTATTATTATTTTGTACTTTTTTTTTGTTTTTGCAATGGTCCAACTCTTAATAATGAACTTTTTTACCAAGGGCATAGCCTAATGGTATTTCCTCCTCCCAGAGATAGAGGATTAAAGTCTGCATTTGAGTAATAGTGGGTGTATGAGTGTGATGGTATACTTGTTTTCCTATCAAAAGAAAAGAAAAGGAAAAAAAATGGACATTTCTTCAAATTCCAATTAAAATGAATTTAGTGGATTGATAATAGTTGTGACAAATACCGCGAACCAAGAACACAATCAAGATGACACACAAAAAAATAAAGATTTACGTGGTTCGACATAAAGCGTACATCCACAGTGAAGATCTGGCAAAATATATCACTATGCGAAAATCAGAAGATTACAAGTTTCAGCCCCCAAACCCTAGCTCCCTCTCTCTCTCACACACACTCTCTTTATGCAGTTTTCAGTGTCCTCTCATGTCCCATTTCAAACCCTAAACATTCTTATGTGCTACAAGAGAGTCCTGAACAAAGTCCAAGACCCGCAAGAGAGAAATGTGTCAATTTTTATTTATTTTTTCATTTTCTGGTCACAACCGATCGCAAAAAGACCCAGACCGAAACAAAATTTGGGCCACATGATCTCAATAATCATATCCTCGTTGTAGTGTTCAATTTATCCTTTTGATCGAGCGATTATTTGTCTTTAAATGAAGGGGTAAAATTGTAGTACATAACTAGGAATGAAACTGCATAAGAGCATTTTCAATCAATAGTCCCTAAATTAAGCATTTTTTACAATCCAATAAGACAAAGTTTGGTTCCTTATTTTGATAAGGAAAAAAAAAAAATTAGAGGAAAAGCGAAGAGAGAGAAGGGAAAACTAAAGAAAGTTCATTTGTTTGTTGTGGAAAAGAAATGAATAGAAAGGAATGGAAGGGGAGGATGGAGATCATCAAAATTCTTCTATACGTGATGGTTTCTTAGGCTACAATGTTGAACTTCTCCCTACATAAACTCACTTATGATATTAAAGTTTTTGTGCACCTGCAGAGAGATTTTCTCTCCAAGTAGTTCAATTTCTCTACTTCTCTTTCGTTAGTGAACCAGTCTTTGGAACAAATAAGACTTCTAATATTTTTTTTTTCCCTTCCCTTAAACAAAACAGTTCGTTAATGTCTCAAAACAACAAGGTTCTAGCAACTGTGCCAATTCAATGCTCCAAACAACTGGCACAATCTTTACATGTTTGTCAGTATGTTGCGTGTATAAGAGCATAAACTGATATTACATACAATCTCACAACCTCAATATTTTATTATTAATGGAGGAAAATAATTACTTAATTGAGAAAAAGAAGGAAATGACTTAAGTGTTTGCAAATCAGAAGTCAAAGAGAACAAAAATATGCATTTGCTTAATTACCAAAAATTTATTAATTCAACTACATGAGAGAGATTCTCTCCCAGGAGCCACAAACTTGTTATATGACTTATCTTCCACAATGAGAACGTAACATGTGCTCCTAAATTAAAATTTAGAGATAGCACCACTGACACAATTGGTGAAAAACATAATCGGTGCAAAGATAATCCTCATCTCAACGAAGCGTTTTCCCAACTATCCGGTGCAAAGATAACAAAACTGTTTTCGAGAATTCGCATCCACTTCCAAGTTTCAACCATGCATGTCAAAATCACTATACCAGTATATTCCAAGCTAATTTACACCTGGCCATCGATTTTCCAGCTTTGAATTATATATGTATATTTATTAACATATTAGTTTTTGATTATTTATGTCACTCCCTATAGAGTTTTAGATCTGGATCTCCCTGTCACTGTTGAGCAGAATAGCCTCAGAGATGCAAAGAATATAGAATTTCTCGTCATATCTGACAGAGTAGTAAAAGATTTGGCTCATACAAATTACAATTCACTATCGATAATGAATCATAAACACATTGCTTACATATCAGAAGTCTAGAGAAGAAAAATTCCCGATTCTTTTACTCACTTTAACAAATGTCTACCTCTCACAAACTGGATGGTTGGCAGTCTACCTGACCAAATCGACCATAGAATTTCAATGCTGCTGTTTGCACCTGACAATAAACTTGTGATAGCATTATATTGTTGCCTACAATTGCATAACTTCAACATCACTGACCAATGTTCAATTCTTTTTTCAAAAAATTTAATGATTCTTGATTACTTACCTCCCTCCCGCGCACTTCCTCACAACCCCTTTCCTTTATTGGCAAGTATACAGCCAACATGCATATTGCCTTTAGCGAAATTCCATTATATGGAATTGCTCTCTGCCACCTAGACAAGCCCTATGCTCCCCACACTTTAGGAAAAGGTTGTTGACTGAAATTGCTATACGCAGGTCAAGGATAAGTTTTGCCTTCACATCCCTCAAATATCAGTTTTCTAACAGCCATACAAGCCTTGTACTTCCACGGTTTAGTAAAAATGTGTCCTCAAATGCTTACATAATTAATGAGGAAGCTGTGAGATATGGAATAAGAACCACAAGTCTAGCACTCAACACTCCACTATTAAAAATGTTTTGGATTGTAAAGAAGCAAGTTGTTCAACCAGTTCTACCAACCAACTTATTTAATTATTATCTGGACATTACAAAAAGCAATACCCCAAGTAACATTCGAATAAAAGTTCCCCTTTTATCAAATCTAAACATCCAACAAAAATAACAATTGTTATATAACAGAGCTGTCCTGGACACAACTGTTTCTATTTTGCATTCTCTCTCAACCATGCAAGCTCTAATCACAATCAATTGGTACCAAGAAACTCTGACAAATTGCTTCAGAGTTGAAGAAATGCCTATTTTTACTTTGTGACACTTGTAATGGGCCTTCTATGTTAAACTATAAATAAATCCCATATTTATTAAAGTACACTAAAATAATAAATTTAGCAAAATGAGAAAATCCCTCATTCAAACTCATTAAAAGGCTAAAAACTTGCACAAACTGAAAACTGATTACAGTAACAGTATTGAAGGAATAAAAAATAATAAAAAATTTGGGGAAAAAGAATATCATAAATGATCAACAAGAAGAGGAACAACCCTTCAAAAACCCATTACACGGTGAAAGTCAACATACTTATTTCTCAAAGCATCAGAAGTTTAAATCTAGCATCCGTCTGAAACATCAGAAACCCTAAATATGTAACAAGATTAACATTTGAAATACCACGGATCCATCTGCTAAATAAATTAGAAGACCCTAATTACACAACAAGAAGGCTAAACAGCATAAATATATTAACCATAAACATCAGAATTTTCAAAAAATAAAAAAGCAACAAACTGTAGAAATACCCAAAAGAAAAATCACATACCCACTTTCTCAAATCATCAGAAAACCCTAATTACAAAACAAAAGGGTGAAATAAGGTATCTTTAATCCCAAATCATCGATAAAAACTCTAATTGCATAACACGTAAATTTGAGACCATAAAAATCAAGGCAAATAAACTTACCACTAAGTTTGACTGCCTCTATGGCATCGAACCCGGACTGTCTCGAGTGACGAGGAAGGACCCAAAATATAGCAGACAGGAACGCACACACGCTGAAAATCAAAACGACGGCGCATTTGACATTGAACTGCCGACCGATTCTAGACAGACCCACCGAACAACTCTCGCAGCAGATTGTAGAGCGAGTTCGATTCCCCTCAATCTGCTGCCGCTGCAGATGTAGTTGTTCTTCGACTTTCCCCATTTCCAGAGCATCTGTAACTGCCCACCTCTCTCTCTCTCTCTCACACGCACACAGTGACTCTCTCTCTCTCTATAAAACAACAGAGACAACGGGGATTCAAATTTCTGTAGGTGATGCCGACGAAAGACAACTGTTCATGGTGGGCATACTCTCTCTCCCACTCTCTCTCTCTCTCTCTCTCCACACACTCTCTCTCTCTCTGCACTATAAGCTGTGAGTCTTGGAGATATATTTTACATTTTATTAATCCGTAAATAAAAATTAACTAATTATAAATTGATTAATTAATTAAAAATAAATTAAATAATTATTATTATTTAATTGATTAATTAATTGAAAATATGAAATTGGCTACCGAACGTTGAGAAGAAGCAAAGTTATAAATAAAAAGTGTATGAGAGAGAAAGTGTGTGTTGAAGAAGAATACGAGTGAGTGAGTGGTGGACCATAGTGAATGGATTAAAGAAGACTAAAGTGAAATTTTATGCACCACTCACATTTCAAAAATTCAAATGGCACTTGCTCACTTTTATACACTATTTATTACACTTTGATTCATTGTGCGTTCTCTCATTTTTTAGGGTTTACTCAAGGATTAAGGGTTTGATGATGAGCCAGTAATGAAGTTGACTATTCTCGGGCATGCATGTGTACTTACAATTATATAAAATAAATTGGAGTTGTAATTGGGAACACGTAGCGAAGGTATATAATTTACGGGTAATAATACTAATGTGATTGAGCAATAGTTTGTTGTGATTTTTAAGAAATTATTAGATGGTCCTAATATATTTGATATTTGGTGAACTAATTTAATGCAAATTTTCTCATCATGAAACTTTATAATTTATTAATACACTCTTATGAGGCCTTTTTTCAATCCGAAAGTCTGTATTTAACTGGTCCATCAAGTGTTAATGATGCGGGATCATCTAATAATTTCTCGTGATTTTTTTTATCTTAAAAAAATACTCCATACGTCTCAAAAAGAGTGTTTCTTTGGGAACCGTATCTCTTTAATTTGTGAGAGTCATGAATTCCCAAAAACAGAGAGAATTATTTGTGCAAGTAAATAAATTAACTCAATTAACTAAAATAAAAGGATAAGAGTAAAAGAGATCAGATGATATATCACATAAGTGCACACAAACATATTTAATGAATAATTATTTATTTAAGGTGCGGTGGTGAAGTTAAGTATCTCTAACTACTAACTATTGTCAAGAAAAAAAAAAAAAAATTATTTCTTTGACTTACAGATTATGGAGTACTTTCTTTTCTTTTTCAATTTATTTTTCTCGCTTTTGCAATAAAAGAAAATTCTGCACTTTATTCTTTGTTATTGTAAAAATAAAAAGATGTGAAATGGGAATCTAGGATAGTTTTTTCTTTTTCTTTTTCCCCCCTTTTTATTCAGTAGATTAAGCCTATTTTACTACCCAATAGTTTATTTAATTTGTAATGCTAACATTTGATTGATATCACCTTCAAAAATATTATTTGAAATGCTATCATTTGATTGGTATCTTTAAAAGTCTAACCAGATTAAATTTTCAGCTTATTAACTGGATTAATCTTCTTATTTTTATTTTATTTGGTTAAAGATTAGGTAATTAAATTAATATTGTCAAAGTTTTAAGCAATGCCTTGGTGGTTCTATGACTTCAATTTATATAATGTGGTTATGTAGGAGACTAATTAAATTAGTACGTCACAGCTGGTCCATGATTTTAACTGGCTTTGCTGGCTAACATGGAAATGTCTTATTCTACATTCTACCTTTGCCTTGATAGGGCTAAAGAGTTGGCATTGTTGGGATATATATGTATGCCACAACAGTTTTAGGTCCCAAATGCATATATATATATATATATATATATAATTGTATTTTTTTTTTCATTTTGCACAGTGTCTCAGAATTTTATTATTAATTTTTATCAACATTTTGCGTGTGAGTGTGTGAATATTTAAATTTGGTGCAACACCAGGCGAAAATGGCCAACCACCAAGAATTGGATGAAACCTTGAAGTGTCATGGTAGTTGGGACTGTTGAGCTATGCTTTTCTTCTCTTAACGGGTTAACAACAGCTTTACAGGTCTCTCTAAATTGTTTAATAACAACATGCTTAAACCACAGTAACACCAATTCTTTCAACTTAGACAAAAATAATTAGCACGCTACACATTTTGTTTGGCGGATGTGATTTCACTTTTGATAAATTATACATATAATCTTGTAAAACTATCATCTCACATCTTGAAGGTCAGAAGTTTGAATTTCGTTAGAATAATTTGTAAGAAATTATTTTAATAATTATTCGATATATGTGGGATGAAGGAACTACATATACTTGATAACGAATTATGAGATGCTGTAAGAGATTTGACATCCCTATACAACTATATATTTCACATTATTTCGATAACAACATGCTTAAATCAGAGTAAGCCACGATAGTCATTTTGTTAGCCCATATTATTTCACTTTGAATAAATTATATAATAGTGTAAAACTGTTACTTTACATCTTGAAGGTCAGGTTCGAATCTCGTTGAAGTCACTTTTACGGAATTATTTGGATAATTGTCTGATACACGTGGGACAAGGGAATTATGTGTACGTGATTGTAGATTTTACAGGTGCTCTAAGAGATTCGACATCCCATCTTAAAAAAAAAAAAAAAAAAAAAAAAAAAAAAAAAAAAAAACTCTATATAATGATATTTCACATTTTTCAATTTATGTAATAAATAAATAAATAAGTTATATTAGACTTGAAATTAGTACATTGGGCTTCTAACTTCCCTGGTCTCATCCTAATGTAGACAGATGTCTGAATGGGTTGGGCCACAGGAATAAATTTCAAGCAAGACAATGAGATCTGGCCTTGAACTGGTTCTACATTGGCTTGAAGGCTAGCCTGGTCCAATAATATGTCTGAATGGTTCGGAATGGGCTGGGCCATAGGATTAAATTTTTAAGCCAAATTTTTAAAAATTACGTTGAACTGGTCCTAAACTGGCTTGAAGACTAGCTTGGTCCAGTGATCCATTTATTCTATTGTATATGCAATTTTCTGATGTAAAATTGTAATGTGGTTGGAGAGAAATAAAAGGAAAAGGAAAAGAAAAGAAAGGTAACTAGGGAAATAGTATATTGTGTTTGGTTTTAAAAAAAAAAATTTAAAGAAAAAGAAAATGGTGGAACATAAATTAGATATGATAAGTAGTTTTGCTATCATTCCAAAAAAGAAAAAAAAAAAATGGAAGGAAAATGTTACAAAATTTAATGTCCTTATTTTTATAATAGACAAAATCAAAATACCATTTCTTGGGGGTAGAAACTCAGAATTAGAGAAGAGTATTTCTGAATTTGGTGTGATTTGCAAATGACTAATTGGTTTATAAATTTTAAACTTGGGTTATATAAACTTCAATTGGTTTCACTTTATTTTCAATGCGGCCGCTTCCCACATTTTACATACTCATTTAAGCTTATCAAATACCTTACTTTTGAGCTAATTTCTCATTCACCCGGAAACAAATTTGGAAAAATAAATATACCACATTTATCTCTTTACGGAGAGGAACATGTTCGTCTATAGATCCGCAAGAAATTCTTAACAAGACTTACTCACAATTTCACCCAAAATTTATATTTTGTATGCTCCGTTTCCAACATATATTTGTCTTTAAAATGTGAAAGGGTATATGAAAAAAAATGTGAAAAGTGTAACGACCCAAAAGGATACCAAAATAATAATAAAAATTTATAAAAATTTCGGCATGACCTTCGCAGAAAATGTCTCTAAACAACCTGTTGAAATACAAAAAAAAAAAATACAATGGCCTCACTGGGCCTTAAATCTAACATATCCTGTCCCAACACAATATACATATATTATATCACATCTCCAAAGTGACTACATACATACAAAATCCCATTCCTCCATCTCATCCAACAAGGAATATACTTTGGTTACATCAAGTTACAGTCCAAAAAGCGTAGTTAGAATTTAAAAGTTCATGGCTTACAACATTATACTAATTAAACAAAAGTTTTACGAGTTAGTTAATATTACATTTACAAAATATTAGAGAGTTTTAATACAAAAGATAGAAAAAAAAAAAAAAAAAAAAAAAAATAGCAAAAAATAAAAAACAAATAAATAAATAAAATAGGTCTCCGTGCTCGTCTAAAATCGTGGTGGATCGTCGTCCGCCACCTCTTTTTCATGTCTTGAAAAATGTTAGAAATAATGGGGTGAGCATAAGCTCAGTAGGAAGTGTCTAAGACACACTTCTTATATCCCCGTGAATCCATACAATGAATAGATAAAAAAGTGAAAGAGATCATGCTATAAGGAAACACACACTCTCAAATACAATAACAAGTATGTAACAAATACCACCCAATCACAAGTTTACCACAATGTCATGAAGTGCAATATGCAAATGTTACTCCCCATTTTCCGAAACATTTCCGTTTCAACTTCCAAAACCGTTAGTGTAATCCGACCCAAGGCACTTCCAAGGCGTCACGAATGGAGGGTTGACAAACTATCCACGACCACAAGGCACCTCCAAGGCGTCGCATCCGGCCCAGTTAGCTCGACCATGATCCCTTCTAGACTACACTAACACCACGGACCACTAAGCGCCTCCTAAGCGTCCGGTTTTCTCAAACTCCTTTTAAAAAAAAATATTTTTCCCAAAATAATTTCGTTTGTTAAAAAAAAAAAACATTTTTTCCCCCTTTTTCTTTCCCAATGAATGCATGAATGCGTATGCTTCAATTTATCAATTCAACCATAGGCTTTCATACATTTCATTTACATCATTATCACAATTTAATAGAAATTTATAAGCATTTATTTCTTTTATTTATTTATTTATTTATTGACCATAGCATCATTTTCTTTCAAAGTAATAAATAAATACATAATCTTAGGACATACAACATGTCAACACCAAACATGCTCAATCACCGCAATAAATCTAGTCATATATATGAATTCAAATAATACATGGAACACATTTAGCATTTTAGTTAAACATGCTTCAACCACAAACTAGATAACCAAAATTAGCATGCTTAGGATCAAATTTAAGGGGCAAAATTCACAAAAAGAGCTAAGAAGTTGTAGATTAGAACACCCCTACCTCAATGGAAGTGAAAACTCCTAAAATTCCCAAATTCAAGCCCAAGAACCCTAGAATTTTGAACTCCCTAGAGTGCACCAAGTGATGACTGGCTCCTATCAAATTAACGGGCTCGACGAGCTCAACAACTTTGCTTCACAATGTTCTACCAAAATCTAATTGGTGAAGATGAGATCAAAGCTTAAAATTACAAAAAGAGAAAAAGAAAAGAGACGCCGAGAGAAGGCCGGAAGCATAGAGAGAAATATATGTATGCGTAATGGCCTTATGGCCTTAAGTCATGTTTTTAAGTTATTGGTGGAGCCCACCTACTTTTGAAAAAAATCATAACTTTAATATATATCTACATATACATATATATATAAGCATAACTATTACAAAAAGACTATAAACTAATTTCATTTCCACCCTTCTTTCCAAACACAATTAAGTGGTAACAATTAAGTGGTAAAGCCATCGTTTTCTTTCTGTTCACACATCAATCAACTAAAAGTTAACAATATCCTTCTATTTCTTTTCTTTTCTCTTTTGATTAATGGCATCTCTTTTGATTAATGGTAAAGAAAAAGTATGATACTGTATTGCTTTAGGAAGACAAATAAATTGATTTCTACATTATCATGAATAAATTAAGAAAAATTATTGCCTTAGCAAGACTAATAAATTGATTGCTGGACAATCATGAAGAAATGAAGACAAAATAATGCGTGACCAAGACTTTTTGGTGACTAGCAAAGCTAAAAGCCACCTTTTAAATAGCTAAAGTTGTGCCTGTTAATAACTGTTCCTTGTGTGATGAAAAATTCCTAAAGTTTAATTCAAGAATGCCAATGATAAAAGTGTTGATGGTCTCGTGTTTCACTATCAGTACTGTCCACTATAAACTTGTGAGACACCTGACTATTGTCAAGTCTTCGTCAATTCTTTAATTTATCTAGAATAATTTATTGTCGTAAACCGATCCAAGCCGCTTAAGCTAATCTGACTTTCAGCGCAGCTTGTGATCTAGACAAAAGATTCAATTGTAAACATATTTTGATTGGCTTCGTTAGATGCTCAGTTAGTCAGCTTGAGAGATATGGGAATGCAAAGTTAATCACACTTGGATTTTTATTTTGTTTTTAGCCAGCCACCTTTATAGTTCTATTTATACGTTTGCATCATAAGTTGCAGACTCTAAATCATTTTCTCACTCTATACCTTCTCCATCACAAATTGTAATTTTTGATAGTAGATCATCATCATCATGGTGATCATGGCAAATAGATCGAGTCTTCCACTTGTAGCTACGTACTTCATTGGATTTCTCTGCTTGGGAAGCATTGGATACATCATGGGTGGTTCTCTTCCGAGTGTTCAATGCATGGAGAGCGAGCAGGAAGCTCTTCTGAGGTTCAAAGAAGGCTTGGTTGATCGTTCGGATCGCTTATCTTCTTGGGTGGTTGAAGAAGAAGCTGATTGTTGCAAATGGAGAGGAGTTGAGTGCAACCACACCACTGGTCATGTCATGGCTCTTGATTTACACAGCCAAACCCCAAATGAGTCCTTGCAAGGTGAGTTGACTTATTCTGCTTTGCTTGACTTGCCATATCTAACTTACCTAGACTTGAGTCTCAATCATTTTGACAGAAATGAAATTCCCCAATCCATTGGCTCTCTTAGGAATCTAAAATATCTCAATCTATCTGATGCTAATTGCAGAGGAAATATTCCCAGTGACCTTGGAAATCTATCGCGGTTACATTCTCTTGATTTGAGTAGTAGTACTTACCACTCTCTTAGAGCAAACAGCCTTGACTGGCTTCAAGGTCTTTCTTCCTTGAAGGTCCTTGATTTGGGCGGGGTTGATCTTAGTAATGCAGTGAATTGGCTCAATGCCATCAATATGCTACCTTCTTTGGTAGAACTGCACTTGTTCGCTTGTAACCTCAACAATCTTCCTTCATCTTTGCCTCATGTGAACTTCACGTCGCTTGAAATTCTTGACCTCTCCCTTAACAGCTTCAATTCTCCGATACCCCTTTGGTTGTTCGACATCAGCCATAGTCTTGTTCATCTAAACCTCACAAGAAATCAGTTACAAGGCCCCATTCCTGATGCTTTTGTGAACATGACTTCTCTCGCTGTTCTAGATTTGTCACAGAATAATCTTGAAGGTGGAGTGCCCACGAGTTTGGGACTGATTCAGGAAGGCAACCAACTCAAAGGACCTTCATCCTTGAGAGAATTGCATCTTTCCAAGAATCGATTAAATGGGACTTTAGTACAAAGTCTTGGTCTGCTTTCAAAACTAGTTGTCTTTGATGTTGCGGAAAATTCCTTGTCTGGTGTAATCACTGAGGCTCATTTTTCGAATTTAAGTAGCTTACGAGTATTAGATTTGTCTCTCAACTCGTTCGTTTTCAACATGAGCTCAACTTGGATCCCTACTTTTAGACTTGATATAATCCGCCTAAAGTCTTGCCATTTGGGATCACTATTTCCAAAGTGGCTTCAGACACAAAATGACTTCTCTTACATTGATATTTCTGAAGCTGGTATTTCTGACACCATGCCTAATTGGTTTTGGAATCTATCTACACTGGTGGAGCACATGAATGTTTCTCTCAACCAACTCAAAGGAAAAGTGCCCAATTTATCATCAAAACTCAATCTTTCCCATCTAGATTTGAGTTACAACATATTTGATGGTCCCCTGCCTTCTTTTTCTGCCAAAATGGTGTCATTGGTTCTGGCTCAAAATTCATTTTTCGGACCTATTTCTGGTATATGTGAATCATTGATGGTTACAAAAAGTTCCCTTAGTACTCTGGATTTGTCTGAAAATAATTTATCAGGCAAGTTACCAGACTGTTGGGCATATGGGCAAAATTTGTTCTTTATGGATTTATCATTCAACCAGATATATGGTAGAATCCCGGACTCTATTGGCGGTCTTCCTCTCATGGCGTTGCATTTGAGGAACAATAGTTTATATGGGAAACTGCCTTTGTCTTTGAAGAATTGCACAACTCTGGTCTCTTTAGATCTTTCAGTTAATAGATTATTTGGAAGCATACCAGCATGGGTTGGGGAAAGTTTACCATACTTGTCATTTCTTAGCTTGAGCTCGAACAATTTCAGTGGAAGCATTCCATTGCAGCTGTGCCAACTTTCGTCGCTGAAAATATTGGATCTTTCAGCAAACTACCTATCAGGGGAAATTCCGCGGTGCATCAACAACATTAGGGGTATGGCGATGACTGAATATGATCCTTATACTGCCCAAGGGGAGGACATGCTCAAGCTATTTGAAAGAAGAAGATTTGAGCAGTTTTATAATTGGTCATGCGTAATTGATCTTTCGTCCAATAATTTATCCGGAGAGATCCCAAAAGAAGTCACGAGCCTTATTGGATTAGAAGTCTTGCGTCTCTCCAAAAATAATCTGAAAGGTGTTATTCCTGTGCAGTTGTGCCAACTCCAGTCTCTCAAAGTCTTGGATCTTTCTTGGAATCATATATCAGGAACAATTCCACCGTGCATCAACAATATTATGGGTATGACTAGGTTCGGAAATGATGAATTTATAGACCTAAGGGAGGGGACATTCTGTGATCGGACCAGAATGATATCAGTTTACTACCTATATGAAATTGATCTTTCATCCAATAATTTATCAGGAGTGATCCCAAGAGGAGTCACAAGCCTCACTATGTTGCGTGCCTTGAATCTGTCAAATAACCATTTGACAGGTGCTATTCCGCGCAACATTGGTGCCATGAGTGGCATACAACTGCTAGATTTATCCAGGAATAAGCTTTCATGCTCCATACCCACTAGCATAACCGAATTATCTTTTCTTGCTCTACTGGATGTGTCACATAACAATTTGTCAGGGAAAATTCCATCGGGAAGTAGGATGAACACTTTTGATGAAACATCCTTCTTGGAAAACCCCAACCTCTGCGGGCATCCATCTACGAATGATTGCTTGCACAATGAGACATACGAGGATGCACTTTGTACAAGTCTTGAGGAAGGAGGTAAAGAAAATGAAGTCAATCAAGATGACGATGATGACTGGCTTGACACAACTTCATTCTACATTAGCATGGCTGTTGGATTCGTTACGTCGTATTGTGGGTTTTGGGGTGCCTTACTGTGCAACAGTTCATGGAGGCATGCATATTTCAAATTCTTGGGCAATCTCTATGACAAGATATACGTGACGGTTGCAGTTAGTGTGAACAAATTGCGCAGGAAGTATCAGAGCAAGCATGCATAATAATATTACTGAGTAAGAAATCTTGGTGTAGAATCTTAATGAGTATTAGTTGTTACATCTTCAGCTATTGTTTTCTTATTTGTTCTTCTAACATTTCTCTGTTCTTGCTTTTCTGTTTGTCCGCACCTTATCTTTATTTTGCTCGATTTGCAGGCATTGTTTGCTCATGAATTAGGGCAGTTAGTGTGCAGTGAACCGGTCATTTTCAAAAGAGATTCCCATATTGTATTCAAGGCTGCCTCAAGGACGATGAGAGGGTTCCCAGATTGTAGAAAACAAAAATGTCTAAAATTCCGGAGTTTTTGGCTTATCAGTGGTTGCTCTGTTTCAGTCATCTTGTTTATAAATATGTTCTTAAAGTTGAATGCTTTTGTTATGGGCACTGCTGGTTAGGCTATTTTGCTCTGTAGATTTGTTTTGGCTTTTGTTTTGAGCTGTGGTTGATGGCTATTGGAGTTAGTTTATTGAGTTTGGGTTTGTGTCACTAAAAAAAAAAAAACTTGAAACCAGATCCATATATTTAAGTTGTTGCAGTTAAAAAGCTTGGTCCGCCTTCCAGTGTGCATCGGCGTCTCGTCCCTTCTTACCTGTTGATCCTGCCAATAGTCATATGCTTGTCTCAACTCTCAAAGATTAATGAAGTATGAACTAATTCAAACTGTGGAATTGCGAATGGCTCTAATACCATATAAACTTGAAAGAAAAGAAATATGGAATAAACCTTTTTATATGTATTAACACACAATTCACAAGTTTATACGAGTTCTCATTTATAGGAGAGAATACACATACATAATTAGCTGGTCTAATTAATAATTTCCTAATTTACAGTATTTGACCAATATTTTATTTACAGCAAATATTCTCCAAATATTATATTTACAGCTAATAATATTTGGTAGTATACCAAATCTTTCCTTTTCAACAGTCACTTTATCATTTGTACATTGTTATTCCATATTAATAAATTAATCTTACTTAGCCAGTCATTTGGCTTTTGTACATAATTCATCTTCTTTCGCCCTAATACAGTTGTACAGCAATCCTTTTTTTATTGCAGATTTTCAGTTCTTGATATATACTGTTAGATGATGATTATTGGTCCTTAATAGAATTGAGAATATGATTGAACCTCAGCAAGAAGGGATAAGTGGAATGTTTCAATTGATCTTTCAGTTAGTTAATTTAGGTAATATGTATTATCTTATTTCTTGATGTTATTGTAATAGAATTAAGAATTTGATTGAATGAATGAAAAGTTAAGAATTTTGATGGTTAATACTCAATTCAAAAAGATTATTGGTAATTGATATCTAATTAAAAAAGATCATTTTAGAGTCTAGAAACATATTGTTATTAAGAAAGACCATTATATTTGTTAATTGTTAATATCATGTCTTGTGTGTAAAACTGCAAGGAAATTTGGTTAACAAATTTCACTAAAAGCCGGCCTGTGATTAGAAAATCATAATTATATCACCTGATTGAGAATTTGTGGGTGATCATTGCAACCCACGATTGCCCTTAACTCACCAGATTGATTATAGACATCCATTGCTAACTGCTTAGGAGCAGTTATCAACGGCTATCTGTTTACTGAAAACTGGTATTTGAGTTTTGGGGGTGCCTTTGAATTGTGTTCATGGCCTTGGGCCTTGTTTGTTTATTAAACTGTAATCTTTTGGGCTGCTTGGGCCAAACTGGCTTTGTAAATTCCTTATATATATATATACACACCCATTTGAACCGAAAAAAAAAAAAAAAAAACCCGAGCAGTCTCACGTAAATTTGTATCCTAAATGATTTGAGATTAAAAGATTGAGAGGGTATCCTTTATCTATTTGGAAAAGTAAATTCGGACCTACTTCCTTTATCTGTTTTTTCATGCCTTGATATTTAAGGCCCTGTTTGGTAAGCGTTTTGTTTTTACTCTTTTTGTTTTTGGAATGCTACAGTGTTGATTTTGGCAACAAAAGTATGTTTGGTGCCTTGTTTTATTTTACCGAATGCTAAAACACTTCGTGAACAATGGCCCAAAATCAAAATACAAAAAAAATTATTTTTTCTTGTCTGTTTCCGACATTTCAACAGCAAAATATTATTCTCAAATGTGCTTTTAATTTTTTTTCAAAACACTCCTATAATGAAAATATTATTTATGTTTTAACCAAAAACAATACTCCTAAAATAAAGGGCATGTCAAACTGCCCTTGGTGTGATGGTAAATACAGTAGAATAAATTTAACTAATTTGATGTGACGCATAATATGATAATTCATTGATTCAAATCATTATCCCAAACACTCTTAATCTAAGACATAGACTTAAAATTAATAGTATCGACTCCTCTACCATGAAGCAAGTAGAATCATTGGTAGGCGGCTTTGAGTTCCTTGATCATGATATGTTCTAAGTGGGACCTGGGATGATATTTTAGTCAGCAAACAACATTTGATTGGTTAGCCAAAATTTTCCAAAACTAACATTCACCACACAATTTAGTCATTGGTGAGACTGGGGCATGTACAATCAATTGGCTCCAATGCTTGATAAGGAGATAGGAAGGTAACACTGTTTCTTCCAAGAATATGTTAAGCAAAATTGATTCGTTATGTCACAAGTTAACACGGTGGATTAAATTTAGTTCAAAATTAGATTATTTAAGCTGCACTTTCTCAACCATGCGTTGAAAAATGTAAAGAGAAAAAAGTAAAAATATTTCTAGAAAGTATAGATATTTCTTGTTAGGTTTGAAGAATGCAACGCCGTAAACTAGCAATCAAGCTGCGTGATGCAACTTTTTTTGTGGTTCTATTTAAGCATTTACATCTTAAGCTGCAAACTCAATTTGTTTTGCCTTACTTGTATACCTTGTTTGTCACAAATTGATTCGTTACGTCATAATTCAATAGTTGATTAAAGTTAGATCAAGACTAAATTATTTAAGGTGCAATTTCTCAACCACGTGTTGAAAAATGTTGATAAAGAAAATAAGAGATATTTCTAGAGAGCTTAGATATTTCTCGTTAAGGTTGAAGAATGCAAGGCCATGAACTGATGATCCAAATTGCGTGATGTAACCTTTTTTTGTAATTCTATTTAAACATTTACATCATAATTAAGTTGCAGACTCAATTTGGCTTGCCTCACTTGTATACCCTGTCTGTCACAAATTGTAATTTTTCATAGTCCATCATCATCATCTATCATGGTGATCATGGAATATTATAGATTGAGGCTTCAAGTACTTGTAGCTATGTACTTCATTGGATTTCTTTGCTTGGGAAGCATTGGATCCATCATGGGTGGTTCCCTTCCAAATGTTCAATGCATGGAGAGCGAGCAGAAAGCTCTTCTGAGGTCAAAGAAGGCTTGGTTGAAGAAGAAGCTTCTTGGGTGGTTGAAGAAGAAGCTGATTGTTGCAAATGGAGGGGAGTTGAATGCAACCACACCGCTGGTCATGTCATGGCTCTTGATTTACATAGCCAAACCCTAAATGAGTCCTTGCCAGGTGAGTTGACTTATTCTGCTTTGCTTGACTTGCCATATCAAGCAAAGCAGAATAAGTACATGGTGATTCATGGAATATTATAGACATAGACTTAAAATTAATAGTATTGACTCCTCTACCATAAAGCAAGTAGAATCATTGGTTCGCGGCTTTGAGTACTTTGATCATGATATGTTCTAAGTGGGACCCTGGCATGATATTTTAGTTAGTAAACAACATTTGATTGGTTAGCCAAAATTTTCCAAAACTAACATTCTCCACACATTTAGTCATTGGTTAGACTCTGGCATGTACAATTAGTTGGCTCTAATGCTTGATAAGGAGTTAGGAAGCTAACACTGTTTCTTTCACGAATCTGTTAAGCAAAATTGATTTGTTGTGTTACAATTAAAGTTAGATCAAGATTAAATTATTTAAGGTGCAATTTTTCAACCACGTATTGAAAAATATATAGAGAGAGAATGAGAGATATTTCTAAAGAGCTTAGATATTTTTCGTAAAGTTTGAAGAATGCAAGACTGTGAATTGATGATCCAAGCCTTGTGATACATCATTTTTTGTAGTTCTATTTAAGTGTTTATATCGTAAGTTGCAGACTCAATTTGTCTTGCCTTACTTGTATACCTTGTTTGTCACAAATTGATTCGTTACGTCACAAATTGATTCGTTACGTCAAAATTCAACAGTAGATTAAAGTTAGATCGAGACTAAATTATTTAAGGTGCAATTTCTCAACCACATGTTGGAAAATGTAGAGAGAGAAAATGAGAGATATTTCTAGGGAGTTTAAATATTTCTTGTAAAGTTTGAAGAATGCAAAGCCATAAACAGATGATCCAAGCCGCGTGATGGAACTTTTTTTTTTGTAGTTCTATTTAAACGTTTACATCATAATTAAGTTGCAAACTCAATTTGGCTTGCCTCACTTGTATACCTTGTTTGTCACAAATTGCAAATTTTCATAGTCCATCATCATCTATCATGGTGATCATGGAATATTATAGATTGAGTAGTCTTCAAGTACTTGTAGCTTTGTACTTCATCGGATACATCATGGGTGGTTCCCTTCCAAATGTTCAATGCATGGAGAGCGAGCAGAAAGCTCTTCTGAGGTTCAAGGAAAGCTTGGTTGATCATTCGGACCGTTTATCTTCTTGGGTGGCTGAAGAAGAAGCTGATTGTTGCAAATGGAGAGGAGTTGAATGCAACCACACCACAGGTCATGTCATGGCTCTTGATTTACCAAATGAGTCCTTGCAAGGTGAGTTAAATTCTGCTTTGCTTGACTTGCCATATCTAAGTTACCTAGACTTGAGTCTCAATCATTTTGACACAAATGAAATTCCCAAGTTCATTGGCTCTCTTAGTAATCTAGAATATCTCAATCTCTCTCAAGCCAATTTCAGGGGACATATTCCCAGAGAACTTGGAAATCTTTCACGGTTACATTTTCTTGATTTGAGTAGTAGGTACCACCCTCTTACAGCAAGCAACCTTGACTGGCTCCAAGGTCTTTCTTCTTTGAAGGTCCTTAACTTGGGCGGGGTTGATCTTAGGAATGCAGTGAATTGGCTCAATCAAATCAATGTGCTGCCTTCTCTAGTAGAACTGCACTTGTTTGATTCTAACCTTAACAAGCTTCCTTCATCTTTGCCTCATGCAAACTTCACGTCGCTTCAAATTCTTGACCTCTCACTTAACAACTTCAGTTCTTCAATACCTCGTTGGTTGTTCAACATTAGCCATAGTCTTGTTCATATAAACTTCACAGGAAGTCACTTACAAGGCCCCATTCCGGATGCTTTTGAGAACATGACTTCTCTTGCTATTCTTGATTTGTCCTCGAATAATCTTGAAGGTGAAATACCCAAAAGTCTGGGTTTGATTCGGGAAGGAAACCAACTCAAAGGACCTTCATCCTTGAGAGAATTGGATCTCTCCTACAATCAATTAAATGGGAAATTATTGCAAAGTCTCGGTCTACTTTCAAAACTAGTAGTCTTGGATGTTGAATTGAATCGCTTGGCAGGTGTTATCACTGAGGCTCATTTTTCGAATTTAAGTAGCTTACGAGTATTACGTTTGGATGGCAACTCGTTTGTTTTAAACATGAGCTCAAGTTGGGTCCCTGTTTTTCGACTTGATATAATAAGCTTGTGGGATTGCCATTTGGGACCACTATTTCCCTATTGGTTACGTACACAAAATGACTTCTCCTACATTTCTATCGATCATGCTGGTATTTCAGATTCCGTGCCCGATTGGTTTTGGAATCTCTCTACAATGGCAGATCAGGTGACTCTCTATAGCAATCAGCTCAAAGGAAAAGTGCCGGATTTGTCGTCGTTAGTCAATCTTTCACATCTAGATTTGGGGAGCAACAGTTTTCATGGTCCCCTGCCACGTTTCTCTGCCAAAATGAAGACATTGTATCTGGATGACAATTTGTTTTCCGGACATATTTCTCATATATGTGAGTCGTTGGTTGTAAATAGTTCCTTAAGTGTTTTGTATTTGTCTGGAAATAACTTCTCTGGACAGCTACCAGACTGCTGGACAAATGGGCAAAATTTGGACACACTATACTTGGGAAACAATCAGTTTTATGGCAAAATTCCAGACTCAATTGGCCATCTTCCTCTCTTTATTTTGAGTTTGTGGGGGAATAGGTTATATGGGGAAATCCCTTTGTCCTTGAAGAATTGCGCAAGTTTAGCGCATTTAAATCTCAAGCATAATAAATTATCGGGGAGCATAGCTTGGATTGAGGGAAGTCTCCCAAATTTGGCAATTCTATACTTGGATTCTAACAATTTCAGTGGAACTATTCCCTCGCATCTGTGCCAACTTAAGCATCTAAAACTTTTGAATCTTTCTTCAAATCATATATCAGGAACAATTCCACTGTGCATCAACAATATTATGGGTATGACTAGGACTGATTATAATCCTTTAACGGGTGAAGAAGATCGCAATCCTATGGCTCCATGTAGCATTGATCTTTCGTCAAATAATTTATCAGGAGAGATCCCCATAATAGTCACGAGCCTTATTGGATTGGTTTACTTGAATCTTTCAAATAATCATTTGACAGGTTCTATTCCACACGACATTGGTTCCATGAAACTTTTAGAACAGCTTGATTTATCCCGGAACGAGCTTTCATGCTCCATACCCACCAGCATATCTGATTTAGCTTCTCTTGAATTTTTGGATGCGTCACAAAATAACTTATCAGGAAAAATTCCATCAAGCATGCAGAAATTCGATAAAGCATCCGTCATGGGAAATCCCAACCTCTGCGGGCTTCCAACTGCGAATGATTGCTTGAGCAATGTGACATATGAGGATGCACTTTGTAGAGGCGAGGAAGCAAGCAAAGGAAGTGAAAGCAGGCAAGTTGAGAATGGGGATGGGATTGAAACAACTTCATTCTACATTAGAATGGCAGCCGGATTCATTACTGGATATTGTGGGTTTTGGAGCGCTTTATTGTTCAACACTTCATGGAGGAATGCCTATTACCGATTCTTGGGCAATCTTTGTGAAAAGATATACGTAATGGTTGTTGTTAACATGAACAGAGTGAGCAAGAAGTTTCAGAGCAAGCAGGCATGATATTACTGAGTAAGAAAGCTTGGTGCATGGAGAATTTCAGGAATGGTAGGTGGGTGTTCCATCTTTGGCTTTTGTTATTTATTTCTTGTTCTACCTTTTATTTATTTATTTATTTAATTGTGATTAATTTATTTTATTTTCTTCAGTACTGTAAATTTGGATCTTTGTGAGATTTATTAAAGGGTGATTAATATGATTATAGATGAATTTTAGTGCAATTTTGTTTTTAGGTTCGGAGGTGAATGTGATTTTTGGAGATTTGTTTTTGGTGGATATAACATATATTTTAAGGATAGTAAGTAGTAATAATATTAGTGATTCAACTTAGTGGTGGGATACTTGTCATCTACTAAGGTTATGTGGGAATAAATGAGGCTGCCATATGTACTGATGCATGGAAGAGGAATGTGTCATTTAAGACACAACACATTTGCATGTAAGAACGTGCATGGCTGCCATGTGTTGGTTAGGCTTTGGATTTGTAATTGGGATTATTTTTGGTAATTTTACAATTTCCTAATCATGTTTTGTGATTGCTCCTAATTCTAGGTCGTTACATTTACTGTTCAACAGTTCATGGAGGAATGCCTATTACTGATTCTTGGGTAATCTTTGTGACAAGATATGCGTGATTGTCGTTGTTAATATGAACAGATTGTACAGGAAGTTTCAGAGCAACCATGCATTATAATATTAATTTGTGGCTATATTTGTTTCATTCTTAGTCTACCATTTTTATGTTTATTATGCAAACCTTCTCTATTCAACTTCTGCATATTTCTCTCTCTAATCATTCTGAAAGTAGTCTAGCTACTTGTATTTATATCCATATATTATGTAGCATAACTATTTGATTAAAGAGGGGCTAGCTAGCTTTATCCTTATTATGCCCCTTTCTTTCAAGAGTTCTTAATTTTTGTGATGCCCATATATACACCATTTAAAGCTGGATTTTTGTATCTTATTAATGACATCCTTTTCCATTTCTAGCACTAACATGTTTCCCTTTTCTCTAGAATTCTCTCACTTTAACATTAATTTTGTAGTTTTCTTTCCTCGAACTGCCATTAGCTTATTCTTTGCTACTTGTTAATTGTTATGAACTTATGATTATAACCACTCTATTTCTTTTCTTTCTTTCTTTCTTTCTTCTTCTTCCCATCCTCCACAATCTCCTCCTCTCACACTATATCTCCTTCTCTCACACTATGAATTTTTTTACCCAAGCACAGCTTCAGCTTGATGACATGGATGGCCCTTAGAAACAAGCCCCTTCATGCCATTCCCGCATTAATCTAACTGTTGTTCTCTGCAATTCTTCTAATGTATCCATCTCTGACCTTTTATTTCGCTGCCCTTTCTCCTCTCAAATTTGGAACTCTATTTTTGCTCTATTTTTGCTCTATGTGACCTTTTATTTCGCTGCCCTTAGGCTAAGTTGAAATCAAAGGGATGTCTAACAAGAAAGCCTTCAATTTCAAACCCCAAACAATCAGGAATTAAACTCATTTCAGCAAGTCCACTGATAAAAAAGAACAGATTACTGCTCAAGAAGATTACAATTTAGGGCTGTAAATACAAAGTGAATAACAACTATTCCCATATACATACATACAAAATTTAGGGCTGGAATTTTGTGAATAATATACATATATACATACATACATGTGGAAACCATTAATTCATGAAATCTTAGAACAAATAAGATAAGTATATGAGAAGATGGTGAAAGAAGGACCATTTTTCTACGGATCGGAGATGCTGGTGTTGTTGCCCTTCAGGTTGGCTTTGCAAGTGCAATCTTTGGGTAGAGTTTTTGATGATTTTGTGAAACCAAGCAATCGTATTAAATAATTTATAAACAATTGATGAATAAATTATTTTTGTTATATTTTAATTTTTTTTTGTAAATATTTTACAATAATTAAATAATAAAAAATATTTACATTCAACCAAATAGAACCTTAAAATTTAAACTTTTTTCCACTATTACACTTAGTTATCAATCATGTCTTTAACTTTTCAATTTTAAACTTTTAATTAATTCTCTGTACATTAATAAAATACATAGATGCATAAAACAAATAATAAAAAAAAAAAATTACTCTAATCAATCCTCTTTCATATTATTATACTTTAATAATATACTTTAATTCTAAGTGGACATATTTTAACATTCCTAGAATCAGCCAAACACAGAAAAAGAATATGTAAGTTGTATTGTAAACTTAATAATAATAGCATAATTTTAAGAAGAAGAAAAAAAATAAAAAATTTATGCAAAAAGGCCGATTTGTTTTGGTGAACATAGATCTAAAAATTGAATGTGTCTATTTTTTTTTTTTTTTTTTGGAATTTTAAGCAACTGACAAGTAAGTAATAATTACAGTGTGGGCCAATTGGCCAAACAGCCCTAAAAGGGGGAAAGAAAGCCCAATTTGGGCAAACAAGGGCAGCAAGCCCAACCCTAGAACCAACCCAATTGAAATTGAAAAGGTCCAACCCAAAGCAATAACTGATAACCATTGTTAACAGATTGTTTATCCGTTAATGGAGGTTGACAGCCAATCAATCCGGTGAATGAGCCTTAGGTACAAAAGATGCCGGCGCTAGATCCGTCGTCGGTAACATCAATCTGGAGGACGAGGAGGAGGCCGAAAGCAAGAAGGGGAGATGTTCCATTCTGTTAGGATTCTTCTGGTTGTAACACAGTCTTGAAGGAAACCAAGCTTTAGGATGGCAGTGATGGTTGAACAAATTCTAGCAAGCACAGCTGGTACGAGACTTTGAGTTCAACAATTTCATATTTTTTTGAAAAGGTTTGATGAAACAAAAAGTATGGTTTACAGTAATAAATGAAAAGGGTAAAAGAGATATTTTAATTTTCATATAATTTTATTGAAAATAAATTTCAAAAATAGGATTTAGTGCTTAACCATTTGAACTCGAAAAATAGAAGAAAAAAAACACTAAGTATTCTCACATACATTTATATAAGATTAAAATACTGAGAGGGTATTCTTTATCTATTTGGAAAAGTAAATTCGGAATAGCTTTCTTTATTATATTTTTCATGCTGTAAAATTTAAGTGTAATAGTAGGGGCAGTTGAAGAAATTTAACTAATTTTATGTGAAGTATGATATTTTAATCCTCATACATACAAATCAATCAGAATTGTTAGGCTCTCATATTTCAAATCATGCTTAATGGCACCCTGGCGTGATATTTTAGTCAAGCAAATATCATTTGATTGGTTATTCAAATTTTCCACACCAACGTTGACCAAACATTTTCTCGTTAGTCCGTAAATAGCATTGACTAGACCATGGCATGTGGTACAATCAATTGGCTCTAATCTTAATAAGAGTTAGGAAGCAACATTGGTTCTTCCATGAATACGTTGTTTATTGCTAGACTATGAATAAAGAAAAGTATTGGTTGACCAAGACGTCCTTTTTTTTTCGGTTTTTTTTTTTTTTTATTCTTAAAATTATAGAACATGGTTTAGATAAATGCAACAAATAAAAAAAAAAAAATAAAAAAAAAAATAAATAAATAAAAAAACCACCAGTATCCTAAATGATTTAAGATTTAAAAGATTGAGAGGTATCCTTAATTTATCTGTTTGGAAAAGTAAATTCCTTCCTCCTTTTATCTGTTTTTTCATTACTTAAAACTTAAGTGTAATAATACGTACCGTAAAATAAGTTTAACTAAAACATAATATAATAATTCATTAACTTTTAGATTTCAAATCGTTATCTTAAACACTCTTTCTTAATGTAAGACATAGACTTAAAATTAAGGGAAAATTATATATAAATGGAATCAAAGTTCCATATTTACTTAGAGGCGGAGTCAAAGTTCCATATTTCTCTAAAATGGATTGCTGAGGTGGCATATGGTTTTTTACTGTTTAGAAATTTTGATGCCTAAAATATCCTTCTGCGAAGGTATTACTTTTTCTTCAAAGGTACTACTTTTTTGAACTGAAGGTACTACTTTTTGGCGTCCAGGTACCATATTTTTTAAACACCCGCGAAGGTACTACTTTTTCTCCGAAGGTACTACTTTTTTGAACTGAAGGTACTACTTTTTTGAACTGAAGGTACTACTTTTTTGTTAGGGAAGGGTATTTTAGGCACCACAATTTTCTAAACAGTAAAAAACCATATGCCACCTCAGCAATCCATTTTAGAGAAATATGAAACTTTGACTCCGCCTCTAAGTAAATATGAAACTTTGACTCCATTTATATGTAATTTTTCCTAAAATTTTAATAGTATTGACTCATCTACCATAAAGCAAGTAGAATCATTGGTAGGAAGCTTTGAGTACTTTGATCATGATATGTTCTAAGTGGGACCCTGGCATGGGTATTTTAGTCAGCAAACAACATTTAATTGGTTAGCCAAAATTTTCCAAAACTAACATTCTCCACACATTTAGTCATTGGTGAGACTCTGGCGTGTACGATCAATTGGCTCTAATGCTTGATAAGGAGTTAAGAAGCTAACATTGTTTCTTCCATGAAACTGTGAAGCAAAGTTGATTTAAAGTTACATCAAAACTAAATTATTTAAGGTGTAATTTCGTGTTGAATTGAAAAATATATAGAGAGAAAATAAGAGATATTTCTAAAGAGCTTAGATATTTTTCATAAAGTTTGAAGAATACAAGATTGTAATGATAATCCAAGTCACGTGATGCAACCTTTTTTATAGTTTTATTTAAGCATTTACGTCGTAAATTACAGACTCAGTTTGTCTTGCCTTACTTGTATACCTTGTTTGTCACAAATTGATTCATTTCGTCATAATTCAACAATGAATTAAAGTTAGATCAAGACTAATTTATTTAAGGTGCAATTTCTCAACCTAGTGTTGTAAAATGTAGAGAGAGAAAATGAGAGATATTTCAAGGAAGCTTAGATATTTCTCGTAAAATTTGAAGATTGCAAGGCTATTCAAGCCGTGTGATTAAACCTTTTTTTGTATTTCTATTTAAACGTTTACATTATAATTAAGTTGCAGACTCAATTTGGTTTACCTCACTTGTATACTTTGTCCGTCACAAATTATAATTTTTCATGATCCATTATCATCATCTATAGTGGTGATCATGGAATATCATAGATTGAGTCTTCAAGTACTTGTAGCTATGTACTTCATTGGATTTCTCTGCTTGGGAAGCATTGGATACATTATAATAATACATTCACTTTCAGATTTTAAATCATTATCCCAAACACTCTTAACCTAAGACATAGACTTAAAATTAATAGTGTTGACTCCTCTACCATAAAGCAAGTAGAATCATTGGTAGGTGGCTTTGTTGATCATAATATGTTCTGAGTGGGACCCTGGCATGGTATTTTAGTCGGTAAACAACATTTGATTGGTTAGCCAAAATTTTCCAAAACTAACATTCACCACACATTTAGTCATTGGTGAGACTCTGGCATGTACAATCAATTGGCTCTAATGCTTGATAAGGAGTTAGGAAGCTAACATTGTTTCTTCCAGGAATTTGTTAAGCAAAATTGATTCTTTATGTCACAATTAAAGTTAAATCAAGACTAAATTATTTAAGGTACAATTTCTTAACCACGTGTTGGAAGTTATAAAGAGAGAAAATGAGAAATATTTCTAAAGAGCCTAGATATTTCTTGTAAACTTTGAAGAATGCAATGTCGTGAACTGATGATCCAAACCGCATGATGCAACTTTTTTTATAGTTCTATTTAAGCATTTACATCGTAAGTTGCATACTCAATTTGTCTTGCCTTGTATACCTTGTTTGTTACAAATTGATTCGTTACGTCACAAATCAACAGTGAATTAAAGTTAGATCGAGACTAAATTATTTAAGGTGCAATTTCTCAACTACGTGTTGGAAAATGTAGAGAGAGGAAATGAGAGATATTTCAAGGGAGCTTAGATATTTCTCGTAAAATTTGAAGAATGCAAGGTTGTGAACTGATGATTCAAGCCGCATGATGGAAATTTTTTTTGTATTTCTATTTAAATGTTTACATCATAATTAAGTTACAGACTTAATTTGGCTTGCCTCACTTGTATACCTTGTCTATCACAAATTGTAATTTTTCGTAGTCCATCATCATCATCTATCATGGTGATCATGAAATATTATAGATCGAGTCTTCAAGTACTTGTAGCTATGTACTTCATTGGATTTCTCTGCTTGGGAAGCATTGGATACATCATGGGCGGTTCCCTTCCAAACGTTCAATGCATGGAGAGCGAGCAAAAAGCCCTTCTGAGGTTCAAAAAAGGCTTGGTTGATTTTTCAGATCGTTTATCTTCTTGGGTGGTTGAAGAAGCTGATTGTTGTAAATGGAGAGGAGTTCAATGCAATCACACCACTGGTCATGTCATGGCTCTTGATTTGCACAGCGAAAGCCCAAGTGAGTCCTTGCAAGGTGAGTTGACTCATTCTGCTTTGCTTGACTTGCCATATCTAAGCTACCTAGACTTGAGTCTCAATCATTTTGACACAAATGAAATTCCTCAATCCATTGGCTCTCTTAGTAATCTAGAATATCTCAATCTGTCTGATGCTAATTTCAGAGGAAATATTCCCAGTGACCTTGGAAATCTTTCACGTTTACATTCTCTTGATTTGAGTAGTACTCCTAGTACTTACCGCTTTCTTATAGCAAACAACCTTGACTGGCTTCAAGGTCTTTCTTCCTTGAAGGTCCTTGATTTGGGTGGTGTTGATCTTGGTAATGCAATGAATTGGCTCAATAAAATCAACATGCTACCTTCTCTAGTAGAATTGCACTTGTTTGCTTGTAACCTTAACAAGCCTCCTTCATCTTTGCTTCATCTGAATTTCACATCGCTTAAAATTCTTGACCTCTCGCTTAACAACTTCAATTCTCCAATACCTTTTTGGTTGTTCAACATTAGCCATAGTCTTGTTTATCTGAACTTGACAAGAAATCAGTTACGAGGTCCCATTCCCAATTCTTTTGGGAACATGACTTCTCTAACTGTTCTTGATCTCTCTGGAAATAATCTGGAAGGTGGAGTACCCACGAGTTTGGGATTGATTGAAAAAGGAAAACAACTCGAAGGACCTTCATCCTTGAGAGAGTTGCATCTTTCAAAGAATCAATTAAAAGGGCCTTTACCGCAAAGTCTCGGTCTACTTTCAACACTAGTTGTATTGGATGTTGCAGAGAATCGGTTGGCTGGTGTTATCACTGGGGCTCATTTCTTGAATTTAAGTAGCTTACGAGTCTTAGATTTGTCTTCAAACTCATTTGTTATAAGAATGAGGTCAAGTTGGATCCCTACCTTTCAACTGGATAAAATAAAGCTGAGGTCTTGCGATTTGGGACCAGAATTTCCAAAGTGGCTTCGGACACAAAAGAATTTCTTGCACATTGATCTCTCTAATGCGAATATCATAGACACCATGCCATATTGGTTCTGGAATCTATCAACACTGGTGGAGCACATTATTGTTTCTTTCAACCAGCTCGAAGGAAAAGTGCCTAATTTGTCATCCAAACTCGATCTTTCACATCTAGATTTGAGTTACAACGGATTTGATGGTCCCCTGCCTTATTTCTCAGCCAAAATGGTGTCATTGGTTCTGGCTGGAAATTCATTTTCGGGATCTGTTTCCCGTATATGTGAATCCATGGTTACAAAAAGTTCCCTTGGTACTTTGGATTTGTCCGAAAATAATTTAACAGGCAAGTTACCAGACTGTTGGGCATATGGGCAAAATTTGTCCTTTATGGATTTATCATACAATCAGATATATGGTAAAATCCCTGACTCCATTTGCAGTCTTCCTCTCATGGTGTTGCATTTGAGGAGTAATAGGTTATATGGGAAACTGCCTTTGTCTTTGAAGAATTTCACAACTCTGGTGTCTATGGATCTTGCGTATAATAGATTATCCGGAAGCATACCGGCATTGGTTGGGGAAAGTTTATCATCTTTGTCATTTCTGGTCTTAAGCTTTAACAATTTCAGTGGAAGTATTCCATCGCAGCTGTGCCGACTTAGGTCTCTAAAAATATTGGATCTTTCTGCAAATTACATATCAGGGGAAATTCCACGGTGCATCAGCAACATTATGGGTATGGCGATGGCTGAATATGATCCTTATACTGCCCAAGGGGAGGACACGCTCAGGTTATTTGAAAGAAGATTTCAGCAATTTTACAACTTTATTGGTATGATTCATAGGTCTGAATCTGATAATCTTTTTATACAAGAACGTCTACCTAATGGCATGCTTAGCTTCTTAAATGGTCGGACCGCAAGGGTATCAGGTTACTTCCGATATCAAATTGATCTTTCTTCAAATAATTTATCAGGAACGATCCCAAAAGAAGTCTACAGCCTTACTGGATTGTCTGCCTTGAATTTGTCAAACAATCATTTGGCAGGTGCTATTCCTTACGGCATTAGTGCCATGGCACTTTTAGAATTGCTAGATTTATCCAGTAATAATCTTTCATGCTCCATACCCACCAGCATGACTGAATTACATTTTCTTATTCTATTGAATGTGTCACATAACAACTTGTCCGGTAAAATTCCACAAGGAAATCAATTTGCTACATTTGATAATTCATCCTACGAGGGAAACCCCAACCTCTGTGGGTATGCATTGTCGAATGATTGCTTATTGAGCAATGAGACTTATGAGGATGAACTTTGCAGAAGTGAGGAAGAAAGTAAAGAAAATGAAGTCAATCAAGATGACAAAGACGATGACGATGGGCTTGAAACAACTTCATTCTACATTAGCATGGCAGTTGGATTTGTTACATCGTATTGTGGGTTTTGGAGTGCCTTACTGTTCAACAGTTCATGGAGGCATACCTATTACAGATTCTTCGGCAATCTCTATGACAAGATATACGTGATGGTCGCAGTTAATGTGAACATATTGCGCAGGAGGTTTCAGAGCAAGAATGCATAATATTAGGTATTACATCCGTAGCTATTGTTCTCTTATTTCTTCATCAACCATTTTTATGCTTATTATGCAATGCAACATTTCTGTTTTCTACTTATCCATATTTCTTACTTCATTCTTTCCACAAGTAGTCTACTTTTATTGAACACTTCTATTATTTATCACTATTTGACGGAAGATTACTGGCTTCACCATATCTTCGATCATGCCTTTTCTGGCTTAAATATTTATTTCCCTAATTATGCTTCTTTCTTTCTTTGAGTTCTTCAACTTTGTATAATGCCCATACAGTAATTAACGCCAAGAAAAATATTTATATTATCTGATGGAGTTGTTTTTTATCTCTTACTTAAGCGTCTTTTTTTAAGTTCTTTACGGGTGTCCTTATTCAAAACTTGTAACTTTGCAAGTTAAATTAGTATTTGGGTGTCTTATTTTGGGCAAAAAAACATACAGTAGTATTTCTTTAGTTACAGTATATATTCTAAAAGTAAGAACAAAAAATCAACAGGAGCTCCTCCATTTTTATTTTTTCAAATTGCTTTATCCATTGTTGATTACTTGATTAATTTTGCTTCAACCTCATCTAATTTTATCTTAATTTTTCTGTTTGTCCACACCTTTTCTTAATTTGCAGCCATTGTTTGTTGATGAATTGGGGGAGCTAGTGTGCAGTGAACATGTCATTTTTCAAAGAGATTCCCAGATTGTATGCAAGGCTGCCTCAAGGAAGATGAGAGATTCCCAGACTGTAGAAATCCAAAATTTGGTTGTCCATGTCTAAAATTCCGGAGTTTTTGGTGGTTGCTCTGTTTATGCTGTCTTTTATATATGTGTGTGTGTGTGTGTGTGTGTGTTCTTAAAGTTGAATGCCCGTTGCAGTTAGTTTATTGACTTTAGGTTGGTGTTCGCCTTGTAGTCATGTGATTTTGTTCTGGGGGTTATGTATGTAGTTGTTCCAACTTAATAAATTAATCTTATTTTATTTAGTCACTCATTTGGCTTTTGTACATAAATTATTCTTTAGCCCTAATACTATAGCTATCCTCTTCACTTTTTTTTTTTTTTTTCTTTTTTTTTTTGGCACAGTAACAAAGCAAATTATTGTGTTTAGAGAAGTTAATATAATCACCGTAAAATGCATCATCTGATCCTCTGTGAAACATTGGAAGGCACTGTAGTGACATAAACTTCCTCCAAAAATTTCAGCTGGTTTGCGTACCGGAATCATAAATTACCTCTTATTATTCTTTTTATAGTTATAGAATTACTATTCTTTTCCTATGAATGTATTGTTATCTCTGATTGATCTTACTTACTCTTCATTTATGTACTATGAAGCACGGATACAATACGGTACGAACTCGATAAATCTATAAAAAAAAAAAGGGGATATAGGTAAAGCATGAAAACGTCAAAAAAATATAATATAATCTAAAAAAAAAAAAAAAGAGATAGGTAAAGCATGATTATGCCACATTTTTTGCTAGACTATAAATCAAAGAAAAAGTACTATTTAACCAATACTAAATTTTCTGATAAACTATAAATAAATAGATAAAAATAACTGCTTGATCAAGACTTGTTGCTGGCAAATGAAGGTCACTGTAATAACGTGTTTAGTGTGTACAAATTCATGAAGTTTGAATAATGCAAGATCATAAAATGATTCGAACTATTTGAAATAAGCTCGTAATCGGGTCTACTAGAACTAAAAGTTCATTGATATCAAGCCTTAATGATTATATAGAAAAACATAATACTTGAATGATGTATGTGAATTTTTTTGTTAATGACAAATTAATTATTTTACAGTAAATGCAAAGTGATTAAAATATTTTTTATATCATATTTTGACGTTGACCAAAAGTCAATTTAGACCCAACATTGGATGCTGCCTTTCACCACTTTGACCATGATATTTTCTAGGTTCAGTTTTGATGGGACCCTGGCATGGTCCAATAAATGGGCTCTAATCCCCTTAATAAGGAAGGAAGCAACGTATAGTTTCTTCCAGGAATCTATCAAAATTGATTGATTAGTTCACAACTCAGCGGTGGACTAAATTGAATAAGAATAATATTGTAAATTGATCTCGCTAGTCACAAATGCACACAAGAGCATTTTTAGCTGTGTTAAAATATTATTTATGTAAAATATACATTGTTACTTAAAATGTATAATTTTTTTTTTATTTTTAATAATCTGTTAAGATACATTGTCATATCACCGATAAGTAAAAAGGTTGTGTATTTTACACAATATTTTTACATTATTAGATCAACATATTTTCCATACTTGATTGTGATTGGGAGATATATTTTTACACAAAAGGTATAAAACAACTGTTAGAGTTAAAATTAAAATTACACAAAAAAAAATATATACACAAGTATTGGAGATATTGTAAAATTAATAATTTTTTTCACATTCACATGATATTAGTTCCATGAAAAGTTTAGAATCGCTCAATTTATCCAAGAACAAGCTTTTATATTCCATACCCACTCACAAATCTAATTTAACTTCTCTTAAATTTTTGAATGTGTCACAAAATAACTTAAGGGTAAAGTACATTGACACTCCCTGAGGTTTGAGGAAAGGACAAACAGAGGAAAGTTAGCCTGTTTTTGGACAATGACACCCCTTCAAGTTTGAAAAATGGACAAAAAGACCCTGAAGATGGTGAATTGACCTTATTACCCTTTCAAATAAAATTAACATTTTAATTGACTTAAATACCCTTTGATTGAACCCAAACCCAAACCCGAACCCGAACCCGCCTTATACAGTTCACCAGAGGAGAGAGAAGGGAGATCAGATGGATGGTGGTTGTGGCTGCGGTTGTAGTGGTGGGTGTAGAGAGAGGGGGAAGAGAGGGGCGGCCTTAGTTGAAGAGATGAGGTGAAGAGGAGAGAGAGGAAGAAGATAGGAAAGAGATTGTGGTGATGGCTGCGACAGTGGGGGTGGCGGCGGCGATGACTGCGACAGTGGCGGCGAAACCCAGAAGCATCGACGAAAGAAATTGCCGGCGAAACCCAGAAGCATCTGTATGTGTATATACACACATTACATATACTGCCACTGCCATCAACATCACCCCTCCGCCGTCGCCAACATCACACCTCAAACTCCGCCACCGCCGCCACATCATCACACCTCAGCCGTCGGGGTTCACCCTTCACGCTCATCATCATCACACCTTCACGCGCTCCTTCTTCAACAATGTTTTTTCGAAGCTCACTATCTATCGCTGGGGTTCACCACCTCCTTCATGAAACCCTTGTAAGTTACAAACGAGGTTGTGGTGCTCACCATCTGCCGCCGGTGCTAACCACCTCAATTTCTCGGCCTTAGAAACTGACCGAAGCCACCTTTGCTAACCCTTGCTCCGGCTTCACCTCCTACCAACAACGGCCACATCTACAAGCTTTCTCTCACATACAGAGCTCACAGCAACCCTTATCGGTGGTGAAACCACCGATTTCATCCTCAACTGTCCACATCATCCAGATCTAAAGATGACGGAACCAATTGTAGAGTCAAGCCAAACGTCCCTCCTTCAACAATCACTCCATACTCAAAGCTTCGCTCTACACTCAAACATCAACTCTCTGCTGCCGTCAAGAATCAAAGACGCCGGCGTAGGGAATATGTCTCTGTCAATCCTTGATCTGTCCGCTTCACGCCAGAAACTTACGGCGGCGGCTGAGGAGTTATTTGAGGGGTTCTTGGAGGATGAAGGTGTCGGTGAAAGGAGTAACCAACATGTGAACGAAGGAGATGGTGAACCACTCGTCGACCGGTGGTTGGAAGGTGTGGAAGTGGTGTCATGACCGGTCTGGGTTTGATAAGTTTACAATATACATATAGATATATAAATATACATATAGATATATAAATATATATATATATATATATATATGTATTGGTGTAATAAATGTATAAGGGTAAAAGAGTCATTTAAAAGTTTTGATATTTTATAATTTAAATTAATAAAATATTAAAGGACAATCTTGACTTTTTACAAAATTTAAGGGGCTGTTTGGATCAAGTTTTTGACCAGGGGGTGTGATTGTCCAAAAATAGACTAATTTGTATCTACTTGTCCTTATGCCAAACATCAGGAGGTATTTGTGTACTTTACCCATAACTTAATTAGGAAAAATTCCATCAAACATGCACCGATTTCATAACCTGGGTGGGCCTCCACCCACGAATGATTGATTGAGCAATGTGGACATATGTGGATGCATTTCGTAGAGGCGAGTACGGAAGCAAAGGAAATGAAAGCAGTAGTACTCAAGGAAATGAAACGATCAAATCATGAAATCGTATAATCTTAGAACATGTGTATATATATATATATATATGTATGTATGAGAAAATGGTGAAAGAATGACCATTTCTACAGTGATGCTGGTGCTGTTGCCCTTCAGGGTGGCTTTGAAAGTGCAATCTGGGTAAATTTAGTTGTTGATGACTTGTACAACTAAATTTGAGTAAGAATGCTATGATCTCTAATCTTCAAAAATGAAGGTGAAGTGTTCAAGTCTTGCTTAGGACAATATTATGAGTATATTGATTTAAAAAAAAAAAAAAAAAAAAAAAATTTGAGGTGGAATTTCTAGATTGCTGATTTCTCTATGGTAAGAATGATATTGTAATATAACTAAAGATTTGATTGAATGAATGAAAAGTTAAGAATTTTGGTGATTAATTCTCAATTCAAAAAGATTATTTGTGATTGATATCTAATCAAAAGATCACTTTACCGTCTAGAAACCATTTGTTATTTAGAAAGACCATTATATTTGTTAATTGTTAATATCATATCTTCTGGATAAACTTTAAGGAAAATTGGTCTAACAAATTTCACTAAAAGTTAGCCTATGATTAGAAAATCATAATCATATCACAAATTCGAAAGTAATATTGAAAATTAAAATTAGAAGCCAGTTGTGAATCATAATTTTATTCTCGCAGAGGGGTTCTACCACCTCTACAATCAGCTGATTGAGAATTTGCGGGTGATCATCACAACCACCTATTGCCCTTGCCTCGTCGGATTGATTGCAGACATCTATTGCTAACTGCCATGGATCTGTTATCAACAGCTATCTCATTGCTTAGATTTAATTGTGTTCATGACCTTGGCCTTGTTTTTGATTTAACTGTAATCTTTTGTGTTGGCTGCTGTTGGGCTAATCGGGCAAAGTGTCGCCAAACTGGCTTTGTAAATTCCTTTATATATATAATACTACTTAACCATTCGAACTCGAAAAAAAAAAAAAAAAAAAAAAATTATTCTCAAGTAAATTCGTATCCTAAACGATTTAAGATTAAAAGATTGAGATAATATCCTTTATCTATTTGGAAAAGTAACGTCGGATCTGCTTTCTTTTCTCATGCCTAAAAATTTAAGAGTAATGATTGGTTCAGTTGAAGAATTTTATATAAAGCATATGACATCATGACGATATTAAGCCTCACACACACAAATAAATGACACGGACTAAATAAATCTAAATAAAAAATAGGATATAGGTAAAGCATGAATAAGTATAATATATTTTTTACCATTTTATCCATATAATCATAAATAAATAACTAATCAATGATATTTATCTAAACAATAAAATTGGTTAGGCCACATTTCTTGCTGGACTAGAAATCAAAGAAAAAGTAGTGCTTAACCAATACTAAATTTCTTGATAAACTATAAATAAATAGATAAAAAGTACTGCTTGACCAAGATTTCTTGTTGGCAAATTAAGATCACTAGAATAACATGTTTAGTGTGTACAAATTTATGAAGTTTGAATAATGCAGGACCATGAAATGATAATAAGCTGGCAATCGTGTCTAGGGATGGCAAATTTCCCATCTCCGCCGGATCCCCGCCCCGCCCTATTTATAGCGGGGATGGGGACTCTTTTATGTAAACGGAGATAGAGATGGGGTTAACTTTTGAAAACCCGTCGGGGCCGGGAATGGGGATTAGGTAAACCCGTCCCTCCCCGATTAAGTATTAAATTACTTATATACCCTTACATTTAATAATTTATTACTAAATTAGATTTATTATATATATATATATATGAAAATAAGAAAAATTATGCTTTTTTAAAAAAAATAATATATGTTAATGGGGATAAGAGGTTGGGGGCGGGGGCGGGTGCGGGGGCGGGGGCGGGTATGGGGGTGGTGGTGAAATTTTAAGCTGGGATGGGGATGGAGAATGCGATCCCTGCCCCGCCCCGCCCCATTGCCATCCCTAATCGTGTCTGCTAGAAGTAGATGTTCATTGATATCAGGTTGTAAGGATTACATAGAAAAACATGATACTTGAGCTTGGTCCATGATTGGCTCTGTTAATCAAGACTTAATTCTCTTAGGTTTGGGACTATAAACACGAAGGGTTTGTGAGTGATGTGTGTAAGTTTCACAAAATCGACTATTTTATAGCTGTGAATACAAAATGAATAAAATATTTCTCTTTCTTTTCAGGAGTTTTTTTCACTGAAAGATGGATTTTTGCATCCTATATAATGACACCCTTTTTCCATCTCTAAGCTCTAACCTGTTTCCTTTTTCTCTAGAATGCTATCACTTGAACATTTTAACTCTGTTTCTTTTCTTTTCCCTTCTTTCTATTGTGTGTGTGTGTGTGTGTGTGTAATTTTTTTTTTACTTTTTTTTTTTAAACAAGGGAAGCTTTATAATGTAGTTAAATAAAAAAACTACAACCTCAGGATAATCTTGGCTTCAACTTCCCGCATTATATGTATATGTGATTCTCCAGCTGGTAAGTTGAAATCAGGGGATTATATAATAAGACATCTAACAAGAAAGCCTACCACTTTCAAACCCCAAACAACCAGAAATTAAACTAATTTCATCAAGTCCACTGATTAAAAAAAGAATATTACAAATTAGGGCTATAAATATTGATGGAAGCAACTAAGAAAAAGAGGAAAGGGTTGTGATTTGGTGATTAATTGTTGGGGATTGGGCTCTCACGATTTTAGGGAATAAAACGGACTATTTTACTATGGATCTGTTATCAACAGCTATCTCATTGCAAAAGCCTTGTTTTTTGATTGAACTGTAATCGTTTGGGCTGGCTGCTGTTGGGCTACTTGGGCCAAACTGGCTTTGTAAATTCCTTATATATTTGGAAAAGTAACTTTCGACCTACTTCCTTTTATCTATTTTCTCATGCCTTAAAGTAATTGTTGGTACTGTTGAAGAAATTTAACTAATTTTGTGTGAAGTCACGATCTTAAGTACCACACACAAATCAATTAGAATTGTTGACTTTTAACTTTCAAATTTCAAATTATTATTCAAAACACTTTGATCAATTTAAAAAATAGACTTTAAATAAATTTGATCATGATATGTTTCAAGTAGGACCCTGACAAGATATTTAAGTGGATAAACAACATTTGATTGGCTAGCCAAATTTTCCAAACTAACATTGACCGAATATTTAGTCATTGGTGAAACTCTGGCATGTACAATCAATTGGCTCTAACCCTTAATAAGGAGTTCCAGGAATCTGTCAAGTAAAATTGATTCGATAGGTCATAATTTAATAATGGATTAAAGTTACATCAACATTAAATTATTTAAGGTGCAATTTCTCAATCATGTGTTGAAAAATGTAGAGTGAGGAATGAAAGATATTTCTCAAGAGTTTAGATATTTCTCGTTAAGTTTAAAGAATGCAAGTCTGTGAACTAATGATTCAAACCGCATGATGCAACTTTTTTTGTAATTCTATTTAAGTGTTTACATCGTAAGTTGCAGACTTAATTTGTCTTGCCTTACTTGTATACTTTGTTTGTCACGAGTTGAAAAATGGAGAGAGAGAGAGAGAATAAATCAGCTTTTATGCATTTTCTTATTTCTCTGTATATAATTAAAGATTTGATTAAATGAATGAAAAGTTAAGAATTTTGGTGACTAATTGTCAATTCAAAAGGATTATTTGTGATTGATATCTAATCAACAGATTACTTTACGGTCTAGTAACATATTGTTATTAAGAAAGACTGTTATATTTGTTAATTGTTAATATCATATCTTCGGTGTAAACTTTAAGGAAAATTGGTCTAACAAATTTCACTAAAAGTCAGCCTATGATTAGAAAATCATAATCGTATCACACGGAGGTGTTCTACCACCTCTACAATCAGCTGATTAAGAATTTGTGGGTGATCATCGCAACCACCGATCTCGCCGGATTGATTGTAGACATCTATTGCTAACTGCTATGGATCTGTTATCAACAGCTATCTCATTGCGTAGATTTAATCTATGCAACTGGTATTGGAGTTTTGGGGGTGTCCTTGAATTGTGTTCATTACCTTGGCCTTGTTTTTGATTGAACTGTAATCTTTTGTGCTGGCTGCTGTTGGGCTAATCGGGCCAAAGTATCGCCAAACTGGCTTTGTAAATTCCTATATATATATAATATTACTTAAATTCGAACTCAAAAATAAAAAATAAAAAAAGTATTCTGAAGTAAATTCGTATCCTAAACTATTTAACATTAAAAGATTGAGAGAATATCCTTTCTCTATTTAGAAAAGTAACTTCGGATTGGCTTCCTTTATCTGTTTTTTTATGCTTAAAAAATTTAACAGCAATGATAGATAGAGTTGAAGAAATTTACCTAATTTATTGTAAAGCATGACATCATGACGATCTTAAAATCTGCAACATCTATTTTTTTATTATTATTATTATTATTATTCCGTATATTAAGAAAAGTATTGCTTGACCAAGACTTCGCCGCAGAACAACATTAAAATCTGCAACATCTTTTTTATTATTATTATTATTATTATTCCGTATATTAAGCATATATTAATACCCAATAGTTATTTTATTGGGAAGGCTATCAGTTGATTGACATCACCTTCAACAATATTAGTTGATTTTGTAAAAAATAATAATAATAATAATAATACACAAACATAATATTAGGTGATGTATAATACAAGTGACAGAGGTATTGACAGTATTGTCTTCTTTTTTTTTTTTTTGTCAGAGTGCTAAGTGCTAACACACAACTTGAACACTGAACCGATACACATAAGTAGTTCTTGCATTTTAAACACTAATTGAGTTGTAAACTATTTAAGGTGCAATTCTCAAACGCGTGTTGGAAAATGAAGGGAGAGAAGTTTCTTAGACAGACAAAATGAGAAATATGTGTAGAGAGCATAGATAGAGGGAGTAGGTGGTGACTCATGACACTCATTTCTCAACGCCCTTGGGACAAATAATTACAACTAACGTGTTCAGTGACCAACTCCTTAAAGTTTGAAGACAGTGAGGCCGTGGACTGATGATTCAAGCCGCGTGATAGAACTTTTTTTGTACTTCTAGTTAAACGTTTACAGCATAATTAAGTTTTACACTCAATTTGACTTACCTCACTTGTATACCTTGTTCGTCACAAATTGCAATTTTTCATAGTCCATCATCATCTATCATGGTGATCATGGAATATTATAGATCGAGTAGTCTTGTAGTTATCATAGTACTTGTAGCTATGTACTTCATTGAATTTCTCTGCTTGGGAAGCGTTGAATACATCATGGGTGGTTCCCTTCCAAATGTTCAATGCATGGAGAGCGAGCAGGAAGCTCTTCTGAGGTTCACAGAAGGCTTGGTTGATCGTTCGGATCGCTTATCTTCTTGGGTGGTTGAAGAAGAAGCTGATTGTTGCAAATGGAGAGGAGTTGAAACTTGGATTCTAACAATTTCAGTGGAACTATTCCCTCACAGCTGTGCCAACTTAAGTATCTAAAAGATTTGAATCTTTCTTCGAATCATATATCAGGAACAATTCCACTGTGCATCAACAATATTATGGGTATGACTAGGACTGATTATAATCCTTTAACGGGTGAAGAAGATCGCAATCCTATGGCTCCATGTAGCATTGATCTTTCGTCAAATAATTTATCAGGAGAGATCCCCATAATAGTCACGAGCCTTATTGGATTGGTTTACTTGAATCTTTCAAATAATCATTTGACAGGTTCTATTCCACACGACATTGGTTCCATGAAACTTTTAGAACAGCTTGATTTATCCCGGAACGAGCTTTCATGCTCCATACCCACCAGCATATCTGATTTAACTTCTCTTGGATTTTTGGATGTTTCACAAAATAACTTATCTGGAAAAATTCCATCAAGCGTGCAGCAATTCGGTAAAGCATCCTTCATGGGAATTCCTAACCTTTGCGGGCTTCCAACTGCAAAAGATTGCTTTTTGAGTAATGCGATATATGACTATGACGATGCATTTTGTAGAGGATAGGAAGCAAGCAAAGAAAATGAAAGCAGTCAAGTTGAAAATGGGGGTGGGATTGAAACAACTTCATTCTACATTAGCATGGCAGCCGGATTCATAACTGGATATTGTGGGTTTTGGAGCGCCTTACTGTTCAACGGTTCATGGAGGATTGCCTATTACCGATTCTTGGGTAATATTTGTGACAAGATATACGTGATGGTCGTTGTTAACATGAACAGACTGCACAGGAAGTTTCAGATCGAGCAGGCATGATATTACTGAGGAAGAAAGCTTGGTGCGTGGAGAATTTCATGAATGGTAGGTGGGTGTTGCATCTTTGGTTACTGTTATTTCTTTCTTTTTCTAGCTTTTTATGTTTATTATGCAACATAAATGTATTCCACTTCTGCATATTTTTCTCTTTAATCCTCTTAATGCATTTTTAAATTTAATTTTTTTTTTTTTTTTTGGCTGAAGTATGCCTCTTTCTTTCAAGAGTTGTTAACTTTATATAATTACCATACACCGTGTTACTGTTTTATGCTTCTTCCACCTTGTTATTGTTTCAGCTCAACCGATACACCTTGATCAAATAGGACTACCGTTTGAAAAAAAGAGGGGCTAGCACAACTATTATTGTTTTCTGCTTCTTCCACATAATTTTTTTTATATATATTTAGAATAATGACGTGTTCTTGGTGATAGACAGAATTAATGTAACAATAACCAAGCCAAATGTCCATATTTTGATAATGTGGGCTGGGGCGCTGGAACGGTAGGCGAGTTAGGCGGTCACCTAAGACCCAGCTAAGAAGAAGGCCTCATAAAATTTTATTTCTTTATATATTATAACTTTCTTAAAACAATTATTTTAATTATTAAACATCAACAAATAGGAGAATTTAACAGTGACCTACAAGATTTTTATTATTTATCACCTTCTTCTTTCTTCTTTCGGGCCCCCAAAATTTTTTCCTTATATACTATAAGCTACCTAAAAATTTTATTTTCTTCTATTATTAAATCTCAATCAATAGAGAAATTTAATATTAAGCCCAAAATATTTCTATATTTATGTCACTTTTTTTTTTTTTTTTTCTCTCTCTATCATCCTTATTACATGTATATTACTAGACCAACCATAAATATTATCCATTGTGGTGGAACTTGTAAAACTTTCTATATTTTTTTAGATGCCTATTAACTTCTTCTTCTTCTTTTTTTTCTCTTATTCCTCACATATTTTTTCTACTCTCATTATATTTATTTTTTTATTTTCATCATCTCCACTCCTACAATTTATAACCTCATTCCGTCGTAAGACTTTGAATGAACTTTTATTCTATTAAAGAATTTTTTGGAGCATTGGACCAAATTTTTCGAAATCAATTTCTATTGTTCTATAACTTCAATTAGTTTATAGTTTTATTAAATTTTGTTATCATAAAATTATTTATTTTATTTGTGAGTTGTCATCATTTTTATTTATATTGTTGAATATGTCTTCTAGAAAAGTACATAGTTAATTAACTAACGATAGAACTAGAGATTGAAAAAAATTTAATACTACGCTTACAGATCACAAAACAAATAATAAGCATATTACTAGCATGAGCAAACGGGTAGACTCTATTAAAAGACCATTTTATTTTTTTCGCCTAAGGCCTCAAATTATATTGAGCCGCCCCTGAATGTGGGTTTTGGAGCGCTTTATTGTTCAACAGTTCATGGAAGAATTCCTATTACAGATTTTTTGGGTAATCTTTGTGACAAAATATACGTGATGGTCGTTGTTAACATGAACAGATTGTGCAGGAATTAAGTTTCAGAGCAACCATGGATGCTAATATATATTACTTTGTGGCTATATTTATTTCATTCTTAGTCTACCATTTTTATGTTTATTATGCAACCTTTCTTTATCCAACTTCTGCATATTTCTCTCTTTAATCCTTCTGAAAGTAGTCTAGCTACTTGTATTCATATCCATATATTATGCAGCGTGACTATTTGATTAAAGAGGGGCTAGCTATGCCCCTTTCTTTCAAGAGTTGTTAATTTTTTGTGATGCCTGTATATACACCATTTAAAGCTACATTTTTGTACCATCTTATAAATGACATCCTTTTCCATTACTAGCACTAATATGTTTCCCTTTTCACTAGAATTCTCTCACTTGAACATTTTGTGGTTTTCTTTTCCGTAACTGTCATTAGCTTCTTCTTTGCTAATTGTTATGAACTTATGATTACAACCACTCTGTTTCTTTTTTTCTCTTCTTCTTCTTTTTTATTTATTTAATTTTTTATTAATGAAATTGAAGAAGAAAATTTTAACCTGCTTTCTTCCTGTCCAACCCTTACTCTCTCTCTCTTCCATTTCTCAATCTTCTCTCTTCAGACATAATCTCTTAGATCCCCTCCCCATCCTCCTTCTCTCACACTATGAAATTTTTTTCCCATAAGTTTCCCCAAGCACAGCTTGATGAGATGGATGACCCTTAGAAACAACTAACAAGCTAGCTACCCTTGACAGCCCCTCCATGTCATTCCTACATTAATCTAACTGTCATTTTCTCTGCAAATCTTCTCATGAATCCATCCCTGACCTTTCATTTCTCTGCCCTTTCTCCTCTCAAATTTGGATCTCCATTTTTGGTCTATGTGACTCTTCAAACACCCCCAAGCCATATGCTTACAAACTACTTTTTGCTTTACTGTATATGACATGAGGAGGGCTTTCAGGAACAAATTGACGTTGCTTTAATGTTGATGCTTCTGATGTTTGTGGAATCTGTTCTTGCTGGTTTTCTAGATTTTCTATACTTCCTAGATTTTCTTTGGTTCAATGGTTATAGCTAGACTATGTTCAAGGTTCTGGCTGTATAGCTTGATTAGCGTAGGATTCTGCTGCTGTAGTTTTTGTTTTTTTGTGTTGTGTGTGTGTGTGTGTGTGTGTGGCTCTCTCGAGCTGCTTCGCTAGTGTCTCATCTCACCGAAAATAAAATAAAATAAAATTTAAGAAAAAAACCAGCAAACTTTTCCTAGGCTTTAGATTTTCCACCAACACTAGCCAAAGTCCCGAGGAACCTTAAAAATATTTCAAAAATTTCTCCCCCTTAACAATGTTTATGTATTCATTCAAATCAGATAGAACTACAATTAATTATTGTAAACGGCTGCTAAATATGCCATCCCCAATCTACTACCTTCTTCCATTGTCCTCCTGACAACTTCGGAAGACACCATGCATCCTAAGTTCTAAGGTTTGTGTACAACCACAGACCCCAGGCGTTTCTGAATTTGTTTGAGAGCTTCCTTTGGCAAGATATATAAATATATGTATATATATATATTTGAAAGCTGAAAAATATAGATCATATCCGAAGTTGCATCCTTCCGGCACAGGAAATTATCCTTCTTATCATTTCACTAAGAACTTTTTACAGTCCATGGCCTTTGGCTAAGTTGAAATCAAAGGGATATCTAACAAGAAAGCCTTCCAATTTCAAACCCCAAACAATCAGGAATTAAACTCATTTCACCAAGTCTGCTGATAACAAAAAATAGATTACTGCCCAAGAAGATTACAATTCAGGGCTGTAAAATACAGAGTGAATAACAACTATTTCCATATCATATTAGTTGCTTAATTACCATGGAATTTTGTGCATAATAATATATATACATACATGTGGAAGCCATTAATTCATGAAATCTTAGAACAAATAACATATGCATATGAGAAAATGGTGAAAGAATGACCTTTTTCTACGGAGATGCTGCTGTTGTTGCACTTCAGGGTGGCTTTACAAGTGCAATCTCTGGGTAGAGTTGTTGATGATTTTGTGAAACCAAACAATCGTATGGGGGTGTTAAATTGTTAATTCATTGGATTATTTGAGGTGAAATTTTCTTCATTCCATTATTTCCCAACTCACAGTCTCTCATGCTTTCATTAAACCAGCGTTTTAGTCTAGTAATGATTTGAAGTCCGAAGGGATAGATTGTTAGACACAGTTGAGTCCTAAAAGTATTTTTACTTCTTTACTTAGTAAAAAGAAATTCTACTTTGTTGGCTTTATTTGTTTCTATGTAAATTTTTTTTTTTTAAGGTAAAATATATATATTTTATTTTTTGATGTTTGAGAAAGGTCTGAGTCGAGATTGATGTCAAGTTCATCGGGTGGGGCGTGCAAATCAATTTGTCGAAAATTAATAAATAAGTTATTTTTGTTACGTTTTAATATTTTTTTCTTCGTAAATATTTTACGACAACTAAACACCAAAAAACGAAAAATATTTTACGCTCAAACAAACATAACCCACGTAAAATATTATTTTTGAATTTCTTTTTTCAATATTTGGCAGAAGTTGAGGTTAACTCAATCAGGTGGGGTAAAATAACTTGACGAAAATAGATGAATAAATTGTTTTTTTTACATTTTAATATTTTTTTTCTTTCTAAATATTATTTTACGACAACTAAACACCAAAAAATACAAAAAAATATTTGAACAAATGGAGTCTTAAAATTTAAACTTTTTCCCACCATTGCCTTTAATTATCAATCATGTCTTTAACTTTTCAGTTTTAATTAAAATACATATATAAAATACATAGATGCATAAAACAAATTAAAAAAAAAAAATATTACTATAATCAATCCTCTTTCATATTATTATACTTTAATAATTCTAACTGGACAAATTTGAACGAATCAGCCAAATACATAAAAAGAATATACATATATATATATATATATATATATATATATATAAGTTGTATTGTAAATTTAATAATAGCATAATTTTAAGAAGAACAAAGAAATAAAAAAATCATGCAAAAAGGCCAATTTGTATTGGTGAACATAGATCTAAAAATTAAATGTATCTCTTTTTTTTTTTTTTCGGCTGCCAACGAAAAATTGAGAATAACCTTAAACATATTTGTTGAAGTAAAATAGAGATTTTAAATATGGAAGGTGCACCTTCACCACTGGTACGACCGAACGAGTCTTTGAGCTCAACAATTTCATATATTTTTTGGAAAGGTTTGATGAAGCAGAAAGTTTGGTTTTCAATAATCAATGAAAAGGGGTAAAAGAGATATTTTAATTTTCATATAATTTTATTGAAAATAAATTTCAAAAATCAGATTTATTTATCGTTGTCAAAATTTTATAGGACTCCATTTAAGAGTAGGAGTTAATTTTCCCTTTTGTTTTTCAACAAACATGTTTTTCAGGTGTTTTTTTCTTTTCTTTTTTTTAAGTATGAGTCGGCCCAAGACAAGGACTCCCAAAAAAGCAAAACAAAAGGGCTTAGCCCAAATAGTCACACACAGGCCCAAAAGCAAAAACAACAAGAAGCCCAAGTGCGAATCAACAAGTTAAAAAGAGAATAGCAAGGGATTTCAAATAGCTGTTAAGTTTAACGGTTAACACGGTCCGGTAGTGAAAATTCATGGACAATCAATCAAGCATTTGCCTCAGTTCCATCCTCTGCATGTCTTGGGGGTGGACGGAGGAAGCAAGGAGCAGTGTCAACAAGCTGTAGCCTGTAGAGAGAGGAGTTTCCCTATAAACAGCATCCAATATTCTACCAGAAGCAGTAGATGGAAGCTCTGAGAGTAAGCTTGGCCAGAGAGTATTTGTTTTACGATTTCCAGTGGAAGGATGCCCAATTGACCAGAGCATTCCAATTCATTGGGGGAGCAATAGGACCCACATCGTGTTTGTAAAAAGTTCCAAATGGGCCTTGAGAATTGGCAGGAGAAGAAAAGACGACTGTGATTTTTTGGGGATCCAAGGAAAGACATACTCTTCTGGTCAACGGTGCGAAGCCGATTATGCATTGCCAACCAACTTATAAAGCAATGTTTTGGAATTGATGAGTCCAGTGGACGGTGGGAGAAGGTGGCAAGAGATAAGGAGTGGTATGTTTGAGAGACAATAAATCTGGAATAAGGGTGAGTGCAGCAGGTGGAGAGGACCAAAGTTGTCAATTGGGGAGGATTCAATGATGGAGGAGCTGAAACTGCGATGCAGTGTCCCTGTTTGACACCAATTGTCAAACCAAAAGTGAGTTTTCCTTCCATTACCTACTTTGTGATTTATAATCTTAGCAGCTACATGTCTCAGTTGCAACATTTCCTTCAGCTCCATGTGCATTTCTGTGGAATTTCCACACTCCATAAGCTTCTGTGCCTGATTAGATAGGTATGAACCCATTTGGACCATAGGCTCTGTGAGCTTTTCACTGAGTGCTGCCATAGTTGACAGTGTGTATATCAGGTAGCCCTAGGCCCCCTTCTGATTTGAGCTTGCAAGCATTTATTGAAGCCAACTTTTGTCCCTTTATATAGCATATCAGTGCCTGACCAAAAAAAGACCATAGAATAGCATTAAGGTCATTAATGACCTTTTTGGCAAAATAAAATGGCTAGACCAGTTGCAGCCTGCCTACAAAGGAGAGCCTCCAATGAAAAATGTCTTCTATGTAAGCATGTCATCTGTGTAAACGGGAAACCTTAAGCAAATTCAAAATTTTCAAAAAGGCCCTCCTTTTCTATGTCACTGACCCAACAAGTTTCTCAAAAAAAAACAAAAAAAAAAAAAACATATCTTTACAACAAAAATTTTACGAATCAAAATTCAAAAAAGGTCCCTACTTTGCAATTTATTATTTTGGTTCAAATTTTTTTATTATATCATTGTTAATGGCTGCCCCCTCTGAAATAATTTTCTGACTCCGCCACCGGACATGCAAAACAAAGCAAATATCTAGTTTTGAAAACTTGACGATGGGCTACGACATTACTAATCAGAAAAGAGAAAAATGAAAGTGAGGCCACTTGGTTGATCCTAGTCTAAATATATAAATTCTGGAACTGGAATCCTAGTCCAAATATATAAATTCTAACTGGAACTGGAAGTATGAAATGAATTTGGAAAAATCAAATTACAACCTGAAACTGCTTCCTTATTTTTTCTGTATTAAAATGGAGATCTCAATCCTTTTGAATATCAACAATGAACCAGGTTCTGTTTGATAGGACTTTGCAGGCATAATATTTTATTTATTCAGTAATGTTTTGTTGCATAGCCATAATTAAAGTTAGGAAGAAACATTGTTACTTCTAATAATCTATTAGGAAAAATTGTTTGATTACATTATAACTAGAAGGTGGAATAAATGTCTTACTAGATTATAAATAAAATATTGAAATCCATCATTCAATCTTCAAAAAGCTAAAGTTTGTGCGCATGAATAATGTGTTGTTATGCATAATATAATAAGAGCTAGGAAGCAATATTTTTTCTTCCATGAATGGCAAAATTGATTGTTTAATTTAGAACTTAAAGGTGGACTAAATTCCTTGCTAGATTATAACAAATAATAAGGATTGCCTAACAAAGAATAAAATCCATCATTCAGTATTCAAAAAGCTATAGTTGGTGCAGTATGACTAATGTGAGATAGACTCAACCTTAACCATATTTTGAAACTCCTTATTAATTTGAGTTTGGCTTGAACTCGGTGCGATCGATGTGCAAATAATCATTCAGGGATTATTTAAATATATATATGTATATATTTTTAACTTGCGCCCTTTATAGTTGTATTTAAAAGTTTACATCATAAGTTGCAGAGTCAAATTAAGCATTGCCTCACTTGTACACCTCGTTTGTCACAAATTGTAATTTTGATATTGGAACATCATCATGGTGATCATGGAATATTATAGATGGAGTCTTCAAGTACTTATAGCTATGTACTTCATTGGATTTCTCTGCTTGGGAAGTGTTGGATACATTATGGGTGGTTCTCTTCCAAATGTTCAATGCATGGAGAACGAGCAGGAAGCTCTTCTGAAGTTCAAAGAAGGCTTGGTCAATCATTGGGACCGCTTATTCTCTTGGATGGTTGAAGAAGAAGCTGATTGTTGCAAATGGAGAGGAGTTAAATGTAACCGCACCACAGGTCATGTCATGGCTCTTGATTTACACAGCCAAAGCCCAAATGAGTCCTTGCAAGGTGAGTTAAATTACTCTGCTTTGCTTGATTTGCCATATCTAACTTACCTAGCCTGGAACCTCAATGATTTCAAACAAAGTCAAATTCCCCAGTTCACTGGCTCTCTTCCTAATCTTAAATATCTCAATCTATCTAATGCAAATTTCAGGGGAAATATTCCCAGTGACCTTGGAAATCTTTCACGGTTACATTCCCTTGATTTGAGTAGTAGTAGTTACCACTCTCTTGGAGCAAACAACCTTGACTGGCTTCGAGGTCTTTCTTCCTTGAAGATCCTGGATTTGGGCGGTGTTGATCATAGTAAAGCAGTGAATTGGCTCAATGAAATCAATATGCTACCTTCTCTTGTTGAACTGCACTTGTTTGATTGTAACCTTAACAAGCTTCCTTCATCTTTGCCTCGTGTGAACTTCACGTCGCCTGAAATTATTGACCTCTCACTTAACAGCTTCAATTCTCCTATACCTTGTTGGTTGTTCAATATTAGCCATAGTCTTGTTTATCTAAACTTGACAAGAAATCAGTTACGAAGGCCCCATAACCGATTCTTTTGGGAACTTGACTTCTCTCACTGTTCTTGATCTCTCCCATAATAATCTGGAAGGTGGAGTACCCAAGAGTTTGGGATTGATTCAGGAAGGAAACCAACTCAAAGGACCTTCATCCTTGAGAGAATTGCATCTTTCCAATAATCTTTTAAATGGGACGTTAGTGCAAAGTCTTGGTCTACTTTCAAAACTTGTAGTATTGGATGTTGCATTGAAATCATTTGCAGGTGATATCACTGAGGCTCATTTTTGCGAATTTAAGTAGCTCATGAGTATTAGGTTTGTCTTTCAAATCGTTTGTTTTAAACATGAGCACAAGTTGGATCCCTGCTTTTCAACTTGATATAATACGCCTGGCATCTTGCCGTTTAGGGCCACAATTTCCAGAGTGGCTTTGCACACAAAAGGACTTGTTGTACATTGACATCAGTGATGCTAGTATTTCAGACATCGTGCCGGATTGGTTTTGGAATATCTCTACAAAGGTAGAGCACATGATACTTGTTTCCAGTCAGCTCAGAGGAAAAGTGCCCGATTTGTCACCATTGGCCAATTTTTCACATCTAGATTTGGGTGAGAACAATTTTGATGGTCCCCTGCCTCGGTTCTCTGCCAACATGAAGTCATTGAGACTCTATGGAAATTCGTTTTCCGGACCCATCTCCAGCATATGTGAATGGATGGTTGCAAATAGTTCTTTGGTTGATGTACAATTGTTTTCTAATAAATTATCAGGACTCCTCCCAGATTGCTAGACATATAGGCAAAACTTGTTCCATCTTGATTTAGGAGACAACCAGTTATATGGCAAAATCCCAGACTCAGTTTGCCATCTCTCTCTCATGTTTTTGTATTTGGGTGGTAATAGGTTTTCTGGAGAACTCCCTTTGTTTTTGATGAATTGCACAAGTTTAGTGTATATGGATCTTGGGTATAACAAATTATTTGGAAGCATACCAGAATGGATTGGGGGAAGTTTACGAAATTTTGCAATACTGAGATTAAACTCCAACAATTTCAATGGAACTATCTCTTCGCTGCTGTGCCAACTTAAGTATCTAAAAAGGTTGGATCTCTCTTTAAATCATATTTCAGGAACAATTCCAACATGCATCAACAATATTCTGGGTATGGCTAGGACAAATTATGATCCTTATACTGCTCAAGGGATGACATGGTCAGGTTATTTGGAACGAGATCATCTATCCGCAGTAATCCTCGAGAATGGCCAGGTGAAATTGATCTTTCGTCAAATAATTTAGGGCAAACTACAATGACCTTTTGAACTAATTGCAAGTAAACCAAAGGTTTGAAGACCTCCCTTCGGACAGATTTGAGGATTTTTAGATGAATTTACTCAACTACCCTTATTATTATATTGTTAAAAAGGTTTAAAATATTTGAAAATAGCAAATGACCATTTTGCCTATGACACCTTTTGTTTTTTCTCTTCCTCCAATCCATTTAGTATTTTCTCTCTCCTCTATCCGTTCCCTCTCTTCCTCCACTTACTGCCCCAACCACGACCCCTCCTCCCACCATTACTTCCACCAAACCACCCCCAAAAATGGCCACCGCCCACCTTACCCTCAAATCGCCACCACCACTCAACCTCGTACCTCTACCACTACATTGCCCATCTCAAACTGAACCACGGGCCAGCAAAATTCAGGTCACCGGCGAGGCCAGAATGTCACCGTCAGAGACAAAACAGGAGCATCCATTAAAACCGACGAGCTCCGAGCGGCAACGCCCATTGAATTCCTCGTGTTTCGAGCAGCTCCATTGAAAACCCAAAACTGAGAAGCTCCATTGAAGACTTAAAACTAGTGAGCTCCATTAAGGTCAAAGTGTCAAACTGATGCACACTATTGAAGACCCAACTGAAGCCACGCTATATATTGAAGACCCAACAGCTCCGGCGAGCTTGAAGATTGGTGTCCATGGCCTGAGTATATATATATATATATATATATATATATATATATATATATATATATACATCCACATACCGACAGAGAGAGAGCTCCATTGATGATCAGAGTGCTTCAGCGACCCAACCGAAGTTGAGTACAGAGCTTAAACGATCCAAATTAACCATAGAAGACTGAGCAAAAGCTTGATATAGAAGAGCTGCCCTGTGTGTACCGAAAAGGACCAAATCAAAGCCCTAATCGTCCCTCTAATGCACAATGCGAATCCAATCCCAACTCTGTGATCAGCAAGCACGATTTCCCAAATCTCGTCGCCATCGTCCAGATCAATCTCGACGTTAACCCCAAACCAACATCATCACGCTGTCGCCACCAGACCAGCATCATCGCATTATCGCCGCCACGGCGAGATCAATCTCGACGTTAACCCCAAACCTCACCGCCGTTGCTGTCCAGCCATCTTCTAAGGTTCTCTAGATTTTTAGGGTTAATTCTCTGTCATGTATGTATACAACTGCTTAAGGAGCAAGGAGGAACTAGTAACGGGCTAACCTGGGCTGTAGCCCAGGTTCGATTGAAAAAAAAAAAATAGTACTATCGTTCCTATAAACTCATATACTTCTCTTCCTCTTCCTATCAATCCAGCCCAATCCATAATATTTCTATAAATAAAAGAAGTTATAAAATTTACAAAGGCTAAGCCTTAAATATGAGCAAGTCCACAAACCATGGACATGCCTAATCACAAAATAAATCATAATAAAACATAACAGGGCCAACATAGTAAATCAAACACATTGTTAGTCTATGGAAGAATACCTAAACTTTTTGTGTGTAAGGCACTAAGATATAGGTGAATGGATATCATTGATTATTATTGTTAAACTAGTGAAATATTGATTTTTATTTTTGTAAAAAAAAATAAAAAATAAAAAAAAGGGCTGTGTTGATGACTTAATGATTTTTTGTTAAATTGGGTAATTTACTATATAATGGATTAATAACTAGTAAGGGGTGGAGCACATAGGTCTTTCTTTCTAATGTAAATTTGTTGATAAGGAACATATCTATTTTGCATTATTGCAGGTGTTTATTTTAATATTTGTATAGAGCATATTTCAGTAGATTTTTTACTGTGAAAATATGTTTGAATTTGGAAGTGTAAATGTGTTAGAAGGTTGTAAATTATTGAGTTTAATTGAATGACTGATGCATGAGAATTCCGTATTTAGAGCATGGATGACACACTAAGCAATCATGGATTTAATTATTTTTAGCCCCCCTACTTTGCAATCCTGGCTCCGCCCCTGTTAATGAGGCAACTAACATCTCATCGGTAGGATTTAGAATAGCGATCTGGGTTAGCTTATTAACTCCTTGCTCAATCTCTCACCCAAGCAAGCTATAATGTGATCAAATTGGGGTTTGGAACCCGTTACAAAGGAAGGAATATGAATCGAACCCTTTTTTTGCCATTGAGTGAGTATATATGTATTGCTCTCTATATTTGGCTCACTGTATGTGTGTGTATATATATAGCTCTGTGTATATAACCCATTGTATTTGTATGTGTGTGTAGATATATATATATAGCTACGAGGCTTTCTTATTGGGTCTCAGTTGGAGTGGCAAGAAGCTTCGATTGAGTCATTATTTCGGTCTTGGAATGGATATGATCTTCAATGGAGTTTCAGTTTGGTTCAAACTGCTTCAGTGCTTGCTTCAATGGAAGCTGCTGCTCAGAGCTTGCCCGTTTCAGTGTAATTACTGTAGCTTTTGGGTTGGTGGAGAGAGAGAAAAAGGGTAGGAGAGAAGGGTATTTCTGTCCATTAAAACAAGGGTTTTTTTTTTTTTGGTTATTTCATGAAAGTATAAGGGTAATAGAGTCTTACACTCAGTTGATGGGCATTTTGGTCTTTTCAACTAATTTTTCTAACAAAATGTACTAATTTTTGTAGGAAGGGGAGGTATTTGTAAAATGGATCAAACCTCAGGGGAACACATTGCAAAAAAAAGGTAAATCTCAGGTTTACTTACAATTAGGCCAAACCTCCGGGGAGGTTATTGTAGTTTGCCCAATAATTTATCCGGAGAGATCCTCAGGACGCATTTTTCTAACCAAACCAACATAATAGGGTATACTTAGCTTACTAAAGTTCAGGAGGGTAGCGTGTCCAAACAAGATCTTTCCGAGCATCCCAGGAGAAGTCACGAGCCTTATTGAATTGACTAACTTAAATTTTTCAAATAATCATTTGACGGGTGCTATTCCACACGACATTGGTTCCTTGGAACATTTAGAACAGCTCGATTTATCCAGGAATGAGCTTTCGTGCTCCATGCCCACCAGCATATCTAATTTAAATTCTCTTAAATTTTTGAATGTGTCACAAAATGACTTGTTGGGAAAAATTCCATCGACCATGCAGCGATTTGGTAAAGCTTCGTTCATGGGAAATCCCAACCTATGCTGGCCTCCAACCGCAAATGATTGCTCGAGCAATGTGACATATGAGGATGCACTTTGTAGAGGTGAGGAAGGAAGCAACGGAAATGAAAGCGGTCAAGTTGAGAATGGGGGTGGGCTCGAAACTACTTTGTTCTACATTAGCATGGCAGCCGGATTCGTTACAGGATATTGTGGGTTTTGGAGCGCTTTACTGTTCAACAGTTCGTGGAGGAATGCCTATTACCGATTCTTGGGTAATGCTTGTGACAAGATATACGTGATGGTCGTTGTTAACATGAATGTTTTGTGCTTCTTTTACCTTGTTATTGTGTTGGCACAACAAATTAAAAGGCACAGTTGCATATGGAGCCTTCTAATTAGGAAGTAGCCACATGACTGTTTGTCATGTTATTTTCATGTAGATTCAAGATAAGGATCTTGAATTGCATTCATGATGCGCAGCTCATTATTTAATAAAGAACGAATTTTGATCATTTTAATGTATATGCCGTTGCCAAAATTACTTGTCGCATGCCCTTTTGTTCACATTTTAGATTATTTCTTTGACAAAATTATAGTACAATGTAGTAATGTCGCACAAATTTATCGTAAAAAAAGGGTTTTGTGTTCTTCACCAACAAATAAAAGACAAAAAAAAAAAAGTAATTAGTAATGGCCTAACCTGCAAGGTAGCCAATTAATTAAGGTGTCTCTTGAACACATAGACTCTCACAAAATATAAAAATATTAGTCATAAATAATAATGTGTACGGAATTGAAAATTGTGTGTGTATTTGTAAATATTTTTTTATATATAAGAAACTAAATAATAATATGCGATATTAGGTCGAAATAACAATGACCTTGCTCAGTAGTGATCGCCGAATTAATGTCACAAGAAGCTAGCATAAGTGCATAACATCCATTTTGTTTATAATTTCATGCTCGGAAAAGGAAACTAAAGCCCACCAATATTAAGGCCCAGGAATGGAATTCTAGGCCCAACCCAGGACCGGACCCAACCCGACCTCTACCCAAATTTGGTGAAAAGCATGTTACTGATTTGTTGTTCCATAACACCATGCTAACTCAGCTTATGATTACATAATCATAACTCTATCACAGTAATTTATAAAATTAAGATGCCCAGGATAGAGCGGCGTTAATAGAGTTTCGGAAGGTAAGTCTTTAAGGTCTCGTTTTTAAACCACACTTCTAACTTGAATGGTGCTTATGTTGTGAATCACAAGTTTATGTCCATCAAATGACATTAAATTTACATAAATTTCAAATATAACTAGAGGATGCATTGTTGAAAAAAATTGACCAGACACTCTCAAGTAAACTTGCAACATAAATAATTAAATCACTGTGCTTCATAAAAATTAAATCACTGTGCTTCATAAATTAACTGAATCAAAATATATATATTAAAGAAAGATCATAAATAACTTAGCTCGATTAAACAATTTTTTTTAATGATTGACTACCTCCCTTACTCAAATTATAAAATAAAATTGATTAATCTAATTTTTTCGCTACTATTTCATAAAACAAAAATGAATTTCTTACGAAATTCTAAATAACTTGTCCAGTTGTCCGGCTTACACCAACTCCACGAACAAATTATTATTATTTTTTTAATCCAAAATATACATAAATGGGTTATGTGCAGTGCACAATCTAATAAGGTAAAACAAGTACTATAATATTATTAAATTGCCATTGACCAATGAAGGGAAGCCACGTATTAAGGTGAAGTATCAAGATCTGAATTTGAGGCACAGACACAGAGCGCTCATCAATTTGAACAAATGGATTTGATTTGGTTGGACTGTTAAACGGTCGAAAATTCAAAAAAGTTCAAAAACAAAGCGGGTCGATTTGCTTCAGTTAAAAAAATTATTAAACTAAAAAAACCCAGAAAAAAGAGGTCCCCACTCTCACTTTTTTTGAAATTTGAAAAACCCTCAACCCTTTTCGTCTGTAAGCGCGCCTTCTCTTCTCTCTCTCTCTCTACACATTTTCTAGAGGATAAAAGGAGAGGAGAGGAAAGCCTTTTTAGTTTGGTTGTGAACAGTGAACGCAAAAGCTTAAATCTCTCCATTTCCTTTGCCATTCCTCAAAGGTCGCATTCAAATCTCCATTTGTAAGCTCTCTCTCTCTTCTCTCTCTCTCTTTCTTACCTACACAAAGGAACATATATAGATATTTTTCATACCTCTCTTTAGTTTTGTTGAATGATATGAACTATTTTATATCCATTAATTACTCATAGAATATATATACCGTGGACCTGTTTCTATCTTGGAGCTTCAACTCTATAATGTAAATTAAATCTGCTATCTCTCAATCTCTCTCTCTCTCTCACACACACACGCACAAAAGATATGGGTCTGCACTAAATAGTTCATTTGCCATCTGGGTTCTTCTCAAAACTCTTAAGAGATTATGTGTTCGATCCAATATTTGGGTCTATAGGATTGATACCCGTTTTGCCCTTGCTAAGAGATGCGTATCTTGAATGTTTTTACAGGAAATTCATCATGGACCATTCAATTTAACCCTACTTTTGTTTAATTCAGCTATATATATGTTTGTTTCTAATTTTGTAAATTTAATGAATAGTTGCTGTTGGGAATGGCTTTATAGCTTGTCTTACAAAGTTTTTGACATTGTAATTATGTTGATTGATTTTGTTAATTTATGAAATTCTGTGGCTGACTAAAGTATTGAGATCTTTTATGTCTCTTATTGCAAATCTAAAATCATGTTTATTAAATCACAAGATATGGATGTATAGTTGATATAGATTAAAAGCTTTTATGGCTATTCATTTAGATTTTGATTATATATTACTACATGATATCTGGTCAAATAATTGTGTTTATATACGAAATTTAGATGATTTTTTAATTAATGGTTGATTGTGCAAAAGTGCTCATATTTTTGTTTCCTTTTGTGGTTGTTGGAAATTGACAGTTACCTGTTTGATATTTGTCCTAAGAGAATGGACTCTCTTCCCGATGCCATTGTTCATTACATTTTGTCACACATGAGCAATGCCAAGGATGTGGCATCTTGTATTTGCGTCTCCAAGCGATGGAAGGAATCGTTGCCTTATCTTAGAAGCCTTTTCTTTCCTCGGAACCTTTTTGATGATCTCACTGGTGGGGACACCTCCGACTGCATTGTGAGGCAGATGATCTCATCGATCCCTCGCTTAGAAGAGCTTGTTGTTTATTGCCCTTTCTCCAATGCAGGCCTTGCCTCGTGGCTATCTCTCGCAGGACCATCCCTCCGGCATCTTGAGCTCCGACTGGACAATCTTGTTGATCAGAAGTCATGTGTTGATAACCCGTCTAAATTGGACTGCATTAGAGCTGCATGGAATTTGGAGTCTCTAAAACTCTGGGGTGTCCTAATGATCCAGTCCCCCAAATGGGACATTTTCCATAAACTTCGAAATCTTGAAATAGTTGGTGCAAGATTGGAGGACCCTGCATTGTCAGATGCACTCCGGTCGTGTCCTAACCTGACCCACCTATTGCTTCTTGGTTGCGAGGGCTTGAGGTCTATCTCCATTGAGCTTCCCCTCCTAGAGCAGTGTAAGCTTGACTTTTATGGCTTGGGTAATTGCTCACTTACCCTTGCTTCTCCAAAGCTTGAATTCCTTGAGGTACATGGCTGTAGTTGGATTAGGGTTCGTGATACCCAATGCTTGAGGAATCTTTCCATCGCCAATAATACCGGTAAATTTATATTAGAATTCACTCAAACTACAGCTTTTTACGATATAATTTTATCAAATATCATTGAAGCTTATTTGGCCAAGAAAATTACTTGATCATTTAATCTAATTGTAGTTGTTTTCCTTCCTGTCACTGACTTCAGGTAGAGTTTACATGGTGGATTTTGGAAAACTAGTGGCTCTTGAGTCCTTGTCCATGAGAGGAGTCCAGTGGTGTTGGGATGCAATAAGCAAAATGCTTCAATTGGCAAGTGAGGTGAAGCATATCTATATGAAGGTGGAGTTCACTGGGGATTTCGAAGCCCTTCTGCCCTTTCCAGAGATTGATTTTGTTGAATTCTTTAACAGTCATCCCAAACTCCAAAAGTTTGACATTCATGGTGCCATGTTTGCTGCTCTTTGCCAGAAAAACAGCCTGAAAAATGTATGTAACGCATTGAATAAAATGTTCCTTTTAGGCCAAAGAATGATTCTCAAGATTTTTCATATTTAAAACTAATATACTCTCTCTTTTGCAGGTGGATTCAAGTTTTGTGATTCCTTGCCTGGAGGAGACGGTGATCACGGTTAGATCACCTTTGAATGCAGAACAGAAAATGAGCACTCTTGAATCGTTGATAAAGTATGGGAAGAATTTAAAGAAGATGGCAATAAAGATTCTCCAAATGAAGAGTAGCCATAGCAGTGCAGATGATTTCTTCGAGGATATCTGCAGGTTTCAATACATGAATCGCAAGATTGTTTCAATACATTAATAGCTCATGGAGCATTTTTTTTCCCATCCTTCATTCACTTTCCATTCAAGACATTCCCATTATTCTCTAATCTCTAATTGAATGCTAAACTTCTGATGTTTTGGATTAGATTTTGACAGTGTTCCTTTACATGCTCAAATATTTCTCTTTCAGAGCCTTCCTTTTTAGTTTAAGTTGTTGGTTTTATGCTAAATTGACCATTTGATCTGAATTTACAAGTCATTGATGTTAGGCTTTCAATACAAAAGTTCTGTTGTAGAATGTCACGACTGTCCATCTTTGAATAGGGTTCCACCTGGTGCCTTGCTCATCCAAAAAATGAAATTGGACGGTCATTGTGTGCAAAGTTATTTTCTTAAAACAAACTAAATTTTCTGATCTGCAACCTGGGTTTTACACATGCTAGAGATCTCTTGGTGCAATTGACTGGTGTTTCGAAGAAGTAACTCTCTTTCGTATGTACCTAAGGCATGTGTCTAGTTGTAGTGTTTGAACATCCATGTTTTGTGCTTTTATGTTCACCTATAAGAAAGAAAGAGAAAATTTGGTAGGTTCCAACATTTTCTTTTAAGCATTTGGAGAACTAGGGTTCTATGGGAGGAGCTCATTCTACTGTCATCAAGATTCTACCTGCTAAATTCAGTTCATTTTGTTTAGCTCTGCCAGTGTTGAATGTTTCCTAATAAACTGCTATTTCATTTGTACAATGGAAACTTGTTGCTTGCTTATAAAACAGTTTGTTCTCAACTCTATGATGTGGCAACAAAAAATATACTGTAACTTGTTTATTGATACTGGAGTAACTGGACTTTGAAACAAACTATCATTCTAGTGCTATGACCTTAAGATCAATGTCATTGTCAAGCAAGAAACTAGGCCTGGATTCAATTTTCTGAAAATTAGAAAATTGTATAGAATTTTGTTTGTTTATCAGTTTTAAAAAATCTCAATTAAAGTGTGTTTTAACTTTTAAGAGAAACTATCTTTTATTTTGAAAATAGTTTCTATTGTTTTTTCAGTTATTGAAAATTGTTTTTAAGTAGTCCGAGACAAACAAATTTTTATTTTTATTTTTTTCCACAGGCTAAGTGGAAGTCATTTTAAGAGATGGGATGAACTAACTTAAGCATGGAGCAATAATAATATCAGTAACTTGCATATCCATCCATGATGCTTTCTTCTTCATCATATCTGTTGTTAAGTCGTTACAGGAAGAATAATTCTTAAATTATAACAAATTGTAACGATGCAAATAAATTATAATGTAAAAAATTTACATAAATAAGAATGTATAAGACTACATGATGTCCATAACAAATTGTATTAAGAGATGCCTAAATTGGTTACAATTTTTTTTTTTTAGACAAATATTAATTTAATTTACGCATTAATCTGATATGGTGACAAAAGGGGTTTGGTTAGGGGTGGCAATTTAAGTCCAAATTCATTAAACCAAGAATCCCATAATTCAACCCAAATAAGCAGTGCGACTCCCAACTTCCTCAAAGTTACTGAGTCCATAAGAACAAGTTGAGCATTTCTGTTTTGGATGATTTTATACTTTCTAAAAGTTTACCAAAAATTCGTAGTCATTATTCACTTTAATCATCATATTCATAACACTAACTCAGAAAGGGAGTGCCTCTGTAAGGTTAACCAACCTCGGGGGTGTTTGTGTAATTTATTCCAACTTTTTCTATTTATTTTAAACAGTAAAAAATGAACATTCTATATAGATTGTATAAAAAAATTCATTGTCAATAAATAAACAAGTTAAAAAGAAAAGACTCTAAAACTTCCTCTGCATTCACCAAATATAAGTAGATCAGCAAAGTCTAAATTAGTTTCTTCTTTTGGAAAAATCGCTTCAAGTGCATTAACTGCAAAACTGAAACCACAATGCAGACTCCCAACGACATGATACTGAACCATGCCACTCTCTCGTTTGTTGTTTCACTCATTGACCTCATCTCTGCTTCTCTGCAAGTATAAATCCCCGAAAAAAATTAAAAATTAAGAATAAGCTGATTTTATAGAGACGATAAAATCGTGTGAGATTCATTCAAACTACATCAATAATAATTACCTGCTCTTGAGGTAGAGAAGATTTTCATGGATGGCATCCACTGCCCCTTCAAGCTTTACCAGCTCCAGCTCAATACCCTAAACATGCACAACCAAGGTGTTGAAAGGAAAATCTATCAGGAGGGGCAGGAATATGAAAAGCATTTCTAAGCCACAACTTCGACTGATTAATGTGATTGGGTACTGATGTTATCATGATGTCGTTAATATCCATAACGTCATGATGACATCAGCCCTTACTCACATGAAATTAGTCGGATTTGTTCGACTGTTGGACTCCCTATCATTTACTCAAGAAAAACTAGTAAGCTCAAGAAATTGGTTTTGTTCCTAAACTTCTGCCCATTAATTCCTCTTTGAAATTAACATGATAAATTACAACTACATTATCCATAGAACAAAACAATAGCTTCCAAACTCACCAAGTCATTTGTTCGGCTTTCAATTTTGACATTCTTTTGGAAATGGTGCAGTTCAGATTCTACAACCAATTATTAATTACTCAATGGATTAAAAAAATGTTCAAATGTCAAAATCATATCCTGGTTATGGTCACAAAAACTTGGTTATAAGTTTGGACTATAGAACTTGTTCCACAAATATATTATGCTTCAAGCTATTCTACTACCAATCCTTTTCATGATTTACCCAATGGAAAAGAAACGTTCCTTTGATCCAACTTTTTCTGTCGATGCTTCAGGTGCAGAGGAATGAGAATAGACTGCATCCTTCCGCTCACGTTATTAAATATTAATCATATTAGTCATTCGTATGGAGCTTGCCCGGAATGTCAATTTTTCACTTTTCGACTAGAAAGGAAAAAACTACTCGTTTATATGTATAGAGAGAGAGCAAGATAACACTCACCTCAATTTTCTCCTTCTTTGCAACTGAATCCCAGTCCTTTGCAGCAATTCCGATTTTCCATTCAAGGTTAACACTTAGATCTCCAGAAACCGGATGATGAGCATCCACCAAAAAACATGCCATGTAGTTCCCAGCCTCACTAGTTGTAAATGCAAACTGACCATGTGTCACATTCTGTTGTTGGTGAAGAAGGATTCCGTATGGCGATGTGACCTGTAAGAGTAAAGACATACCACTCTATTAGTCGTAGGCAGAGCAGAAATAAGGCGAGTCACGAGTATAAAGAATTGAACTTGCACCGATAAGCTTGGCTAGGTTGTTTTTTTGTCACATTTTGCAGCTTAATCTCAATAATGAAAAGGAGTTCATTGAAGAGAAAGAGTGAGAGAGGCTGCACAAGAATCAACATAAAGAACTTGCAACATCCCGCCGCCTCTACCCACAAAAGTGACTACATATTCATACCAAAAAAATAAATGCATCTGTCTGAAAATGACTACATCTTCTGCAACAAAATTATACTTCCATCCAAAATAATTAAAGGATAAAAGTTTAGCAGGCAAATTTATCGGTACTCATTTAAGTTGACCCGAGTTTTTTCTTGATTGACATTAGCTTGGTTAAATTAGATGTTACTCGAAACAAGCTTGGCTGATCTTATTCAGGCTTTGACTTTCCATTGTTCAAGGCTTCAAGCTCAACATTCTTTGAGCTCGTTTCCCCATCTCAAATGCATCAGATGATAAGGAAAAGGGAAAGGAAACAAGAAGGATCAGTCACTAATCAGAACTCTTTTAGATAAAGTAGTCAAAGCTTGCCATATCGATATCAAGTAAACATCTCAAAATGCAAAAAGGCGTTGGTAAAACATCAACTTTTTGTAAATACCCAAGACGTGTCAAAAAAATCCCATAAATCATCAAAAATTGTATATCGGGCAATTACATCAAATCAACGTTACAAACAACATTGAAATTACCAAAATACGGATCAGTAAAACTACATCGTCTTATTTAGCTAAAATTCATCAATTCCACCATTTACACCATGTCTCAATTTTTCAAAATGAAGAAAAAGAAAGACATGCCAACGACACACACCTTTTAGGATGTGTTGTTTCATTTATTATTTTGTATTTGTTTCTTCATCATAAAAATCACATGTGTGAGTGCATCTACTGTATCTGTTAAAGAGAATCAAGAAGAGAGGAATGGTTTTCAGCTTTTTATGTGGCTGCAAGAACGGTGTTGGCAGCCACATGAAAAACATATTAAAGCTAAAAATTACAGAGATGTTGGCATAACTGTGAGTGGTGATAATCGAGTCGGAGACAACAAGAAGAGCAGTGCAATATTGGATTGCTTGTGCAATACTGATGGCTCGTGATGCGTCCATGTTGAACATGGTCTTATTGTTCATTCATAATAATTTTTCAATCCAGCTGATTCTGCTATATTTCATGAAGACATTGTAGTCCCCTTGATGAAAGTTTTAGCAAAAGAAAGAGCATGTTTGAGAAAAAAAAATAATATAGTGGACCTAAAATCAACAAATTAAAGAATCACACATGATGATACTCAACATACAGCTTTAAAACCTAAGGCTTGGATTTGAAAAGAAAAGGCATTCATGTCATGATTCTGCAGCTCCATCATCGTCATCAACATTGTCAATCCCAATTGAATTGGGTCCATCACACTTATTATCTTCATTCATCCTTAATACAAACTAAAAAGAAAAAAGAGTTAGCCCAGTGCACAAGCTTCCTGCCATTGTAGGGCTTGGGAGGGTTAGATCCGCGGAGAAATTATTTCCTGTTTCAAACTGACCTTTTTTTTTTTTTTTTTTTTCCCTGCAGGTATTTCAAACCAGCAACTTCCAGGTCACAATGGAGCGATATTTTACTACAAACTATACATGCTATTATATCTTCTTTTTTTTTTTTTTAAATGTTCTTAAACTTATTATTAGTTCTTACCAAGTTAGTTTTGATTTGGCTTTTTATCTCCTTCATTCAATTTTAACTAGTTTTTCTTTTCTTACTAGCGCACTACTAATCTATGTTAGGATATGGCAATTGCATTTAATCAGTATTAGCCTATTAGGTGCCATTGCTAATTTCCTTCTCAAATATATTTATCATAATCATATCTCTTCTAATTATTCATATCACAAAGGAGATTGTTTCACCCTCATTTTTTGAGGTTTCCAAATTAAAATACTCTTGTCATCTCTTGTTCTATTTTATTTTAAGGCTTTATATTTATTAAATCTCTCAGATTTTAAATGCCGGCTTCGAAACAGTGACTCACAAATGTGTGATTGATTTTACTTTTTATTTGATAAAATTTAAAATAATTCAAAAATCAATCTAAAGAGCAAGTTAAACATTTTCGCCCTCACTCTCGAGGTCTTTTGTCAAAGATCTAACCTTCCACACCAGACTCACAAATACGTCACTGTCACCTATGCCACACACTTTTATTCAGTAATTCACATTTCAAAAGATATATATATATATATATATATATATACAAACACACACACTGACATTGAGATTAACAAATCGCAATGCAAAATAACAAAAAGACAGAGATGAATGAATTTATAAGTAAAAATGAAGGGCAAAAGTCGGAATTCATCTACCGTGGCGGAGATGGTGCGAACGGGGAGAGAGTGATCCCCGTGGATGAGGACGTAATCGCCCAATACGACGACGTTGTTATGGATTTCCTCCGACACGCATTTGGTTCCCGTCGGCGGCAGGTTCAGCCAAATCGCCTGACCCACCGATAGAAGATTACTCGTCAAGCATAGAATCAACACAGTCCACACCACCCCGGTGCGCACGTTAGCGCTCTCTCCCATCCTCTCTCTTTCTCTCTCACTCCTCAATCTTCGATCTTCAATCTTGTATGGTCCCCGCCAGATCCAAACCAACAAAACCTCCAATTGTTTCTCATAAATGTGATTACAAATTTGGCATAAAAATATGCAAATATCCATTTTCAGGAACAATATAAATGTTAATAAAAATCTTATCTCAAAATATAATTTTTGCCTTTTTATTTATACACCGATATTAAATTAAATAAAAAGTATTACAAAATATTTATTTGCTTAAATATCACAATAATTTCATATTTATTTCTTTAGATATTTTTATCTCGATTATATATTCGATTATTAATATATAGTGTTGGTAGGCTACTAACATTTAATACAGCGTGTCATTGAATTTAACTAGAAAATATGAGTATTATTTATTAAGATTGAAACATATATGAAAATATATATAATTTTTAACCATACATCTATATGGCAAAGATACACATTTTTCTAATTATGCTGCATTTTTCTTTTTCTTGAAAAATTTAAGCTCACACGTACCCCTCCCAAGGCTCTAACAGTGTGTGTGTATATATATATATATTTGGTATATTATATATTAAGATTGGTGTTTGGTTGGGGTAACATATTTATAAATAAATAAAATATTAAAATTTAATAATAATAATTTATCTAACAATTTTTCATAAGTTATTTTTCACTTTCCATCACTTGAGCTCAGTTTTGACTTCCAAAACATAAAAAAAGAAAAATATATATATATATTTTTTACCTGAAAAAAAAATTTATAATAAAAATATTTTACATTGAAATAAATTAACCTAAATTTTATTTTTATAATTTTATTTATAAATATAATATTATAAAAGTAAATACTGAGTATCATTTCAGAACGAAAATATTAACTCTCCAATCATGTAATACATATATAATATTTGAATTTGATTTAGATTGTTTATTGAGAGCTTAATTCAAATTAAGTTTGGATTCAGATTTTTTAGTTAAAAAATACAGTAATAATTACCCAAACGTAAGAAAAATTGAGTTATATTTAGGTTAAAATGGGTAGGACCCATCCAAATTGGACTCCTGTCACACATTAGCGCTAGGTAATTTCCGTCCTTTCCCATCTTCGTCTTCTTTTGCTGCTGTTTGGACACCAAAGAAAAGCCAAATATACCTTCAAATCCCTCGTCACGCGACTCACTACCAATAACCCTTTTTCCTCCCTTCTCCCTCTTCCATCTAGGGTTTAGATTCCACCGCTCTTCCCTTCTCTCTCAAGATCGCCGTCTACAGATCTCTCGGATTGTCGTGACAGGTAATTCCGACTAAGGGTTTTAAGAGTTTTCCCTAAGCTTGTTTGCTTTGACGGAAAGAGACATTTTTTCCTGAGAAAATTATAATGAACTTCAAGTTTAGGGGTGTTTAACATATATGCCCCAATATATTCTATTTCACAGATTGATCGAAACTTGATTTTTCAGGTGATATTGCTTGTGTTGTATAATCAGTCGTGGGTGGTGGTGATGTTGGTATAGAGATGGCTAGGGACAGGGATTTGTCAAGGTCGCCGTTGTACCGGCGAAGGTATTCGCGATCACCATCGCCTGTGGGGCACAGGTATAACAGGAGAAGTCGAAGAGATAGAAGCATTTCCCCGTATTCACATAGCAGGTGATACCCGATTACTTTCTATTTATTATATATGTATATACACACACGTACAGACGCAACCTAGAAAATTGATTACTGTTAAAAAATAAAAAATAAAAACCTAGAAAATTGATGTATATATGTATGTAGATGCAGCCTAAAAAATAGCTCCCGCCATTGGGGTTTGGGGAGGGTTAGATGTTCGTAGCCTTACCTCTATCGGGAGAGAGAGTGGTTGTTTCCTTTGCGAACCAGTGACCTCTGAGTCACAATAGAGCAATCTTATCGCGCCTAAGCCCACTATCATATAAATGATCATAAATGATCAAAAGTGGTCTAAATTAGGTTTGTTAGACAGTTTCTTTTCTGAATTTTGGGTTTTATCATAAATGATCTTTTGAATCATAATTGCTTATAATATTGACTTCTTTGTTTTACATTGACTTCTTTGTTTTACATGTTCTAACAGATGAATGTTGATGGTCAAGTTGTGTACTTAATGATATTGCTTATGACATCTTATTGCTCTGAGAGTTTTCACTTTCGTTGGGACTATGATAATCTATATGCTTGCAGTTGATGACCGTCATACTTTGTTCGAGTTTTTGTCCATTCTTTCCTCAATCTCATGATTGTGCTGCTCGGTTTTTAAGCCATAATGTTAGGTTATCTGAGTTTGAGAATTTATCTTTTGTACTGAAAATTGGAACAATACCAAGAGAGATATTTGAGCAAAACATCCAGAATGTTATATGATCAAGATAGTATACACCTCTTTTTACTAAAAAGTAAATGAAAGCAGTTGCTTTCCTTCAAAAGAAATGGTGCCGATGGGTGTCCTATCCGTTGCTCGATTGTTAGGCGGTTTCTTGTGATAAAAAGATGGAGCACTGTATATTCTTAGCAATGTATGAGGTAACTGCATGAATTTTTATCTCCCCGTGCTGGATGGTGGGTGGCCATGATGATAACGTATAATCTATGATGCCCAAAATTATAGTTGTTGCTTAATATTTTCTATGTTCTTACACAGGAGAAGAAGTCGTTCAATTTCTCCTCGACGCCGCAAAAGTCGTTCCCCAACTCTAAAACGGCGTAGAAGTCGCTCTCCAACACAAAGGCGTCATAGAAGACAAAAAAGTAGGAGTACTTCGTTGTCTCCTATTAGTAAATCTTCCACTCCAAGTATTGGATCAACAGATCGCAAAAATGCCAGTGAAAAATTGAGAAAAGAAGATGAAGAAGAGAAGAAAAGGTATTTTAATCCCTTAATGTTAGTATCCTGTTTTATTTTAGTGCTTTTATTTTCTTTTTCTTTTTTTAACCGCTTTTCTTTTATGCAAGTTATTTCTATATTTGTTCAATTGTCCAAAATATTAGCTTTTTTCTTTGTTTGGAATCACATAAATCATATTCATGGTGACTTTTACTGGGGTGTAGAAATTGTTACGTGGAACTTGCATTATTTATATTCTATTGTTGTAGAAAAAAATGCTTGGATATTATTGTTACATCCATATATCTATTTTATTTTATTTACGCAGTACACAGACATACAGAGTAATGCTAGAAGGGAAAACCATGGCTTAAACTTGAACCTGTATTAACATCCCACTGGAGTCTTGATTGCATTCAGGAAATAAGTATCGGCTCATGTGTGTTTGCTTTTGATTCCCTTACTTGGTAATTAATAAAGGCACGTCTATCTATTAGTGTCCTGGCACGCATACAGCTTCAATTGTTTTGTTCTTTCTTTGATGATTTGCCTAATTTATGCCTCTATGAGGTAAATTCTGTCCGTTTAGAGTAAATAAATGTGCAGGATATTCTTCAATATTCTGAAGATACTAAGTATGGATTGCATGTTCTCTTTTGAAGACACTACGTGGAACACACATGCAATTTGTGGTTTACCTTAACATTGAGCTTGTATAAGTTATTACAAGGTTATGTGGGTCTGCTCATCTGAATGTTTTACTATGCTTTTCCAGAATTCAGTCCTTATGAAAAGTTCTCATCTTCACTAATCTTTAATGTGGAATCAAATATTTCATTTTGAGCAAAGCTTAAATAATGTCTGATTAACATTTGGTTATTCCGACAAATTATGTTGATTGATTTATTAGATTATTACTTAATGAAGCAGTACTGTTTAGTGATCTGGCAACAACCAAAGTTTAAAACTGTTTGTCTCAGCTTGTAATATCAAGGGAAATTAAAGACTTCAGTTTTTCATCGAAAGGGGATCCTTCCACTCTTTCTGCCACTTCTCTTTTACATGGATGAACATGCTACCGTGTGTTTGTCATGCCACATGATTGAATTTTTCTGTTGTTTTTTTATGTTGAATTTTCCAGTGAGGTTTCGCGCCAACCTATGCAAGTTTACTGTCATGTCCTGTACTGCCCCTTCTCAAGTCTGTGATGGGTTTTGGAAGGCTTTATCGCTTTGGGCTGGGGTCGGAAGGGTGCTGCCTGGTCCCATACCCACCCAGTTGTTTCTCTGAAGACACCTACATTTCTATTGTACATGATTAAGTAACCTCCTTAGTCCTTACTGCAATCCATATTTCTTAATCAGGAAGGATTTCTAAGATACATTTTTGGGAGGAAGTGGACAATCTTCTAGAATTTTTTAAGGAGAAATTATGAAGAATGCCATTCAGTAATATGCTATTTCATTCGGTCAACACGGTCAGGATTTTGATATAATTCGTTAAGCCATTACTCAGTATTTAATTTAAGAACTCCAACAACGCCAACCCCCCCCCCCCCCCCCCCAAAAACAAAAAAAACAAAAAAAACAAACGCGCACACGCATGTTAAAGGTGGTTTTTTCATAGTATATATTGACAATGGAATTTTGGTAATAGGTTCTCAGATTTAGCAACTATTCACTCTAGATGGTTATTTAACAAATGTGCCCAAACAAATTAGGGTTTTATATTCCGGATGATGCATTTTACATTAAAGGGGTCCCAGTTATTTTAACACCCATGTTACTTTTCTTTGTCTAATACTTCTTCTATTCTTTTGTTTCATTTCAAGTAGGCCATTTTATTTTTTTTGCCTTCATGGGGAGATGAGAGAAAAAGTTGTCATTGGTTGTATAGTCACAAATGTAATTGTTGTACATGCTTGGTTGTATTCACTCTTTAGAACTTTGCCCGCCTTACTACTATTCTTTGGCCCTTTTCTGACTTTTTATTTTTAATTTTTTTTTTTTATTATTATTATTTTTGTGGGAAAGTTCAAGCAAACACACACTCACCCACAATATTGCCCCTAGCAGGGATGGAACACTCAACCTCCCCTTTGCAGAGGAGAGATCATACTATTCATCATATTCATGGGCTAATGCCCATGGATGCCCTTTGCTGATTTTCTCAGTATGACTTTTGCTTATTGTCTAGAAGGATGAAAGCTTTATTGAAGATGAACTGGATTTTTTATCTCTTGGTTTATCATATAATCTTTGCTTTGTAAATCCATTCTTTAGCTATATTACTCTTAATAAGAGTTGCATTTCTCTGTATCTTCTTTGGTAAACTCAAAAGTGGTACAATTTGGTGTTCCTTCTTTTTATTCCTAAACTGGGCATGTATTTTTCATATTTATTGATCCAACTATCCCCCACCCTTTCCTCAATCTTTCTCCAATGTTTTTTAGGATATATTTGCATTGCTTAGTTCTTCCAAGTGACACTGGATTTCCTTTGTTCTTTTATATTGTACTAAACTTCTTTATATGAGTGCTTATTGAGGTGATTCTAGTTTGATCTTGCTGTAGTTGTCACCTTCATTTGTTTGTACTCAAACCTTTTTCCCACTTCCGGGCTCGAACCCCTCCACCGCTCCTTGTGGATGGGGAGGTTATACGATTGGGCTAGAAGCCCGTTGGTTCGTTTGTTTGTTCTTTCTTTGGTCCTAGAAGCATGTTTAAGATATTGTCAACCAAGCCAATCAAATATGACCAAGATTCAATTCCGGTAGATGTTTAATTTAATTTGCTAGGATTCATTTCTTCTCTCCGTATAGGGATTTTTGAACTAATTTATCGAGTTCCCTAAAATATCATTTAGGTGCTGTTTGAAAACTCAAATCAGCGCTTAAGTGCGTTTGATAACGCAATTTGAATGTCACTGAAAACGGTAGGCGCCACTTAAAATGGAGTGAAATTTTAAGTGACAGGGTTATCACTAATCACTGAATGCTAACGCTGAAAATTCAAAGAGACATCAAAAAATAATATTTACTTTTTAGTTACCACTTAAAAACTTCAGCACTTAAAATTCATCTCTCAAAATTTTCAGTTTTATCAAAGAGCACCTTAGTGATTTCATTCAGTCCTATTGGGATGCGTAGTGATTGTTATTTTTCAGTACAAGCTCAGTTGATCATGTATTTCTTTATCTACGCACCTTAAGTTTATTTATTTTTCCAAACTATCAGTTCACTATAAACTGTAACTTTTTCATTCCTGTGATGTCTCTTTGGATGCAAAATGTCTGTAATCATCACAATTTTGACCATTCCCATATTTCCTTAAAATGTAATAATAGGCAAAGGCCGTAAATTCTATGGACCAGTAGTCTAGGTTTCATTTTGTAAATAGTTGATGAAGTCAGGAAGAGGTTTTCAGCTTTTTATGTGATTGCCCATCAAGATCGCTTGCTGTTTACAATTTATAGTGTAAGAGGATTGTGAAAGAGGTCACCATCCTTAATTTTGGTGAATGTTTCTTGTCTTCTAAATAATGAAGTTGGAGGTTTATGAATACTGAAATGATCGTGTCTGGAGGTTTGCCTTAGTTGGCTCTCTTTAAATCGTCTAGAATCTTGGTGAAGGCTTAAGAATGTTTCTTGTGTACTGAATAATGAAGTTGTTGGCTCTCTTGTCGTCTTTGTAACACATAAACTTAAACACACACAGAATTATGGCCACATATATAAAGAAATTTAGAATCTTGTTTTATAAAGACTCTATTTCAATATAAGAATTGAAGTGTTTTGGTGATCAGTTATAAAACTGCAACAGGTTACTTGACATTCTTCTCTACAGGCTTTTTGAAGGAAGATACTGCTATAGTTCAACTTGTTATATTTGATGATGAAATTGGGTGCCTCGTTTATCTACTATTCACCAGTTTTGAAACTCTTTTGTTTGGATCAGGATTCGGTTAGAGGTATGCCTTATAAGCATATATTTAGTTCCTTTGTCGACATGGAAGGTTAGTTCGTGATTCATTATAGTTATGTAGAAACGAGAGAAAGAAAAATGGAAAAGCTTGCTATGTCAGTTGCCAGTTCACTTCTACCGTTATCCATCTTGAAAGATTTCGAAATCGAAAATGTTCTTTCCTTGCATGGGTGGTCATTCGCTACTTAACCTCTCTCTTGTTTAATCAGGCGTCAACAAGAGGCAGAACTGAAGCTCATAGAAGAAGAAACTGCAAAGAGAGTGGAAGAAACAGTAAGAAAGAAAGTTGAAGAGAGCTTGAACTCTGAGGAGATCAAGCTGGAAATTCATAGGCGATTGGACGAAGGTCGGAAGAGACTTCTTGATGAGGTTGCAGCTCAACTTGAGAAAGAGAAGGACGCTGCTCTTATTGAGGCAAAACAAAAAGAGGTGAGTATTTTAAACAGAGTCCTGCTAACAAATTCACTTTGTTTAACATTAACCTTTTCAATCACCTGACTGCAACACAGATGTTTTTGTCGTGGTACACGAACACCCTTTTAGGTGTTTAGGGCATAATGCAGTTAATTTTTTTTTTTCCTCACCTTCCTATCCTATTAATCACCAGCAACAGTATTTTGGTTTGGACAGCTCAGGATTTGCTGCCTTCCAGAGAAGTCAAAAAAGTTTCAAAATGCGTTGATATTAACAATTGATTAAAGTATTACATGTTTTCGTGAAAACAAAATTAAAGCTAATTGCCTGAGCTAACCTAGCTGCTCTGCATGTGCCTTGTATCAAGGGGCATTGCTGTTATGATAGATTCCCTTTCTACTGTTAATCCCTACCTATTTGTTTCCATGAAGAACTCAGGATTTGCTGTCTTCCAGAGAAGTCGAAAAAGTTTCAAAATGCGTTGATATTAATATTTTGGTTTGGACAGCTCAGGATTTGCTGCCTTCCAGAGAAGTCGAAAAAGTTTCAAAATGCGTTGATATTAATATTTTGGTTTGGATAGCTCAGGATTTGCTGCCTTCCAGAGAAGTTGAAAAAGTTTCAAAATGCGTTGATATTAATATTTTGGTTTGGACAGCTCAGGATTTGCTGCCTTCCAGAGAAGCCGAAAAAGTTTCAAAATGTGTTAATATTAATAATTGATTAAAGTATTACATGTTTTCGCGAAAACAAAATTAAAGCTAATTGCCTGATCTAACCTGGCTGCTCTGCGTGTGCCTTGTATCAAGGGGCATTGCTGTTATGATAGATTCCCTTTCTACTGTTAATCCCTCTACCTATTTGTTTCCCTGAGGAGCGCTCTTATGAGGTTTAGTTAAGAAAGAGATTGCTTGTGGCACAACCACTATAGTTGCTTGCTTATTATCTTTTGTGGAGAGATCAGTTAACTAGTTGGAGCGCTGTTTATGTCCCCACCACCACACGAGCACACGCACCCGACCAGTATTGTTTCTTGATGTATGCAACAAAATAAACCAAAGCAATGCAGTTTATTATTTTCTTTAATTTGATTACGACAACATGATTTGTATTTTCATATAGGAACAAGCTCGAAAAGAGAAAGAAGAGCTAGAAAGGATGCTTGAAGAGAACCGGAGGAGGGTGGAAGAATCCCAAAGAAAAGAAGCTTTAGAGCAGCAGCGTAGGGAGGAGGAACGCTACAGAGAACTGGAAGAGATTCAAAGACAAAAAGAAGAGGCTATGCGTAGGAAAAAGCAGCAAGAGGAGGAAGAACGGGCAAAGCAGCTGAAATTGTTGGGCAAGAACAAATCCCGGCCAAAAGTGTCGTTTGCAATTGGTTTGAAATGATTAATAACAAAGGCCAGGTCATTAGATCGCTCTTCTATATACATGGCCAGAGTTCCTCTGGATGTGATTCAGAGGAAGTTAATTGTGGAAGTGGTACAGTATTAATGTCTTCACACTTGTTTTTTCTTCTGAGCTGCTTAGTTTATGTTTGTATGAGTGGGGACATGGAATGAAGTGATACAGGTTACACATTCAGAGACATCAAGGAGGAGGGTTTTGTTTTTTTGAAAAGTAAAAATTTCTTTGAGAAGATATGTGAATGCACAAATTACTCCCTTCAACTGTTACTTCAAATCCATATTACAGTAAGCTCTAAAATTTAATGTATAGATTGAGAACAAGTGTTAAAATGGGGGCACTTTCTCTATGCCTTAGTCCTTAGTTGACATGTCCTTCAAAACCCTATCTTGATATAATTTGGCTTGTTTGTTGGTTTAAATGTGCGTACATTGTATATTCACAAATTATATAGACGCTCTTTTCGTTTTACTTTATTTAATTAAGAAGTTTATCGTTTCATAGTTCTTTATGTTATCATTTCATGTACGAACAATATTGCTTTAAGAATCTAGAATAAATATAATAAATTTTTTGAGACTTCATTTTTTTTTAAAATATATATATATTATAATTTTTGTTTTAATTATTACTAATATAATGTATATCCTAACATAAAAGAAATAAGGTTACTTATAATTCAAGCATATTTCGTAGTGCTTATGAAATTACTTTTTTATTATTTTACAAATTTTGTAATGGCCTTTAACACATGTATAAATATTTACACGCAAACATAATAGCGTACTGTGTACAAGCGCACTCATTCTGAAGAAAGTAAAAATTAGTCGGAGTCTTTTTGGTCCCAACCATTGACCAGGATGTTGATTTGCCTAACTGGGCCAGATTATTATTGGGTCGGACCGGGCTGAAAAATGTTGGTCCATTAAGATCAGCCCCGTTGTGATAACGAATTCAGACTGGCAGGAAAGTTTTCAAAATTCAGGGTAAAGATGGGACCCATTTATTTTTTCCAAAACTTTATTAGTGATTATTTATACCAAGTAGTTACTAACGGTGATTTTGCATATAAAAAAATTGCCCTTTCAAAACCTTCATTCATAGTTACCCATATAGCAACAAATGAGATTAATTATGACTCCTCCAAAGTCTTTAGTCTTCTTGTTAAAAATTCGAACCTTGTAGAAATTTTTTTAAAAAAAAATTGGTGTTAATTATTAAGGTTAAAATCATTAAACTACGCTCTGCTAATTAAATTATGCATAAAATTTGGTGAAATTAGAAACCCCTGAATTAAAAGAAAGTTATCATAATCATGAAATGACAAAATTAATCTTAAAATTTAATGTTAAATTAGAAGTTGATATTAATTATTCTAAAATTATAAAATACCCCTTCAAGTGATCAAGTGGGTCTTCACCCTCTCTCTCTCTAAGGCCCCATATAAATTAGGGGTGTACGGTTCGATTTAGACTGGTTTAAGAGTTTTTTGGAACAAAATCAATTCTAACAAATTTATAAAATTTGAAATCAAACCGAACTATTTGACCAAAGGAACCAAACCAAACCAAATCTAGAAAAACCAATTTGGTTCGATTCGGTTCCTTCTTCTTTTTTTCTTTTTCTTTTTTTCTTTCTTGTTACAGAATTATTCATATTTTAAAATTCACATACACAACAATAAACCAAGATACCAACACATTCAGAACTATTAATATACTCAAAACTTTCAAATCATTCTTTTCTATCAGTTCTGGAGTTGAAGTGAATAAATTCAGAATTGCTAGTAACCTAATACATTTAGAATTACTAATTCAACAATAAACAATTAACCACAATTCAAAATTCAACCACTATATATATATAAAAGCATCGTCTAATAAATTGATAAGACGTAAGAGAATTAAGGGTGGACCATAGGATTGATAGTTGTTACAAACTTTTAAGTGATTTGGATTGTAGGATTATATTATATTGTATATATGGTATAATTTAACAAATACTCCCTCCGTTCCTCAAACATGACACTTATCACGGTTCCTCAAACAGGACACTTATTATAGGACTGAAGGACTATATATATATATATATATAACATAACGGTTCGGTTCGGTCTACTTCAGTCCTAAAGGATCTCAAACCTTGACCAAATCAAATCTTTACGATTTCACAAATTTAAAACCGCGACCGAACCAAACCATTAGCAAACCAATCAAAATTGTCCGGTTCGGTTTGGATTTTCAGTGGATTTTTGTGCACTCCAAATATAAACTCTTCTAAAAACTTTTTTTTTAAAATAAAAACTCTTTTAAAATTAATTAAAAATTAAATGGAAACTCAAAATTGTATATAACCTAAAAATTAAAACTCTTTTTAAAATTAATTAAAAATTGAATAGAAACTATTGTACTTTTAATAATAATAAGTCTGTGTGTGTGTGTGTGTGTGTGTGTGTGTGTGTTATCTATTTAACTAATATTCTTTTCATTTATTTTACTCCCATATTTAATGGATATAATCTTTAAAATATACACAAAAACAAAAATTGTTGAAATTATTTTATTTTCTTTTTAAAATTTAATTTTTTATTACTATTTTGGTTTTAAATGAATATTTCTAATTCTTCTGTGGTATCCAAATCATTTTGAAAAAATATTGAATTTCCGAGAATAACAACCATGTACATAAAACTTCTCATCAATGAATATTGAAAATTTTTAGTATAAAAATATAACAACTAAATTTCGGAGACGTTCTCGATGCCTTGTCCTCTATTTCATATACAGTAACTGGGTTGACTCAATGACATGAGAGGGTCGACCCAGTGAGTCAAAAGACCGCCTCTCTGATGAAGAGTCTGACAAGACCTGTTCTCGGCTTTCAAGAAAAATGATGGTCCCCCACCTCTTTCTCTCACTTCATCTACTATCATCATTAACGTATGATTACCTGTTAGTGGGTCCCATATTCAGGTCAACCAACCACATCGTTACACGTAACCAAGTTTACTGATTAGTGTCAATGTGGGTTTTGTCTTGTCTCCTCCAGGTGGGACCCAAGTCAAACTGTACAACAAGTTAACGTACACCAGCATTAAATTCCAGCACGTGAAGGCTTCCCACCGTTGCATCACGCGCCTTCCATGCTCGTCATTTACACTTTCGAGACGGTTTCAAAACTAAGCTTTTTGCGTCGATACTATTCCACGCGCCGATATATAGCGCGTATATGGAGTTAGCGGCGTCGAAAAAGGCCATCGGCGAATAAACGGGTCTCCCAATTCCTCCGCTCCCGCTGACAATCGCCGGTGAAAGTACAGGCTGTTTTTTTAATTATACTTTCATTTTTTCATCAATTCTTCTTTTCTCTATTTTTTTTTTCATTTTTTTGTTGGCCATAAAAATAAAAAAAATGAGTATAACTTAAACTTATTTTAAAAATAATTGATGTTTAAATTTACTTTTTAAGCATGTCTAATAAAACAATCGCACATTAACACTTGGTAAAGAAAGGGATTAAAGATTTAACTTATTAGATAGAACATTGTAATAAAAACATGTATAAATATACTTATTTATTGAAGAAAAAAAAAAAACCATGTGTGTGTGTGTGTATATATATATATATTCTACTCTATTTTCGTATCAAATTTGAGCTCGTGTTAAATTAAACGAGTCAAATAAATAAGCATTAAACTTGACAAGTAGTTTGCCAAGCTCGAAGAACTCCGCTTTGATCCATTTTAAGGGGTCAGATATTCACCGCACTATGTAAATTAAAAAGTATAAATAATAATAAATAAATAAAACAACCTTCATATAATCGAATTAGAGCATTACAATATAATTTTAGAAAAATCACAAAAATAATTTTATTTATTTAAATTTTCCAACAATCATCACCGCAAAATTTAAGGGAGTTAGGTTACAAGCATGCAAAAAATAATAATAATAATAATAATAATAAAATAAAATAAAAAATAATCTCTTTTAAACCCATAATCCCTAAGTTACGATGGAGCAATTTTACTTTGGTACGTCCCCAACATAATGATGTACAACGACATGATCGGTACCAACACAACAACCACTACTAACAAAATATCATAAACCCTTTTTTTTGTGTTTTTTTTTTTTCCGGCTATATGATAGCCACAACTATTATTGTACCTACTCTCATTGCCCACGGGAGATACATATTTTTGTATTAGCTAATTTCAATATCAAAAGTGTTTGACCGAGTTGTAATTTTTATTTTATTTTGAATTTTAATGTCAAAAACAAAACTACATGTGTTATCATACTTCAATTGGACGAGATCATTATTTAAAGAAGGTATGTTGAATGATGACACTTTGTACATTTATGTTTTAGGTTGGATACGATTGCAATTAGGATTTTTGTATAAAATTACAATATGACATGTCTGAACCATCCTACCTTTCATGGTGAAGAAAAAAAAAAAAAAAAAAAAAACCATCCGACCTTTCCCGACCACCACACTTGGCCATCATAAATAATATAATAATACTTAGGTCCTAAGATCAATACCATACTCATTACTGATGTGAATTAATAATAAATGAACATGTCATTTTTAATTATTAAATTATAAATAATAATTAAATCGTTATATCTGATTTGATAAACAAATATCCTAAATCCAATCACACCCTTGATGGATGACATGGATTATGTTTTGAACCGCTGACCCTTTTAAATGAAATGCCTTTCCACTTGTGTCATACCATTAATTATCATAAATTAATACTTATAGTAACTCCAAGATTTGCCGGTGGGACTTGATCAACAAATATGACAATGAATTCATAAATGTTTTTAAAAGAAGAATCTTTCTCATATTCAATGCAAAGAGAAAAGCTAAGTCTGACTTTGTTTCTTTTTCTTTTTTCAATAGACAAACTAATCTGATTGTTCCATTATTAACCTTGACCCTAAATAAAATAAAAAATGAATATCCAAACCCTACTCGTGGACAGTCTCAACTTTTGTTTGTTGTAAGCAGCTGTTGGATTTCTCTAGCTAAGGCATCTGGTTAATTAAAAGGAAAATAAGTAAAAAGTTTTGGATTTGGTCTGCACACGTACTACTCCCAAGAGTTAAAAGCTAATCATAAAGAACAACACACACCTCTCAGTTATGTATGAATGCACCTGTTTAAATTTTTATCCCCTTTTTTTATTATTATTATTTTTTTTATTGCTAATTTGAGGTTTTTTTACTTTTTTGAACAGTACCGGATTAATCCTCTTTAGTACGTTGGATTTTTTTTTTTTTTTTTGGGTAAATAGTAAATAGTATATAAGATCTTTTGCTTCACTTGCAATGAGAAAATGAGATGAAACTCAATTGTTGAAGAATGTACAGTAAGAATAGATATTGAGTACGACGGGTATACTGAGTTATTGGCATTCTTCACCCAATAAAAAATGTATCACACCTACTTATAAAAATACTGATAACAAGATTTACTTCTTGTATTTTTATCAATTGGTTATATTAATGACATACGTGGTATATATGCTCCTAGCACCCAATGTCTTATCGTCTAAATTTTCTTAGTTGTTTCTCATGCCACTCCCTTGACAGTGAGTTTTGGAGTAACGTTAAGTTTGTTCCATTATAATATGTAAGTAAGATCATAAGTTCGAAATCAGAAATGCTCAACTGTCTCTTTCACAGTGATGAAAAGTTTAAATTAAATATTTTTTCTCTTTCGCGGTGATGAAAAGTTCAAATTATATATTTTTTTTCTCTGTCAATTGTTAATATTGTAATGTTGAAGATATTTCGATTGATTTCAATTTATTAGAGCAAAATGAATAACACCATCCTAGAAGAGTCTGAGTTCATTCATTGAATACATTGAATTGGGAAAATACATTTAATGTTGAAGGAATTTAAATTATAATTCAAATAAAATAGATTATTTTTTAAAAAAGAAATTTTTTTTAAAATAACGCGTTTGACACGCGCTACAAGAATTGGTGTGCCTATCAAAATTTCTGGTTGTTTGAGATGTCATCAAATGAGCTGTTCACAAACACACACTCACAAACACTCTCTCTCCTCCCCTCTCCCTCTTTAAAGCAACATGTGGCCTAGGGTTTCAAAGTAGGGAATATTAGTAGCAAGTTTTGCTTCCCATCTCCCTCTCTCCTTGAAGGCCGAAGCTTTGTGCCGAGAGAGAGGATCATGGGTTGATGTTATTCTTTGTGGGTTGGAATATATATGTGTGTGTGTTAGTGTGTGTGAACGTGTATAGAATTAGCAGAAAGAAAAATGGAGTGGTGTTTGAGGGGGATGTTGTCTGGCTCGACGCATTCAAGATTTTGAAGGCATCGGACCAGGCTTCATTCCTCTCAAACCATCTTCTTCATGTATATATATAGTGCGTGTGTGTGTGTGTGAGAGAGAGATCAGTTTAGATTATATGTGGTGTGTGGTGTGTGGTGTGTGGTGTGGTGTGTAGATCTGATTGAGGGTAATGTTGTCTGGGTCGAGATCATCTATATAAGGTGATCGATCTCGTCTCTTTGAAAGATTTCTTGACGTTTTGGGGTTCTGTGAAAAAATTTAGACTTAAACCCTAGATCATAAGGGATCAGGAGCTTAATTCTCCTCAACAAGCGTCTCTCTCTCTCTCTCTCTCTATATATATATATATATGTATGTATATATACCAAACACATATATATACATACATCTAAACCTAGGTCATGTTAAAAATAATCCATTTGCAGGGTTTGTTTGCAGAACTTTGCATATATTGTTAGATAATACCAACAAACTACATCACTAGGTGCCATTGACTTTGAAAGGTATATCTTTCCATGTTGACCATGCTTTTTTTCATCTTTCTTTTGTTTTTTGTTTTTGTTTTCGTTTGTTTTCCTATCTGATACTATTCTCTCTCTCTCACGTTTTCCCTAGCTATAAGGGAACAAGGAATTGATGTGATGTTTTTTAATGGCTGTTTGGATGATGATTTTCTCTTGTCACTCAAATAATCATCTTATATATGTAGGCTGGACATTATGGTAAGGTACTGTAAAACTCAATGCTATAACATGAAAGTTTGTGTTCGATCAGTCTAGCTAGCTAGGTTTCTAGGCACTTAGGGTTTGTGAAGTTCAACTTCCCTATTTATCATCTGTGTGTGTGCCTCTGTGTGTGTGTGTGTGTGTGTTAGCCCTTGTAACAATTATTTTTTGTTAACTCTTATATGGCGCGCAGTTACTTATTTCTAGACTGGAAAATAAGTCTAATTTAGAGCACTTGTGTTAATATATTTTCCCAAATATTAGGTAATAAAATGAAGTGTTATTAATTTTGAAATCAAACAGATATGTATACAGCAGGAATAGCATTGTCATTTGACTGAATGGTGTACAATTAATATGTAAAAAATATTAATTAGAAGCACACCATAATAGCTGTGGCCAGCTTCAATGGTTTATTTACTAGTACTCATTTTTAATATATATATATATATATATATATATATATTTGTTACTTATCTAATTTAATATATGGGTTCAAAATATTAAATTTGTAACTGATTGATGGCTTAAATGGTTGGTTTGTTGTGAAGTATTTAAGAGACACTGAAGCTGATTGAAAAATGTGGAGGCTTTTCTGTTTCTCTGCTACATGACATCTGGAGGACTGAAACATGTAAAAAGAGATTCCATGCATGCACTCATCCAGGACACAGAGAGAAGAAGTTTCAACCCACTCGCATGCACGTACTGCACGTGCAAACACATTTTTTTTTTTTTTTTTTTTTAATTCAAAGTCATCTTTGTTGTTTTAATCTGAACAAAAACACCAGCTTGTTCATTTTATGATACTATATTTGAATGTAAGTACAATTGAATTATTTAATGAGGTAAAAAAAAAAAAAAAAAACGTACAGTTGTTTCAATTTGTAGCTCATGGCACTTGAAGGATCCGGTTTTCTTGGGGGCCAGCTTCGATCGATTGCGAAAATCATGGCACTTGAAGGACCTAATAAGGTTGTAAACATGGAATTACCAGTCTATTGTTCAGAACCCGAATGAGTTTGACATTTATTGGTTTTACAGTTTAGTCTTCTGTTTTATAGTTAGTTAGTCCCTAATGCTGATGTTTCCCTCCTAGGGTTGTGGCTTCATCTTTTGTTGTTTGGCATTTATTATCTTCAAAGGGTTCTAATTAATTATTTACCACTTATTTAGTGGGAAATCACTATGACCTAATCAAAGGGCTGTAGTACCGGCTCATGCTTCTCAGATTGTGGAGGTGCTTGGGTGTGTACCGGTTCTTACTCCTCAAAAGGGAGATCTAGAGTTTAGAGGTTGGTGTGTGTTTGGTTACTACTTATCTATGGATGACACAAGTTCTAATTTATAAAGACACCATATGGAGATGATCATATTTTCTAGGAATGCACTATTTTTACTGAGGAAGACACGGGAGTAGGGTGAATACCGTTTTTACCGATGAGATGATATTTTCTAGGAACGCCCTATTTTTATCAAGGAAGACACACATGCAAGGTAAATACCATTCGATGAAGACATAAGTGTGGGGTGAAAATCGAGGAAGACAAGTGATTAAAATAATAAACATAAAAACCTAATTACTTGAAGAGAAATACAGAGCCGATAAAAAAATACTTAGTGCAAGACTATATGATGAAGTATTTTAAAAAATTAAGTGAGGATGTATTTAAAAACTTTACAAAATATATAGATTGACGGGCCGAGAAGTAACTTATGGTAACTAAAAAGAAAGAAGGGGATGAGATTGAGAAGATAAGATGAGGCTAGACCGAGGAGGTGAGAAAATAGACGAAGGAAATGAGAAATCAAACTGAATGAAGTAGGATAAATAGACGAAGGGATTAAGAACAGCAAGAACACGAGGGAAAGTATTTTGGAGAATAGTATGGCTGCTCACAGACAATGTAAACTCCACGTCATAGTAAAAGGTTTAGTAGATTGAGTGAAGTCATGGCCTTTAGATGCGAATTCCAAACATTGTTCTTTCGATTTAATTATCAATTTTCTTTCCTTACAAGTAAAGAGAAATTATCTCTTTCTTTCTTTTTTCCGTAAATAAGTACAGAAATTATCGATCACAAAAATAAAATAAAATAAAATCGATTAAAAATATTTCCCAATGCAAAACTCTCATGGCATATACTGATTGCATAATCATTACAACATAGAACATCTGTCAATACACTCCAATTATCAACTACCAAATCCTTCCTCTGGCATAAATGATAGTAATTAATACTTTCCTCTTGCAGTAATTAAAAATAATAAATTTTCGCCAATCTGAAGTCACCACTGTTATTATTTAGTACCTTATAAAGCAAGTTATGTAACACGGAAGCGCACCATACCATGATACTCTATATATAAATAACAATCATTACAAGATAATCAACTAGGATGGACTATTAGAACATGAGAGAGAAAATAAGTACATTAATTGATGTTTTGTTTGAGAACACTGAATCCGCGCATTACAATTTGAAATTGGATCATAAGTATCATGCGTATATTAAGCATGGCGATATTCATGAGCTGAAAGATGTAGCATACATACGAAAGAGTGATCACAAATCCAGTAACTCCATGCGCTGAAAGTTACTGTACATACTAAAAGAAAAGCACATTTATGATGCCAAGGGATAAATTTACAATGAATGATAAAAGAATTGCATGCAATACAAGCTCTGCAAAATAAATATCTTCTGACCTATATATAAAAAGTACATCGAAAAAAAAAAACCCAAAATCTTCCTTAACGTTGTTCGGGGAAAACTTTCCTCAAAAAGTTGATGAAACGTTCGGAATACAACTTGGGTTCAGCAACAGAAATTTTCATGGGGTCGAATTTCAGTGATTTGTATGCGCGCTCTACTTTCTTTTTCATGTTGTATTCCTGCAATATATCGATTACGCCGAGATATAGGACAACATCATAAACCTCAAAAAGTTCAACTTCAGCTGAATCAATATTTTCCTGCAGAAGCTTGCGATTAGCCTGAGCTGGCATGTTTACTCCTAACTGCACACGTAACCTGAAGAAATTGCAAGAGATTGACAATCAACTACCGTAATTCTTTTTTTAAAAAACAAGTGTGATCTATTGCTGTTCCCAAAATGTAAGTTTGCGAGAAGTACGTACTTTAAAGTAGAGTTGCAAGGTGGCATCTATAGTGAATAAGAGCATAAAATGCATGTTAGTCGTTTACTCGTTATAGTTTGGTTACCTACAGTGAAGACCAACAATATTACACCACCAAGAAAGAAAGGGGACTGTGACAAAGGATACGGGAAATGTACTTCGGGAAACATAAAATGAATTATGATTTTTAAGCAAAGATGGATCAATGAATAGAGATAAATCAGAATGGTAAAGAAGGATTGTTGTAGTTGACCCCCAAACTAATAAGAAAAGGCTTTTGAGAGACAGATTTCTAGAAAAGGCAAACAAATAAAGATGAAGAAAGATGGACAACAGTAAGAAATAAGAGAAGACGGAAAAATATGATATTATATTGATATAATGAAGATTACACGAAGGTACTATATATAGGAGAAGGTTTGGGGTTAGGCGAGTGATGAACAAGTAACCTATAGATAGTAATATGATAGGTGTAATCATATATGGTAATTTGTAATATGTAAGAAACCTAGATAGTAGGTAAAGGGGTAAACTTATAATCTAACAGCCCCCCTCAAACTCAAGGTTAGTATGAACCCAACTTGAAATTGAAGGTAAAATCATGAAAGCAGCCTGACGGAGATGGGTTTTTACCCATGATGCAGATGGAGGCACGCTTAACAACTGACGGGACACTATTGCTGGCTGGTTCTGACATGGCACCACTACTGGCTATGTCCGACATGGCAGTTGTCGTGGCTGGTGATGTGGCACTACTGCTAGCACCGATGACGAGGCTGTGTCTTACATGGCAATGGCTGGTGATGTGGCATTACTACTAACACCGCTGACGAGGCGGAATTATGGCATTATTGCCGTGGAACTGCATTGATGTGTCTTGGAGGCTGATTGGGCAGCCAAATAAGACTTTTGCTTATTATAAACTTGAGATTGAAGGTTGGGATAGCATAAGTTTGAAGGTTAATCGCCGCCAAGAACTTGAAATTGAAGGTTGGGATGCGGAAGCATAAATTTGAAGGTTGGTCGCCGCCCACCGCCGGTGACTACGATAAACTGGTATATTATTTACTAGATATCGCAAGGCTCTGATAGCATGTTAGAAATAAGAGAAAATGGAAAAATATTATATTGTATTGATATAATGAAGATTACATAAATGTACTATGTATAGGAGAAGGTTTCGGGGTAGATGAGTGATTAACAAGTAACCTATAGATAGTAGTAACATGGTAGGTGAAATCATATATATGGTAATTTGTAATATGCAAGAAACCTAGATGGTAGGTAAAAAGGTAAACTTGTAATCTAACAAAAACAAATTGCCACAAAAATCATTTTGTTAAGTTTATTTCAAGACTCACCTATGACATTGAAAGGAACAGCAATTGCTGGGAATACGAATGCATAGAAAGGGAACAAATTATTGTGGAAGGAAACACAATCAATGTTGTTCGTCATGAGAGTTAATAAACGCAGAGCCTTGCTAGTTAATCATTAAGAAATTAGGGTCATAAGAACAAAACACTCGGTAAAAAGTTGCCTAAAGAAGTGGGCCAATATAATCAGGCATAAGTCGACAAACTCACTCAGACAATACTTTATAAATTAGAACTTAATTCTCAAGCCAATCAAATCTATGGAAGTGGAATTCAACCATCAACAACCCATAAAATATTTGAGACATGCTTCCCAGTTAATGTATAGTGAATGTTTACTAGCATGTTGTGTTGATTAGATGTGTATCAGGGTTAATCATTCCATAAACTTGAACAGAAACTCAAGGTAGTAATTTCAGTCTACCAGCTAGAGAAATTGAAAAGAAATAGAAACTACCTTCCAGTACCAGGCAGAAGGAGGTCAACTTCCTTGTCACCTACAGAGAATGCTCTCAAATTATTTCCTCTAATGTGAGGACCTGGTGTGGTGTTGACAGAGCTAGGTTCATGAGTTACTAAAAGCAGACCATTTGGAGGAAAAAAGAGCTCCCCATGTGACGTTGCACCTGGAGGAAGTCAAAACATAAGCTGCACACCATTTAATAATTAAAATATAGAAAAATCAATCTATAGCGGGACAAATTCCAAAGAAAATTTTCAAGCCAACATTATGTCATTAAACAACAGATACACACGCATATTCCAAGTCAATATGACATTTTCTGATCAAGAATGAGGGGATTGATAATTGAAATTTTATAGTGGACAAGCATGATAATTGACATGGACATCAAAATCACTTTCTACTTTTGTAGCTTCCGACTCTTTTCCAATCTCCACCAACCACCATCCTAAAATAAAAACAGAAATTATTCGTTTGCAAACACAGTATATAACCAAGGACATAGAGGAATGGGAAGTACGAAGCAAGTGCAGGAAATAATTTCTCCTTCAACTCTTGTGAGGTTTAATTTGACAATATCAATAATTCACACCAACGACGAACCCAGGAATTTTATTTAACGGGCCAACCTTGAATAATAATAAATTTTAAATTTATTTGTACCATACAAAAATATAAATGTTGATTGATAATATTTCCATTCAATACATATAGGGTTAATTATCCTGACCTCGCCAGAGGTTTGAGCTTATTACCTTCGGATGAAAGTTTTGCAAAAATTTGAGTAAGCTCTCTTGAAGTATGGTGAAATTACAATCAACCCCAAGTCCGTTAAGGGTCCATCAATGCTATTAGATAAAAAAATTTAAACACCAAAAATACCCTTCAATATACAAAATTCCTACTAACTATTGTAAGATAACAAATTTAGCCACATGCTATATCACAAAAACAATAAATTTATATCTTTTTAATATATAATTCTAATATATGTTTTAGCAGAACATGTTATATATACATACATGACACACACACACACATATATATATATGTGAAGAAGAATTAGGCAATGGGCAACCAACACCACCAGCTGCTCTGCAACCATCATCTCTCCTCCCCCTCCACCGCCGCCTCTCTCCTCCACAACCACCATTGCTCCTCTCTTTCGGCGATTCCAGATCCAACTCCTCTTCAAAACCAAACACAATTCTTCTGCCAAAAACCAAATTCTCTCTCTTTGAATTGCAGTGAATTGATGAAAATCATTCTTTTTGTGGGAAATAAAAAAAAATAAAAACAAAAACAAAAATTGGGATCATGAGATCCTTGGTCAACTCTCCAAATCAATTGCAGAGGGGGAGAGCGATCAGAGGCAATGAAACTGGGGCTTTAGGCCACAAAACTTTGAGGGATTCCATAAGTTTTGAAGGATGTATTCCCGCAACTTGAATGCACTAACCTCGCTGCATGTATACTGGGGTATAAGTACTAAGCAGTGGCGAGAGATAGCCTAGGACGATTACTTTTGGAAATGCTTATGTGCCAACTGCCAAGAGATTCCCTTGGGTCAACCAATAATATAAGGGGCTACATTTAAAGTGATATATATATACACGAAAAAAGAGAAAATGTGGGGTGGTGGGTCAGGTCAAGGTGGTGGCGATGGTGGTGGTGGCGATGGTGGTGGTGGGGTTGGGTTTGGCAGCGGCGGCGGCGGTGGTGGTGGTGGTGGTGAGCCAGAACTCAAATGTTAAGTAGTAACATGGTAAATTCGTTTTTATGCTTACATCAGCAATAAGAGTAAAAAATAAATATAATAACAATGAGGGTAATATGGTAAAATTACACTGAACACTTAGGTCGTTACTTTGACAGGAGGTGTCAGAGTAATTTTTTCAAAACTTTCATCTGGGAGTGATAAACCTAAACCTCAAGGGAGGTGAGAGCAATTTACCCATACATTTAAAATTGTATTCGTTGAGTTTTCACCTTTTGGAAACACAAGTTGTGTAAACATGCTTCTTCCTCCCTTCTCTCTCTCTCTCTATTCATCTTTGTGTTGAGTTTTAGGATCAAGGGTGTTTTTATAAATTTATAGGGGAATTATACAGTGATTTAAAGATAGACCGACAAAATTAAAATAACAAAAAGGCATTTTTTCTCACCTTGTCAAAAAGAGGAAAAACTACAAACAAGAAACAAAAGAAAGGTAACTTTTAATGGGATTAGAAAGCCGTGAGATTAGAGTTACTAAATTAGGAAACAAACCTCCACAATATTGATCAACGGAACCAAGTCCATAATGCATCGTGTCACTTTTAGAACTACAATTAACCAATCCAATCATCGGCCTTTCAGAAAATGGAAGTAGTTTCCCCAAAAGTTATCGTCCATTAGCTTCATGACCATTAAATAGTCTTCTCAAGTAAACAATTAAGCTGTTTGAAACAACTCCAACTAACTCTTTTCCATTTCTGTTATCCTCAAGGCATCAACTTCCCAAAATACTCGAGAGAAACAATTAATTGTCCAAAAAACCAAGATCCATATCTTATCCACTTGAGCAATCCCCCACAACCATGCAGATTTTGCCATGCACCACTTTCTATTTAAAATACCATAGCTTAATAGTAGAAGAAAAAAATTACAAGAAAATGAGAACACAATAGAAAGAGAGGCAGAGAGAGAGAGAGAGAGTTGATGTTAAAGCAAACACCAATGGCCATCTTTCCTTGGGTGAAATTACCAACTTCATAAAATCTCACGAACAGAAGTGAACAAAAATAAAAAAAATCCCTGTTAGCATTTATGATACCACGATTTATGGAATAACTTATCATAATAGCAGAGATTTGACTATGCATATAATAGCACATATATGATACCACGATTTATGGTATGACTTACCATAATAGCAGAGAGTTGAATATGCCATAGAATATGCTTTAGAATAACTTGTGATTTGATTTTGATTTGATTTAGTTTCTTTTTTTGTAATATGAGCATGTACTCATTTTATCTATAAATACTAGAGTTCTGAATGAGTAATTCATCTCATTTCAAGCCTTTACGCAATTCTCTCTTTTCTCTTCTTTTTATATATTTCTACTTTGTATCAGAGCCAATACCTTTCCACACCTTTCAGCAGCCTTGCTACTTATGTGACAACTACCTTAGGTTGTTTGTGACATCGTGTGACGTTGCCTACACATGTTTTTCTGTATTGCTGTTTTGTAATCGAAAACAGGTATTTTTAAGTTTTACAATTTCTTTTTCACTCTTCTGGGATTGGGTAAATTGGGATAGTTGGTTTCCAACACCTAAAAGGGCTTGGGTAATAAAAAAATTAGTTTACAAAGAGGTTCCGAATATTAAAAAGGAGGCTGTCTGGCTATATGTAAGCGGGAAGCGCTCCTTAAAAAAAAAAGGTATGTATTTCGATTTTTCGGGAATGGTCTGAGGAGACCCTTTGATTTATTAACAGAATTTGTGGTGTTTTTTGGAGTTCTTTTTATTGTCGTGTGACAGATTATGGCAGATTCAGGATCCTCGACTGTTAATTCTCTTGGCTCACGTTCTGTGGGTGGTGGTACCATTTTTCCCACCAACTCATCAGAAAATCCAGCACTTCAAATCACCACAGTGAAGTTGGATGGTTCCAACTATTTGATTTGGGCACAGTCTGCCAAGATGTTCATTGGTGGCAAAGGCAAGATTGGCTATATTACTGGTTCTGAGAAAGAGCTAACTGAGTCAGAGAAGGCATATCCACAGTGATTTGCAGATAACGCTATGGTTATGTCTTGGCTAGTCAATTCGATGCAACCAAACATAGCTGTTGGCTATATATTTATGAAGACTGCTAAGCAGATTTGGGATTCAGTTCAACGCACTTATTCTCAGAGGCAGAATAATGCATGAATTTTCCAACTGGGGCGAGATATCACCAAGATTTCTCAGAGTGACTTGACAGTTTCAGGTTACATCGCCAAGCTTCGTGCTATTTGGGAGGAGATGTCATATTATGATTCCTTCCACTCTTGGAAGGATCCAGATGATGCAGTTTTATATGCAGGAATTGTGGCGAAGAATCGAGTGTTTCAGTTTCTTGCCGGGTTGAACGACGAGTTTCAGTATGCTCGTGTTCATTTATTGGGCTTATCTTCATTCCCTACTCTTGAGGATGCATATTCCTATGTGTTGTCAGATGAGAACTGCCGAACTCATCCATTAGGTGTTGTTTCTGTTGATCGTTCTGCTATGGCAGTTCGGATTCCCAACCTTTCAGGAACTTCACCATCCCAGTCAGTTCAAAGCACTACCACCGGTCCTCCTCTGGGACGACAACGTGGACGGTGTGACCATTGCGGAAAAATTGGTCACATCAAATCTCGTTGTTATGCTCTACATGGACTTCCCCCGCAACAGAAACAACAGCCTGGATCCTCTGCACATTCTGTTACACAACCAGTCTCGTTGTCAACTCCTGACAAACCTGCCTCTACATCTTCTGCCACAGTTACCTTAACTCAAGCTGATTTGGACAAGTTCAAGCAATTCTTCAACCAAATAGAGGCATCATCTCAGCCAACCTCCACTTTTGCCCACTCAGGTACTAGTGCGTCTGCACATAGCGTATCTACATCTTCAACACCATGGATCATTGATTCTGGTGCTTCAGACAATATGACTGGTATGTCCTCACTCTTCCAATCTTATACTATCTGCTCTGGCCAACGCAAGGTCCGCCTTGCGGATGGCTCTCCATCTTCCATTGCTGGGAAGGGTCACATATCAGTTACTCCTTCATTAACTTTGTCAAATACACTTTATGTTCCAAAGTTGACTACAAATCTTATTTCTGTTAGTAACGTTACCAAACAATTAAATTGTAGTGTAACGTTCTTTCCCTCTCATTGTATTTTTCAGGATCTGGTGTCGAAACGGACAATTGGCAGTGGGCGTGAAGTGGACGGTTTATACCTGTTGGATGCTCCTTTGTCACCTCAAGCACATTCAGCTTCATTTTCTAATATTGTTTCATCTAATAAAGCCCAGCTTATGCGTTGGCACATGCGTTTAGGACATATTTCTTTTGGTTATTTGAAACATTTATTTCCTTCCTTATTTTGCAACGTTGCAGTGTCAGATTTATCCTTTGAAACATGTCATATGGCTAAACATGTTCGTTTCAATTATCCTGCTAGTAGTAATAAATCTGCTTTAACACTTTTTGATCTTGTTTATTCAGATGTGTGGGGTCCTTGCCCAGTTACTTCTAGTCTTGAATTTCGATATTTCGTGTTATTCTTTGATGATCATAGTCGTGTTACATGGGTTTATCTTATGAAAACCAAAAATGAGGTATACACCATTTTTAAAAATTTTATGACAATGGTTCAGACTCAATATGGTCGTACCATTAAAAAATTCCAATCTGACCAGGGTACAGAGTACACTTATGGGGAGGTACAATGGTTATGTACAGAATTTGGGATTGAGCATCAGCTAGCTAATGTTAAAACTCCTCAACGAAATGGTCGTTCTGAGAGAAAGAATTGTCACATCCTTGACTTAGCCAGAGCAATCTGCATTGGCATGATTGTTCCCCAGTCATTTTGGGGAGATACAGTTCTTACCACTGTTTACATCATTAATAGGACTCCTTCTAGGATTCTTAACTTTGCAGCCCCACTCTCAATCTTAAATCCCAATTCATCTCTATTTTTTATTCCTCCGCGAGTCTTCGGGTGTGTGCTTTTTTTAGCAGTTGGGGCAAACTCGTACAAAGCTTGACCCCAAGGCTTTGACGTGTGTATTTTTGGGCCATTCTCACTCTCAAAAAGGTTATAGGTGTTACCATCCTCCCAGTCGTCAGCGGTTTATATCCATGGATGTTTCTTTCTTTGAGAATACACCATACTATAGTGGTTCAGTTGGTTCTCAGAGTGAATGGTTCCCATTGAATATAATGGATGATCACCTTCTTCCTTCTTCAACTCCTCTACCATTACCTGTTTCTTCTTCTATAATTCCTCCTCGTCATACCCCTCCAGCAAGGGGAATTGTTCATTTTTCACAGGTTTATAGTCGGAGACAACAGGTACAAGCTTCTACTCCCACGATCGACTGCCCTGTTCCTTCGGCACCAGCTCCACCTTCTCAAGCTATTGTTTCGCTTGATGATCGCCCCATTGCTCTTCGAAAGGATAAGCGTTTTTGTACTTACCCTATTTCTAATTTTGTTTTTGATTATGCTCTCTCACCCTCCTATCGGAGTTTTCTTGTTTCTGTTGCCTCGGTTCCTGTTCCTTCCAGTGTTGTAGATGCACTAGCACAACCTCAATGGCGTGATGCTATGACAGAAGAACTACAAGCACTCGAGAAAAATCAGACTTGGGACATGGTTCCGCTTCCTATTCGACGAAAGGCTGTGGGTTGTCGTTGGGTGTTTACAGTTAAGCATAATCCAAATGGGTCAGTTGCTCGTTACAAGGCCCGATTGGTTGCCAAGGGTTATGCTCAGACTTATGGCACAGATTATCAAGAGACTTTTGCCCCTGTTGCCAAGATGAATACCATCCGTGTATTATTTTCCGTTGCTGCAATTCGATCTTGGCCTCTATTTCAGTTAGATGTCAAGAATGCATTTCTTAATGGTGATTTGCAGGAGGAGGTGTACATGGTTCCTCCTCCGGGCTTTCGTTCTCCTGCTCATTCTGGTATGGTATGTCATCTTCGTCGTATTGTATATGGCCTCAAGCAGTCTCCTCGAGCTTGGTCTGATCGCTTTGGCACTGTTATGCCCAAGTTTGGTTTCCATCAAAGTGCAGCTGATCATACCTTGTTTTTACGTCATTCAGGCGATAAGACAGTTGCTCTCATTGTGTATGTTGATGATATTATTCTTACCGGCGATGATACTACCGGAATTAATGAGGTTAAGAGCTATCTTGGCCGTCAGTTTGAGATTAAGGATCTTGGTCTCCTACAGTACTTCTTAGGCATTGAGGTGGCTCGCTCCAAGACTGGCATTTTCATCTCTCAACACAAGTATATTCTTGACTTGCTTTCTACTTCTGGTCAGCTTGGCGCTCATCCTGCTGATACTCCGATTGAGCAGAATCATCGGTTGGCTGATCCTGAGGGGGAGTTGTTGTCAGATATTGGTCAGTATCAACGACTTGTGGGGAAGCTCATCTATTTATCCATGGCTCGACCTGACATTGCTTATGCTGTGAGTGTCGTGAGTCAATTCATGCACTCTCCTCGTGCCCCACACCTTGATGCAGCTATTCGGATTCTTTGCTACTTAAAAGGGTGTCTAGGCCGTGGTATTTTGTTTGCTAATCATGGTCACTTACGTGTTGAGGCTTGGACAGATGCTGATTATGCAAGTTCAATTTCAGATAGGAGGTCTACTTCAGGTTATTGTACCACTATTGGTGATAACTTGGTTACTTGGCGCAGTAAGAAGCAGGATGTTGTCTCTCGATCTAGTGCAGAGGCAGAGTATAGGGCTATGGCTCTTGGGGTAGGTGAGTTGCTTTGGCTGAAAACCTTGATGACAGACTTGTGCCTTCCAGTGTCGCTTCCATTCTCACTCTATTGCGACAACAAGTCTGCCATTAGCATAGCAGCAAATCCCATTCAGCATGACAGAACTAAGCATATAGAGGTGGACCGTCACTTCATTCGAGAGAAGATCATCTCTGGTCAAATTTGTACTCCATTTGTCACAAGCTCTCAGCAGCTTGCAGACATTCTTACAAAGGGCGTCAGCAAGATTGTGTTTGAGAATGCATTGTCCAAGTTGGACGTTTCAGATATCCACGCACCAACTTGAGGGGGAGTATTAGCATTTATGATACCACAATTTATGGAATAACTTACCATAATAGTAGAGATTTGACTATGCATATAATAGCATATATATGATACCACGATTTATGGTATGACTTACCATAATAGCAGAGTGTTGACTATGCTATAGAATATGCCATAGAATATACTTTAAAATAAGTTGTGATTTGATTTTGATTTAATTTAGTTTCCTTTCTTGTAATATGAGCATGTACTAATTTTATCTATAAATACTAGAGCTGTGAATGAGTAATTCATCTCATTTCAAGCATTTACGCAATTCTCTCTTTTCTCTTCTTTTTATATATTTCTACTATCCCAAATGTTAAAAACAAATCCATTTTTCCAGATCTGTCAAATGGACTTGGAACCAGTCGTATAATTATCAAGGAGGAGGAGGTAAGAGTCTCACACGCTATATTAACAGCAAGAAAAATATGAACCAATTGGGTTTCAAATCAGATTCATTAGAATAGCTGGGATATGATCCATCCAATTTCAGGAGAAGTACAGAATCCACAGATGATAGGGGTGTTCTGCAGTTTCATATTTTTTATGTGAAAGTATTTTCATTTCTAAGAGTATTTCAGATACTACGAGGCAGCCAAGAAAAGTTGAGGCTGGAGAGAATTGAGTTTTTTCATTAAAGTAGTACATGAAAACAGAAAACAGCAGCACCGGCTAATGCTTCTTTTCTTTTTAATTTCTTAATTGGTACTCACACACACATGCCTCCATTGAGGCTCAAACCCCTGACCTCCCTTTGGGAAGTAGGAGCCTGGTACCGTTAAGCCATTGGCCTGTTGGTACAACAACTAATGCTTCCGTTGTAACATTACGGACCTGTAGCAATTAAAACCACATTACAACAGGTAAAAGTCACAACCAAATTTAATGAACATATCCATGCTATATCATGATCTCACATATGATCTCAGCTGTTAAATGTTATCATCATGAGCAGAATATATAAATAAAATTGACAGTGAGAGCCAATATATTTTAAAAATTATCTAACTGAATATATGTGTGTGTGTGCACTAGTAAATCTAAGTAAAACAATTATGAGTTCAAGTGTGATATTTTCAAGTTGGAAAGGGATATACCATCACTGGGAGGTATACTCTCATGCTTGTGCGGTGTGTCAGGAGGATGTAACAGTGACTTCAGATGCTCAGGAGCTCTAAAATGTAAACCTAAAAGGAGGCTATAATCGATTATTTTTTGAGATTCTAAGAACTTGCAGTCTAGAGAGAGCTGTCTGCAAAAGAAGAGAGGAAAGAAAGAATTCCATTGATAGTCAGAATGTGGATGAAATTGCCCATAATTTTCAAATGCATATCTAAGATACAAGCTGCATATTCATTTAATCAGAAGTGAAATACATTATAAACACAAGTATAAGCACAACAATAAACCACATAAAAACTTCAGAAAGAATTAGTAGAGATGAAAAGTGAAAAAATGAACAAAATTATAGGGGGAAATACTTCTTTCATTTTGGAGTTGATCTCAAAAAGTGACAGTGACATTTATGAACCCCCCGTCACCAAAAATTGTCTTTATATTGCCATTATAACATGTAATGTTTGTTACGGCTGTTTTTTTTTTAGTTTTATTGGCCACCGATGATCATGTAATAGTTGTGACAAGTATTTCAAGCTATATTTATGTAAGCCGGGCCATGAGTTTGTGATTTTTTTTTTTTTTTTTTTTTATTCTTTGCACATAACAATGAAAGTAATCAACAAGACAACATACACAGCAAATCTTCAACAACATAAAGGGACATGGCTAAAAGGATTTTTGTATTAAAACAAAATTCTATAAAGATAAAAAGTCAATGATATGCTATAGCAAAGGAAGAACGAGATATTCTCTCAAAACAAATGCCCTTATATTTAAACCCACCCAACCCAAATCCATAGATGAAAGACAAGATGAAATGATCTGAGCTCCGTCAAATTTCAAAGGGGCTAAAGATTACATCTGAAGTCCTCCAGAATAGCTAACCCCTTTCTTTGCCAACAAATCTGTCTCCTCATCCCCATACGGAGAACCTGCAATTTGTAGAAGGCATATATAACTATACCCTTTCCCTAATATGGTGGCTATACTTCAAAGAATCCAGTCCAGCTTTCTTCACCTAGCAAACTACAATAATTGTATATCATACCATTATAAAACTTCATTGAAGACACCTCTCTTTAGTTTTTAAGAATAACCAGTATCTTCGCTTTACAGTAACTACTATATTTCCTCCAAGGTCTTTGAATATGCCACCAACGCGAAACCTGGACTACTAATGGAGCACCCATCAAGATTGAACTTCATGACACCATCGGTGAGTAATTTCATATTAGAGATGGCTATACTCTACTCAAAAAATAGAGATATCGAATATAGATTATACACAACTGGTAAGAAGTCTGCCTTCTAAAATTTGAGAATTTATATTAAAATCATGGATACGAGAGGACTACTATAAAAAGGAGTGATGGTGTCCAACATCGACATGGCTTGTTTCAAATGTCTCAATTCATATCTTGATCTTGTGAAGAATTGAAAATAAAATAAAATGAAGCAACACGAATTCTCAGCTATCTACTGATATTAATAAAAAAATAAAATAGCTAGTAGAAAATAAATGGAAAATAAAGCATTTTAAGTCTTGTGTCATGCCTCGCCGTTGGCAGGACAACCCTAAAATTCTAGATTTATATAGAGTTGTAAAGACTTGTGTAACATTCTCTAAAATACTGAGTTGTGTAGTAGTCTTGTAAATATCCTAGATATTCTTTTGGTGTATTCTACAACCCATTCTACAATTCTCCCGACCATTGGATAGGCAACAGGTGTATAAATTCTAAATAAAGAATATCACAAGCAAGCAAAATGAGGAACTTACTCAAAAAGAGACTCTCGCAATGATTTATCCATATGAAATTCATATGGTAAATCAAGATCTTTCAATGTGGTACTTTCATTTATCTTTTCTTTATTTGTAATTCTCCCTTGAGTTGAGCCCTTCAGATCAAAACGACGATGTATTCGCAATTCAGTGCAAAACATATTCCCCATGACTACAAAGCGAACCTGGAATGCAATAAATTTAATGAATATGTACGGATCACTGGGAAAACTCACAGCAGTAAAGAAAACTAGGATAGAAAACCCATGACAGTAAAGAAAACTAGGATAGATACCTTTTTTCCGCCTCCCAATGTCAACTGATGAAGCCCGAAAAATTTTGTTATAAGAGTATTTTCGTGCTCTTTTACATGATTATAATAGGTAGGAAGCATGTTAAGTAGCACCTACAAAGCATAAGAAAAAAAATTAATAAAATAAAAAATATACGAGGCTAGAGTTACAATCTAACACAATTTGAATATCTCAACCTGCTATTCCAGTAAAGGCTAATTTCAGTTAGAATGTCCGCAGTATCATAGACAATGATGTGAGATTGCAAAAAAAGCAAAATAAATAAAAAAATAAAATGAACAAACAAGTTAAATGAAAAACTTTATTCCCAATAAGGTAAAATGCAACATTAAAAAGTACTTATCATCATTGAGCATTTGCAGAATAATTTACCAATTCTGTAAAGAACTGGAGAAATCATCACCATCACCACTACCGGCATCACCAACTTACCAAAACTTTACCCACCTGCTTATAAGTTGACATAAACCCTATTTTTCCATTACTGCCTACAGCCTTGCCCAGGACCATTAGTTAAATTATGAGGCCATGTGTCAACAGTTATCCTTTTAGCTCTATTCTTTTCCTTTTAGTGCCTTCAAATTAAACCTGGAGAGACAGATGGACTACCAAACATATAACATATATCATAACCACAAAGGGACTGTCCAATTTTTCAAATTTATAATGCAGAAAGAAGTCACTAGACGCCACAACTCAAGAAATAAAATATGGTGGCAGTAATTAATCTCTCGTTTGCATTTGTTTTCCCAATATGTTGATTTTTTTGCACTTTGTTCTTCAAGGAATTCGTTATACCTGTATGTCCTTGTCTCTACATGTATAAGAAGGGTTCATGCGTTAGGGACAATGAGCAGGCTTGATATTGTGTTGGGCAATCCTTGCCATTTTAAACTTTTGGAGTAATTTGGTTGTTTAGCACTTATAAAAATAAATAAGTTAGTGAAACTTAATGTTGCCAAAAAAGATATGTCATTGAGGGGGAAAAAGAACTAAAGAATCAAAATCAAGAAAAAAATACAAAAGAACCCACGCGCCAAGGAGATGCACAAAAACAAGATCTTGGATCCCTTCTCGTAAACCAACTAAAAGATATTGAAGATTATCCAGGATCAGACATGAAAAAACATAATAAAGAGAAAAAATACAAAAGCAACACAGAAGAAACATTCAATTTCTTCCTGAAAAGGTATATGCCTTTTCAATTGAGATGGGATGGTTCAAATACTATCTAACTATATTGTCTCCTGCTTAAAATGATAATTCAAGAGAAAATTATACATCCTCTATCCAAAGGAGAGAGATCAGTGTAGATACAATTCCGATTTAAAGAGATTTTAATCTTACAGAATTGATGAAAAGGGGATACTGAATATCAAACCCATTCATCAATTTGTAAAAATCAATGGACCAGTTTTTTATGTATCAAACCCTAGGCATTTCATTGGTTCATAAAGTAAGAACCAAACTATTCAAACATACTGAGGAAAAAGGTATCTTCAGCCCATGTGAAGGTTTTGGTTGATTTTATTAATTTACTTTTTCATATTCTTTTAGTAGCTTCTTAGTTATATTTCCTAAGGGGAAGGAAAGGAAAAGATGAGGGGTGGAGAATGCTTCCATTATTTGGGGAAGGGGAGAAGAAAATTGGAAGGATTGGAGGACTGATTCATCAGTCCTCTTAGCCCACTATTTTGTTTCCATCCAAAATTGAGGGAAGAGGGGAGAGGGAAAAAAAAAAGAGGAGGATACATGGTGGATAAAATTAAAAAGACTTTATTACCATTATTTAACTATAATAACTTATTTAAAGAGTATATTAGTAAAATAACATCCTTTCCACTCAAGTTACTCAACCGAAACAAAAGGGAAGATGGATACCCTCCCTGCCCTAGGAATGTCTCTCTCACCCGTCCTCCTCCCCCTTTGACCTAGTTTCCCATCCAACCAAACAGAGCATAAAACTCAAGAGTCTATATTTCGAGGGGTCAAAGCAAGAAAGGCACTTTGAAGATTTTCTATTTATTTTTCTTCGTTAGAAAAAGAGAGAAACCCCTGCTCTTTCCCTTGAAATTCAATACTCAATTAAAAATTCAATAAAATAAATAGGAGACTGGAAATGGAAATATCTTTCTCATATTCGTTCTCCATTATATTGTAGGAACAAGACTGTCTAATGTATCAATGTGAAAATGTTTTAGTACTGAAGCCACGATATTTACTTTGATGTTCCATTTTCCAGGTGGATCTGAAAATTTTATATATAATCTGAAACCTCAGCAAGGTAGGATTCTTCATGTTCACAGGTTATGTTCTATTGGTCTTTCTTTTTCCATTTTCTTTTTTTGCATTTTTTTCTTTTTTTATGGGATAAAATGAGAAATACAGTAATTAAAAAATGGATTTGAATCCAACATAAAAGGAAAGTAAAGCAATGTTGCTTGTGAGATACCCTGAGGAAACCGCAATTTTTCACAGGAAATTTTTTTCCTTGTGCTTCATAGGTCTTCGTAGAAGATTAAGTTACTATTCACTCATTATTACTAAGTTTGTGTGAATACAAGGTGAATTAACTAACATGGAAGGTGTTATAACAACAATATTAATAAGTTTGTGTGAATAGAAGGTGAATTAACTAACATTGAAGGTGTTATACTAACAATACTAATCAAATATAATTGTAGTACGGAAACATGTTCAAACCTTCAGTTCAGATTTTCTTAAAGTCTTAATGAAAAATCTTTCATCATGAGAAATATAAAAAATGCTGCCACTTTTCCCTGGAGAAGAAAGCTCCCTTAGACCATCATCGCCACATATGGACATCATGTACTCTGCAGCATCTAACCTGAACAGCTCCCTCAGATTCCTGAGAATGTAATTTTTATGCATACATAAGAGCCTTTCTAAAACTACAATCACATATTCAAAACAAAGAACAACGACAACGGGCATTGAGAGGCGGTATTTTTCAAACAATTCAAACCTTAAAAAGTCGAAAACAATGCTAGAGGAAGGATATAACTCACACAAAAGCTGTAAAGACAAAAAAGTTAGCTTCAAACTACAAAGAGAGTGTGATGCTGATGATACAAACATAGCCTAAATTATTTGCACAAAGTATCTGTTCTCATCTCTATTGAAGATTTAATGGAGAAATCAATGGAGGAAAATCTTTTAATAATTTATGTTGTTTCCTATTATTGAAGATTTGGTGTTACTATAAGAATCAGTGAAAAAAAATCCTCCTCGTTTCCTATTTTCTAATTCTTTTCATTCTCATAATTTCTTCTCCTATATAAAGGAGCCTCCACCATTGTATTGTATATGAATTGAGAGGGTATTATAAAAGTGATGTAGCCCTTTGGGCTCTTTGTGCCGTGGATGTAGGCCCTACCACGTAATATTTGTATGTTCTACTTGTTTTATTTATCTCTTCGTTTCCGTTATATGCTTTACAACATGGTATCATAGCTTAATTTCTCTTCCTAGGTTCGGACCCCTATTTTGGGGTATTCCCTTGGCATCTAAAATGTTGCTAAGGGTTTCTTAATGCTATTTGTGACTTGTTTGGGCAGCCGGTTTGTTCGGCAGTAATGTTCTTCACCTTTGTCGTGTCTCCGACAGTTTTTATCGACTTGTTTGGGCTACCGGTGTGTTCGGCAGCATTGTCTTCATCTATACCGTGTCTCCGGCGGTTTTTATCAACTTGTTTGGGCTGCCGATGTGTTCAGTTGCATTGTCCTCGCCTTTGTCGTGTCTCCAGCAGTTTTTTGTTGACTTGTTTGGATTGTCGGTGTGTTCGGTAGCATCTCTCTTCTCTCTTCATCAATCACACTTGTTGTTAGGGCTGCAACTCGGGCAGGCCCAACCTAAAATAACCCGAGCCCAACCCGAAATTATTTTGTGTGTTTGGGCAATGTTTTTCTAATTTCGGTTTGGGCCTGAGCTATATATTTTGAACCCGGATTCAATTCGAGCTGGGCTTAGGTTGATATGAATGAAGCCCAACCCGAGCCCGAAAATATTATATATATTTATAAATATACTTAAGTCACAAGAGTGTAATAGCCAAGTTGGTAGTGTGCTTGAAATTTATGCTTAAGGTTTCAGGTTCAAGTCATGGGTGCAGCATTAATTGATTTATTTTTTACACACAAATTCTTCTGAGGTGGGCTTGGGCAGCTCGGCTCGGGCTTAAGGCGGGCTTGAGCTGGGCTTGGGCTTGGGTTGAAGATTTTCTATATGAGCCTAGCCCAAGATGAGTGCCAAGCCCGCCCGAGTTGCAACCTTACTTGTTGTTACTCGTCATCTCAATGGCAAGTTAGGCATTCATGCTCCAACTTGAGAGGGAGTATTGAAGATTTAATAGAGAAATCAGTGGAGGAAAATCTTTTAGTAATTGATGATATTTCCTATTATTGAAGATTTGGTGTTACTAGAAGAATCAGTGGAGAAAAATCCTCCTTGTTTCCTATTTTCTAATTCTTTTCATTATCATAATTTCTTCTCCTATATAAAGGAGCCTCCACCATTGTATTGTATATGAATTGAGAAAGTATTATAAAAGTGATGTAACCCTTTGGATTCTTTGTGCCGTGGATGTAGGCCCTAGTGGTTGAACCACGTAATATTTGTGTGTTCTACTTATTTTTTTTATCTCTTCGCTTCCGTTTTATGCTTTACAACAATCTCAAACTCAAATTTTACATTCTCATTGTTTTGGTGTTATTCATTTCTTAGTTTTAAAAATAAAAATAAAAATAACTTTTCACCCCGCTTCCGTTTTATGCTTTACAACAATCTCAAACTCAAATTTACATTCTCATTGTTTTGGTGTTATTCATTTCTAATTTTTAAAAACAAAAATAAAAATAACTTTTCACCCTCTAACTTCTATATATGTTCCCTCTATAGTCTAATTTTCATGAGCCGCCATCATCAAAAGTTTCAAAAGTCTAAATTCATTTAAAATTAATTTAGTCTCGAAACTCAAGTACTTTAAAAGAGGTCATTAGAGAACCACATAGAGGTTATCAAAAATTACATTTTTTATAAAATGCTTACATCCATGTTAATACTTCAAGTCCTATTATGCATTGTTGAAGAGCTATTTTCACGTACTTCCTAACATTCTTTAAGTCCTCAAAAACACTTTCAAAATGGTCATACATATCAAAGCCAACGTTAGGCCCTCTAAAGGCACTTTGGTTATTTTACTTGTTGGGTCAAATGGTACACACTGAATATTTCTGGGTCAAATGAAGTTCTTATTATATCTAAAGAACTTGATCAAGCCCAGAGACACTTCAAAACTATCCCAGTAGAGTCAAAATCAAGTTGTTTATTCTAAGAATCGATAACCTTAACCAACGGGTCAGTGGCCTAATGGTATTAGGCCCTTGCTTCCTAAAGGGAGGTCATGGTTCAAGTCTCAGTGGAGGCATGTGTGTGTGAATACCAACTATGAAAAAAATAATCGATAACCCTAAGGAAGGCCGAAGTCTTATAGCCAATACAAAATCAGGGAATAATTCCTATTTCTACAACCGAAAAACAAAAATGTATGATTAAGACTTGATTCTATGTACAAATGCCAAAAACCACGCATTCAATAATAAATAATATAGATAACCTTGGGACATTGCAATCATTACTTCATGCAATTGTAAAAGCTTGAATTGACAAGTATAAAAACGCCTATTCAAGTTTGAGAGCAGTTATTTTGTAAATATAACTGAGTGTGTATTTAAACCAGCCCTCCAAGCACCCCACCTCAACAGCACTAACACTGGATAATGAGAAAACCATAGAAGTCATGACGCGCATGTAGAATCGCGGTATTAATGTATACCTGAAGACCATAGGGCAGTAGTCCTTCCAATAGAAATCAACGGAATAGTGTGGAGGTGTAAACTGGGATCCCTTTCTGGGAAAGTACATTCTTATTCTAGCCCGTTCTCCAAAATCTGAAGCTCTCACTTCACGCATGGGCACTGGTGTGATTTTGCCAACAGTGTACCTGTGAACTTCAAATGAGATAGTTAAATGAGATATTCGAGCAATAAATCGTTACTTTTCATGCATTATGAAAAAATATATGAATGCACAAACAGTGAGCTGATATATATTAGCAAAGGTCAGTCAAAAAATATGTAAATAATCAGTGTACTACATACTATCACCAGTGCTACTACAAATATAATAACAAGAAGAATTGTCATAGTAGAAGGAAAGGAAATTGTTCTCTCTTCATGTTTTACCTTATACCAAGTTGCAGATTGAGCATCAGACAATAGCTCTGATGGCCTTCAAGAATGTCCCCACAGAACTTTTTTTTTGCTTCTTTTGCATGAAACTTGTTCTGCTGTTTACCTTTGAGTGATAGTTCAGCACTATTTGTAATCTTTTCTTTAATCAAAACCCCCTGCATGTATTCCCTTTCATAAACTACGGTACTATTATCTTTAACCTCATGTTGACCTTCATCGGAGGCAAGAGATAATTCGCAGGAAGTGTCACGAGATGGAAATTCTCTAACAGAATCAACGGTCCATTCTTCGTCCAATAAAGTAGTTCTATGCGATATTTGACCTGAACCTCTTAAGAAACCATTAATAGAAACCTTCTCAGAAAGACTGCGCTTAACACTAGGTTTTGGAGCTCTGCACTCCAATTTGACTGAAGAACTCTGAGACAGCAACCCTTTCCTCGTGTCATCATGTCCATCATAGCTACACCACTTCGCTAGAGATGGATGTTTACTTCCAGCAGGATAGTATGTTCCTTGTCCATCCTTTAGGCCCTTAGTCCATGTCCCAAAATAATAACCCCCATCTGCAAATTTGTAACATCCTGATCCATGTCTAAACCCATCCAGCCAGGAGCCATCAAAAAGATCACCATTGACCCATTTCATAACTCCTCGACCACACATTTTCCCAGCTTTCCAATTCCCAATATACGTGTTACCATCACTCCAAGCATATCTACCACTGCCTTCACGTACTCCCTCTTTCCATGAACCATCATAAATATCTGAATTATGATACAGCTTTCTTCCTATCCCATGCTGGATGTTCATCCTCCAGGCCCCATTGTATAAAGACCCATCAGGACTAGTAAAGGTCCCAAAGCCATGACGGTAATCCCCAGAAAAATCACCCTCGTATTTTGCTCCTGATGGCCAAAAAATCTGTCCTTTCCCAGTCATTTTTCCCTCTTCCCAGTCACCCTCATAAACTGTTCCATCTGACCAAGTATATCTTCCCTTAACATGGGGAAGCACTCCCTTGAAACTACCAAGATAGACGTCTCCATTTAAGAAGACTTTCTCACAAAGACTGAAATATGCAAGTTAAATTTAGCATAAATATTGTGTAAACAGGTATTCTTTCAACAATAAAAAAATATGAATGCTAAGGAGTGAAAATCACCTCTCACCACTTTCCATGGCCAGTTTTTGACAACTGATCTAGCAGTCCTGGACAACTTTCAATTAACTCATATCAGACACCTTGGTTAACCTTAAGCAAGTCACTCAAGCACTTCAAGACAGAATTTTCAGTCAACAGCCAAAGCCAGAGTCAAATGGTGATGCACTGACAATGAAAACAACCATCTTATTTGGAATGGGCCCTGAAACAAAATGAGAATCAGAACATTAGAGGAAGCTCCAAGTTATCTATAGTACAAAAAGTAATTAACCGGGCTTTTATTCCTTTTTTTTGGTATTTAGTTTTCCTAAAAAGCAGTGTGGCTAGATAGCAGCTGCATATCGTATGGTGTATAATCTAGCAACACATTATTGTGCCTACAGTAGCAGACCATGATGTTGGTTGTTTTCAGATGATGACTCGTGTTAAGTCTATTCTTTCATTTAAAAAGAAGGAGTTGCTTCTCAAATACATTTTTATGCGATTCTGCCACGCAAAATGGTTCCAGTTTAGTGGTTCCAGTACAGGCTTCTAGTGTGCAGAAGGAAAATCAGAATGACAGATCATTTAAGATGATTTTTTCTGGTAGCAACCTATCAACTACTTTTAGCCCAAAAAACACCTCGTTATACAGTTGGTGTCTGTATCAGCAGATCAGAAAACCTTAATTCAACCACTTAATGAGTTTTATTTTCCTAAATAGTAAATAAATCTTTGTAGCATTTTCACTTCAGAATCACTAGGAAAGGAAGGGGCAAAAAAATATATATAACAACTTGTGTGGTGCAATCTGTGGTGAGTCATTTTCTGTATCAGGAGGAAAGCTATAATCCCAAGATGAATATAAATTTACAGCCATGTGGGTCAAATTCATAATCTAAGAATCTGCAAATTAGCAATCCATATTGAAGTACAGATCCAAAATGTCAGGTGGATCTGAGATGAGCACTTCTATAGATAGGTATATTGAACATTTAGGCCCTTTAAAATGCCAGTGCAATTTTACTAAACTTTCCAGGTGTATCCATGATTAAGAATTGTATGCAGATGGCAAAACAATACAATGGCAGACTGATTCTTATTATAAAAACCAATTTCCAATTTACAACCAAAATACCTCTCATCTTAATGATAAGGATGACTCGACACTTATGTGTAATGAACTCTTTTGTAGAACAAACTCACCAGCAGAATGTGATATTCCAAAGCATAAATATGCCCACAAACTTCCTACGGCAGCTGAAAAAGGTAAAATGAGTATAGATTTTATACAAACCACAAATATTATGTGAAATGATGAATAATGAAGGTCTTAAGAGAATATGAAAGGAAGGAGACTTTATAAAGAAGCTTGGAGGTGGAATCATAAGATTTAAACAGCAGTCTAATCAACAAAAACTTGTTAGAAAGCTAGGCAAAGACGTAGGAATAGGTAATTTCAAAGGATATAAATGATCTTGTAAGAAGCTTAAGAAACAAAATGAAGCTATAATACAGTGTATGATCAAAAGGGCATCACTCCATTACCAAATGCCGGTTCAGCCTATGTGAGGAAATGGGATGGGGAAGACCGGAGAGAGACCTAATAGTTAGTATTATGTTGCACAATGTAAGTATACTAACTCGAATCCACATCATTACATTTGCCAACCCGAGCTTATACCATTGAATCAAACAATGGCCCCCAAATCGAGGTGTATGATTATTTTAACTAAAAATTGTGTACAAAAGGTGGGCTGAAAAAGAAAATAGAAATATGGGAACTAGCAAGAATAAAGATAATTTAAAAGATAATTTAGAAGTTGGAAATTGTTGATTGTAAATTGAATATTGTCCAGTAAACTTTACCTCTTAGAAAAGCTTTACAACTCTTTCTGGAAAATCCTGCTAGTTTTTTTCTGTTTCTTCTTTGGACAATATTCCCCAATTGCAGGCAAGCATAACTTTTACCTTGGCAAGAAACACACTCACACACCCACTTGCCCCTATGGGAACTAGAACCCTCGACCTTCTACTTTGGAAGGCAAGGAAGCACCACTAGGCTAGAGCCTTCCAAAATAAAAGCTGTTGCCTATACAAACAAAGCTGTAGCCTAAACTTTATCCAGTACCACTAATCATGGTTTATACATTTACCTTAGAGATTACATTCAGTGCTTCCACAGAGATAAATTTTTGGAGGGAACGGAAAAACATTAAGAGGGCAAAATAGAAAAATTAAAATACCGTAGGAAACACTAACAAAAATGAAAAATATAAACCAGAAAACTTGAGCAGAAAGCAGTGATGTCAATACACCGTCCACATGGAAATAGAATAACATAGAAGTAAACATATTAGCATAACTACACAAATCGCATGGAGTGAAGCATAGAAAATAATTATTCAAAGCATTTGTTTAATTTTTTTTTTTTTTTTATGATAAGTAAAGCATTTGTTTAATTTTTCAATTCCTATTTTGAATGAATCATAAATTAAGACTTGAAAAGATTTCAATCAATTGGTTTCAAAGATGATTTATTTATAGGTCATATATCCACTACAACCTAAAATATTTCAGATTTCATGTACACTAATTAAGTTCAATAATTGGCTAGAAAGTGTCGGAAGAAGATTGTCAAACATGGCCTTATACCAATATCATGAATGCATAATACCATTTTAAAGTAATCATCCTCACAAACGTGTCATTGCAAAAAAATAAAAATAAAAAAAGGACATCGCATTGTCCTTTAAAGAAAAAATAAAGCCCAATATTGATCACATACTACCAGGAGTGATTATGCTCCCATTTCTTTTCTAACCTCATAATTTAAAATGACCTTTATCTCCCTTTAAATGTTACGTACAAGACCATCAATTTTATATCACATCCAAAAATTTCCTTACTACAAATCCTAATTAACTACCTTCTAATTATGGAATATTACTAAATATAGTCTAAATTACAAAGTTGTATATAATAGATCAGGTGATACATATGATACAACGCAAAAATGCACTGTTTTCTGGTTCTTTAATAGCAGATTTTTTGGTTGTCTTATAAAATAAGAAAAAGACGGAATAATAAAAAATTTAAAAAAAAAAAGCCAATAAAGAAATTCGATGAACTCCAGAAAATGCATATAAATTCTCCATTGAAGCTTAAATTTACAAACTTGCATCTTGTATGCTAGAAATTGAACCCCAAAAGATACACCAACACATTGCACATGTTGTTCCCCATACCCATACAGAATGTAAATTTAAAGCTGTACTTCTACAAATCCATTTTTCTTTCTAGAAGTGTATTTTTAAAAGATTTGTTGACTTCAAGAATTGTAAATTTTTATCCATATACATGAACCAATGCAATAAAATTTAACACTGAACTCATCTAAACCTTTACATATATTAAGTTAGATATGACATAATTAATCTCGAAAATCTCTTTTCTTTTTTCTTTTCTTTTTTTCTATAACTTTTTTTTTATACTGTATACACATATGCATTAAATATGTATGAATAAATATTAATGTCTTAAATATGTCCATTGGAATCAATTTGATACTCTTGAAAGACTGAAAATAAAATAAAAGTAATTCCTCACCAAATCAAAAGTAAACTATTTCATTGTTCATTAATTTTCAATTGAATAAAGTAATGAATGTGCAAAACATTCTTGTTAAACATACACAACAAAGCTAAGATTTAACAATTCCAACTGGTACAAAGACGAACTAACCTCAGGTGGATTGAACAGGGACAGAGTATCGAAAAAAACCCTAAAATTGAGCAATAGAGTGATCCAAATCGATTTCAGAATCGGAAACCAGCTGTGGCGTTGAGTTCCACCGATTAAAATTGACACTTCAACTTTCTCTCTCTAAAACCCTCTCTCTCTTTCTCTCTCTCTCTCTAAAAACTCTTTCACAATCTCTTTCCATACTGCTGTCTGATTCATAATAGCAAAGAATGGCTTGGAGGATTGTCTGCTACTGTTCTCAGGTGAACACGTGTCGTTCATGCAAGTGGTGCGATCCATGTCCATTTAACTTTGATGATCGTGAAGTCACGGTAGTCACCGTCCCTACGGGATCAGTGCTCTGTGGGACCCACTTTGATTGTGATGGTGTACTGATATAGCGTGGTGCCGAGTCGTAGCGGATGTTTGTGGCGTTAAACTATCTGCCACGTAAAGGGCTGCGATTCTCTGTTTGGATGCTCGGCTAATATAACGTGGATTCTTTTGTTCCTCTATGTCTCAGTGATCATGTGGGGGAGGGGTATAAGATAAAGATGTGAATTAATGATCCTTATTCGTTTTATTTTTTTTTTAACGCTCCGTTTGTACTTGGGTTTGTGTTACCGTAAATTTTAAAAATTATTTTCACTCTAAGATTAAAAAATTATTTTTATATAAATTATTTTATTCTCAAATGACGAAAAATGATTTACTAAAAAAATTTCATGTAGGCCATTTTTCACATATTATTTTAAGTTATGTAATCATTCCTATTGTTATTGAATTTCTATATCTCTTTCACAAGTAATCTTTTTTAATCTTCTTAATTTAAAAATTAAGAAGTATGGATACAAATTTGAATTGATCCGGAAACAAATTTGAGTCTAGATCATATTATGGTATACAAAGAGAGTGGAGAGAGAAATATTCGAAATATATATTTTACATGAAATGTAGCCTTAGTACCTTACATCTTCCCTAAAAAATTTTTTTCTAATCTTGTCTGCGTCAGGCTGTACTAAATAGTACAAAACTAGAGTACTATGCTGTACTTAATAGTACAGCATATATTAAATTATCCAAATACTAAAACTAGAGTTTGCACTGTATGTGACGAGATTAGAGGTTTTTCTATAAATGTATAGTTGCATCAAAAGTTTGTGCTAAGTTTATATTATTCACATTAATCCTAAATGAAATCACAAAAGAATTAAAAGAAAACATCATTTGATGGGTCATGGTGTGTTAATCTATATTTATGATATTAAATATAACTATCAATAAAGATTTTTTATACAAAAATTAAATTTTTTTGCTCATCGCATGATGTCATCATTACATCATATAGTGTACCATAAATTGAATTCACTAATCACCGAATTCGGTTCTTAAATCATTATTCTTTTTTTAAAAAAATGTATTTATAATTATTTAAGATAAATTTACGTGTAATCCCTTCAAAGTTTGATGAATCTGTTCATAATAATTATTGGAATCCACGCTACGTACGGATTATTTTATAGTTTATTATTCATATTTATCTGCATATATATATATATATTATTTGTAACGAATTACAGATAGAAGGAAAAAAAAAAAAAAAAAATTTGACACTTGAGATATGCAATAGTTCTTCTTCCCATTTAGTCCTTATGGACTTGTTTGGTTAGCATGAAATAGATAGAAAGGAAAAGAAACATAAATTTTTTAAATTTGTTAGGAGTTTGGTTAGCGTGAAAGAGAAAAAATTTAGGAAAGTAAATTATCGCAACTGCTTAATTTTCCTCAAAATATTTCTCGCAAAAAACACAGAACACAGGGAAATTTTACTTTCCCATAAAAGTGGTGCATTCATATCTGAAAAATTAGGATTAATGTTTTTACGTATACAATTTACAATTTAATTCAGACATAGACTTTTCTCGACTTTAGGACTCTAAATAAATTAGATGTACCAAACTAATTTAGTTTTAATTCTACATATGCAAGATGTATCAAACTAATTTAGTTGAAGCACAATATTTCGTTTAGACTCAAACTTTTTTTTCTTTCTAACTTGTACCTATAATCACAGATATCAAATTATTAAATATCATATTCATTGTTTCATTTTGAATTTTAAATTTTAATTTTGTTCATAATTCAAAAGATAAAGTAATGTCTTAAAAGAGTACAAAGTAATCTTATAACTAAAAGGGTAGTTTTGATAACTACAATTAATCTTATAACTAAAAGGGTAGTTTTGATAACTACAATCATTTTCTTTTCATTTTGATGCTTTTCAAGCTCACAAAATAATATTTTCTCACAACTTTTTTGAAAAAAATTATTGCTAACCAAATGCACGATGGAAACTTAATTTTATTTTCCTTTCTTTTACTTTCTTTCACTCTCACTTTCCATCATAATTTCCGTCTAACCAAACGGACCCTATATGATTTATAAACATACTTTTAACAAAATACATTAAAAATAAAAATATATATATTCTTTACAATTATTTTATTTTAAATTGTAATTTACTAATTTACCCCTGAATAATTATTACTGGATCCAATGACATGGTACTATAATACTCCTGAACACTTCTAAAGAAAACATACTACGTGTTAATTAGTGGGGCTAAAATTGAACGCAAATTTAGTAAAGAATATTAATGATGATAGTTACGCTTTGAAAATTAAATGATTCCCCAGGGTTAACACTTTTGGCACTTAGGTCATTAATACAATAAGCATGGTGAGATTGACAAATAGGATAGGCTGGAGTTGGAATAAACGGAGGCAAGTAGTTAGTGATGTTTTGTGTGACAAACAAATATCATATAACTTAAACATATACATATATATATATACACACACATATAGAATAACTATTATGCTAACTATTTTATATGGCGCGGACGGAGTTTTAGACGTAAAATAATAATAATAAAAATAATAAAAAAGAAAAAAATATAAGAAAGATCAATGTAGTAAGATGAGAATATTAAAATAGATGATTGGAGTGATTAAAAAAGATAGCGTTTCGAAAAGGAAGAAATTAGGTATAGCATCTATTAGTGACAAGAATAAAAAGATAAAGTATATTTAGATGCATTGACAATAAGAAAAGAGATAATTTATATAAATGGTAGAAGGTGAAAAGGGTGTTCAAAATTAATAATGAAATCATTAGAAATGATTTTAAAAAGTTAAATATTAGGGTGTAATAATAAAGAGTGAAAAAAGAGAATTCACTTATAGATCTACACATATGGAATTAAATAAAAAATAAAAAATGATGATGGTAGTGGTGAAGAAGGAAAGGAAAAGGAAAGGAGAGATGGCAGTAACCTCTTGCTGTGGTTGGTTGGTAAATGAGAAAAAAAATGATATTATTAACACCTAATTATGTTTAGTACAGAAAATAAAATGATTTATTTTATTGAATTTTTCTGTATATCTTTTTACATTAAAAAAAAAAAAGAAAAAAAAAGAAAAAAAAAAAAAAGAGTTTTCTTGATAAATAAAACCCATTAGTTTTAAAACGCCGGTTGGACCGGTAATGGACCTTTCGGGACCGTCCTACTCTAGATGAAACGCTGGTTCTTGACGGTGCGCGACTTTGTTCCTCAGTTTCTCTCTTCAATCTTCCCTCTCTAGGGTTTAATCAGTGTCCATGAAATGGAATCAAATCTCTCAAAAGGCAATGTTGTTCACACTTCTACAGCCACTTCTGGAAGACCCACTTCCCCTTTCAGCATATGCACCCATTTTCCAGTTCTTGACTGGCCACAACTTCCTCAAACAAGGCCAACAACTCCATGCCCACATGATCTCCCGAGGCCTCCGGCCCAACGCTGCCGTTGGCGCGAAAATGGTGGCAATGTATGCTAGTTCAGGTGATATAGACTCAGCTATAGTCCTATTTGATCGTATTACTCACCCATCTTCTCTTTTGTATAATGCGATGATTCGAGCATATACACGATATGGGTATTATGAGAAAACGATTGGAACCTACTCCCAAATGCATATGCTAGGTCTCAGTGCTGATAATTTTACGTTCCCTTTTGTGCTAAAGTCCTGTGCGGATTTATCGTATGTTAATTTGGGAAGATGCGTTCATGGGCAGAGTTTGAAAGCTGGGTTTGAGTTTGATTTGTATGTGGGGACTTCTTTGATCGATATGTATGCGAAATGTGGTGAATTGGATTATGCTCGTTCGTTGTTTGATGAAATGCCCGTCAGAGATGTTTCGTCTTGGAATGTGTTGATTGGTGGGTACATGAAAGAGGGCATTATTCATGTTGCTGAGGATTTGTTTGGGAAGATGTCGAATAGGAATATTGTGTCTTGGACTGCAATGATATCGGGGTATGCTCAGAACGGGTATGCGGCACAAGCACTGGATTTGTTTGATGAGATGTTGCAGGAGGGCTCGGAGGTAAAGCCCAATTGGGTAACTGTTATGAGTGTCCTCCCTGCATGTGCACATTCAGCTGCTCTTGAGCACGGGAAACGGATTCATAATTTTGCAAGTGAAGTTGGTTTAGACTCTAATTACTCTGTGCAGGCTGCACTTGTTGCAATGTATGCTAAATGCGGAAGTCTTGTTGATGCCCGGTGCTGTTTTGACCGGATACATCCGAATGGGAGGAATTTGGTTGCTTGGAACACTATGATTGCTGCATATGCTTCTCATGGCTGTGGCATGGAAGCTGTGTCAACTTTTGAGGATATGATGAGAGCTGGTGTCCTGCCTGATGCTATCACATTTACGGGCTTGTTATCAGGATGTGCCCATTCTGGTCTTGTTGATGTCGGCCTAAGATACTTCAACTGTATGAATACAGTGTACTTTGTGCAACCAAAACACGAACAATATGCTTGTGTTGTGGACCTTCTTGGCCGTGCTGGGCGATTGGTAGAAGCAATGGAGCTTATTTATCAAATGCCAATGACAGCTGGACCAAGCATTTGGGGTTCGTTGTTGTCTGCTTCTCGGAAACACCGGAATTTAGAGATTGCAGAGACAGCAGCTAGAAAGCTGTTTGTCTTAGAACCAGATAATAGTGGAAATTATATTCTGCTTTCAAATATGTACGCAGAAAGGAGGATGTGGAAGGAAGTAGACAATTTGAGAGCCATGCTAAAATCTCAGGGTGTGAAGAAGAGTCCAGGATGCAGTTGGATTGAGATCAATGGGAAGGCTCATCTATTTTTTGGAGGAGATACATCACACCCACAGGCAAAGGAAATTTACATATTGTTGGAGGCATTGCCTGAGAAAATTAAAGCAGCTGGTTATGTACCAGATACTAGTCTTGTGTTGCATGATGTGAGTGAAGAGGAGAAAGAGTATAACCTAACAACTCACAGTGAGAAGTTGGCCATTGCTTTTGGGCTTCTTAACACAAGCCCTGGTACTGTTCTCCGTGTGACTAAAAACCTTCGAATATGCGGAGACTGTCACACGGCCACCAAGTTCATTTCGAAAATGTATGGACGGGAGATCATTGTGAGAGATGTGAATCGGTTCCATCATTTTAAAGATGGGTTTTGTTCCTGCGGTGATTATTGGTGAATTAGAAGACGTTAATGCTGTTCTGAAGAGTTGTTGATTAAGATTGAAATGAGGCTTTAAGTCCCCATATGCACCATAATTGGTGCACAATTTGAGAACTCTTCAGAAATATCAAGGCAAGTAGGGTGCAGTTGGGTTGTGTTCGAATTCCAGTTGTTTCTTCAAAGAGGGGTTGGAATTTAAATGTTAGTCTTTTACCGAAGTAGCTATTTAGATACAAGATATAAGCATATGGTTACAATGAAGAGGCTTTTACATGGGCAGCTTTTTAGATACAATATATAAGAATGGTTTCAACGAAGTGTATAATATCATTACTGAAGTTTGATACTGGCCATTGCTTTGGCTTCTTAACAGGAACACTGGAATTTATCATTTACAATCTCCCATGGCCTTCACTCGTTTGAAGGCACAAAAGTTCTTTTTACACTATTTTGGAAACCCAAGGACTCAATCGTATGGATATGTGAAATACAGGATTTCAAATTCTAGCAGGAAAATGCATCCTCCCTCCTTGATCGATGCTAAGATCCCGACAGCTCACCTACGTTTGGTTGAAGGAAAGGAAGGAGAAGTGATGGAGTAAAGATGGAAGGAGGGGTGAAGTATCTCCAGGTCCACCATTTTGCTTTCATTCAAAAGTGGAAGGAAGGGGAGAGAGAGAAATGAGTATTTCTTGGACAAAAAACTTTTCAAAGGGAGGTCATGGTTCGAGCTTCTGTGAAGGTAGGCAGCCTGAGTGAATTACTTTACCTTCCAGAGAGATATATATATATATATATCCTCTTTCTTTTCCACTCAACTAAACAAAAAGGAGGGATGGGCACTCTCTTTTCTTGAAATGCTTCTTCCATCTCTCTTCTTATTCCTTCTATTCATTTTTTTTTCATTCCTCCTACCAAAACAATTTACAAACTTCAAAGCTTGAATAAAAAGTCGTCTCTCTTTATCGGATATGCCTCAGTCTCGACATGGTTTTGTACCCGCCATCAATTTGTGAAACGTATTTTATAATGGTATGAATTTTATATCACTCTTTCAATCTTGTTCTTTGAATTTTTAGCAGAAAAGGCCAATCTCAATGCATATAACGTCATTTGGAAATTAGAACCCTTCGTTCTTTGTTATTTTGGAAATTGACACTTGACAGTGATGCCATGTGATTGTAGTAGACCATCTCTATGTTGAGAGATATTTGACTTAACAATCCTCCTCATGTGATGGTGCATTGTCATGTTTTGCACTTGAATTGACATTTAGACTCCGTGTAAATTGTTTTTCTCAGAATTTTTTTTTTTTTTCATGTAAAATATTTATTTATTTTTTCTGCAGTGTTTGACAAAAGTTTAGGTCGAGGTTGAGATCGAGTCCATCGGGTGGGAGTCTGAGACGTAAGAAATAACTTGCCGAAAATTGATTAATAAGTTATTTTTTTATATTTTAATAATTTTTTTTTCGTAAATATTTTATGACGACCGGACACCAAAAAATATTTTACGGATTAGAAGAAATTTTTTTTCTAATTCGTGAATTTAATTTTGTCCCTCAGAAGCAAATTCTTTTTTAATTTCTGAATTTAATTTTATTGTGGGAAACACTAAATCGTCAAATTAAAAATAAAATAATAATAAATAAAAAAATTCAAAGTTTAAACTATAATTTTTCCATTCTCAAATTCCCAAGACCTCCAGAAATAACACACAAATACATGTGACATTTACCATAAGCAAGAATGAACTAAAATGTACCTAAACACAAAAAAACTACAGAAAAGGTTCACAACTAAGAATGAATCCTATAATTACAAATCTTAGTTGTCATGCTCATCATTTTTTAGTTTCTTTTATTTACTTAATAGATATCTAATTACAAGTTCTTCAAAAAGAATATAGTAGTAGTCTAGAAATATCAATTGGGTTCGAATATATATATACATATATTTGCAATAAATTATATACACACTTTACTTTGTTTAATTAAGATGCTTACTATTTTAGAATTTCTAAACCAATCCTTTCATTTATAAATATAAAACAATAATATCTCTGAGACTTCAAAATAAATGTATAGATTTCAGTTGCAATGTTATAAAAAATAATATTAACTTTTTCGATTTTAAAGTACTAATACTGTGTATGAAAAGAATCCATCACTCCTAAGTCGCAACTTACACACTTGTGTCCTCTCACAGGAATCTCTTTTAGAACATATGCTAAAGAATTATAGCATATGCACAAATATTTTTATACATGCACATATCATATCTATATAAATATAGTCGATCAAAATTTAAAGATCTTTTGATGCTTTCTCCATTTTCACAGTGCTATAATTCTTTAGCATATGTTCTAAAATTACTGCACAAGGCTATGGTGTCCTCTCACAGGAATCTCTTTCCTCTTGGAAAGAAAGTAATCTGTAACTGATTGACGCCATCTAGAATCCTTCTGGTAGAGAAGGCCAAGGGCTTTACATGGTTCCTTGTGAAAAGCAGCTTTTCAAATTTATCAATGCGTCTGTTCAAAGCATCATTAGCAGACATCCTTTCTCTAATATTCGCATCTTGTCGATCACTCCATGATCAACAAATGGAAGTTACGCTACTCCACGGGAGGGAAAAAAATACAAGTTATGCTATATAATTATATTCACACTATAAAAAGGTAATTTCTATACATTCTGAAGCAAACAATACGGTTATTTTTGTACGTTGGACTAATGATTTGCTTATAGGTAACCGAGGTTACTTTTCTTCCCGTCCACGTAGAAGTGTAGAACTCAGGTTTAAAAATAGCAAGCATAAAACCTTATGGTGATTCCTCAGTTGGAACATTTGAGTAGCTGCAAGTGTAACTCTCTACCTTCGTGTCACTTACTTCAACTTTGGTCCATGAAATTCTCCATGCCTGTAGCAAACTTCGCCTGCATCAAAAAGAAATAACAAGTGCATGAGAAATGGAGAGAGAGGGCGAGGAGGGATGGGGTTACAAAATGCATGTACTAGCCAGCATGAACTGAGTCTTCACTCTTCAGAAAGAGTTCAACCAAACAGTGGCATGTTTTGCACGTAGGGAAAAAAAAAAAGGGGTAAATGAATTCCCAAAAATAAAAACAGAGGTAAATCTATATTTCTTCAGGGCCTTCAATGGAGCAGCGAACATTCTGGGTTAGGTAGTCGCAGCGGCCAAAGTAGTTAGAGCATGTCGGTCTTGACTAAGGAGCCACACAAATATCATAATTTGGTAAAGTAAGCACACTGATGATTATCAGGGCAATGGATAACATCCTCTTTAATCAGTCAGATATGCATCTGGTACTTCTTTTGGCAAAGTAAGCATACCTATACCAAATACAATGAAACATGCAGGCCATGCCAACGCACGTTTCACATCAATTATGTCACCAATGGAATATATTTACATGTCCCAAATTCATCCCACCAATATTCTATATACTTCTGATCAACATCCCACTAATTTAATCATGACCGTCAGACTCCAGTTCTCTAAAAATTCAACCCTAAAGGCCCATTTTGAGCATTTTTCTTCCAAATAGTGGGGTTGAACATTGGTACTCAAATTGAGCACCAGATCACAATGCTGGCACATACAATGGCAGAATGCAATATATGAAGTTCCTAATTTTCAAAGCTTGTCCTAATTGATTTATCATCTTTATCATCCAATCCTTATCCCATGTGAATGGGATCTGTCACATGAATTATCTTTTTTATTCTTTCCTATGACACTATATTTCCTCTAACATTTAATTTTTTAAGATCATTTTTAATTATTTCATCACATGTAAGTTTTGGTCGGCCTCTTTGTCGTTTACCTTCTAGGCAAACAACTCTACATCTTCTAACCGGGACACTCTACCTCTTCTCCGAGACATTTTCAGATCCACATTGTATATGGCCATACCACCTTAGTCTATTTTCTCGGATTTTAACATTAGTATATGCCTAGTTTTCTCCTCACACGTTCATTACCTAATTGATTTCTAATTTATTTAAAACCTTCCTCCAAATTTATTCCAAACACCCCAAATTTATGGGAAAATATAATCCCAATTCAAATCGTATGGATAGTCAAATAAACTTATTTCAAAATCCCATTAAATGCATTGATGTCATTTCTTTGTGGTCAACATCATATTACTCTCGTAATTCCTTGGAGTCTAATATAGAAATACTTAATAAATAACCAGCGATGTTAAAACCAGTATAAATGCATGATACACTGTCAACTCTATGTATGATTCCACAAAAACTCTTTAGTAGAAAGTCAACTTACATAATATGAACCATTTGAGTTAAAGCCAATGTGCTATCTGATTCTGACACTCAACCCAAAATTGAACCTCGGATTATTTGAGTTAAATCAAGTGGCTTTGTGAAGTATTAGGGATCTATTTTATTTGAATGTTGTTGGAACCTTGCATATAATTCTAGAACTATTGAATTATGGGTCTCATTTGAGCTCATGCTCAATGAAAAAGTTGGATTTATGTACATAAGTTCATCACACCACTTTTTATATAGGGCATCTATTTAAATCATTGTAGTGAGCCACTGGATTCCCTAACACCAAGTTTTATGGAGGAAGTCACAAGAGGATGACCAAAAATGAAAGAGTACCTTTCCGTTTCAATACTCCTCTTTGCAAGCATGAGTGTCAAGAATACGGGAACCATTGCAGCACACAAGTGCTTGAGAGTGTGCCCACTGACAATATGATAAGTCCATTTGTAAATCGGTTTATCTGCCGCTTCTTCCACCTTAGCTAAAAGATAAAATCCTGCAAATCATGGAGTGCAATCTCACTCAGCACAGCAGAAAGCATTCAAAAAATCAGGTATATGAAAGAAGAACCATTTGATAGCGAGTATCAACCTGCAGCCCAAAGCCAATATGTGGAATGTGTATACATTGGAGGCAACAAGATAGCCATTAATGGAATAGCAATGCAAGGTACAAACTGTACCAATGCATATGGGCGAAGGTCATCAAAAAACCTGCAGAATGAATCGTACATTGTCAGAAATTGTTTGATTGGAAATGGCTGGTGTCAGCCGTGCTCATGCAATCCTCTAGGGAGAAGCTCAGACACTGAAATTCATAATTTTTTTATTTGTTATTTATTTATTTTGTAAAATGGCATCGCAATAAGATGTTAAAGGCCAAAAAGACACTATTTCACTTGGTGACAAGTTCTCCCAAATCCAACCCATGTGCTAACTCCAAACTAGCCTAGCACTTTCTCCCTCTACAACCACTACCAACTGCAATGCTATTAATCTTGACCCATATTTGCTGAGACAAAAACATTTCTTCAGAAATATTGCAAGGAATCCATCAAATAAAATGAACAAACATAATCCTTTTTCATTTAGGAAAGAATAAGAATCTTACCTCCAATACAAAATGCTTATTACGCCCGCCAATAGTAGGGGAATAATGGACACAGTTCCCTTTCGCTGATCGATTCTTTCAATAATAAAGATTGCAACAATCGACGTAAACGCAATAGTCATCTATGATAATTACAATCAAATGTTAACAAAGTAATACTTAAGATACAGTCAGAATACTGTGTTCAATTTCATCAGAGAAATACACTCACCGGCAAGCGATCCCACACAAGACTAGCATCGTTTGGCTTGAGATGATAGTAAGAGGATCCAAAACCAACAGCCGCCACACCAATGAAAAAACACGTCCAGCCCAAAAGCTCACCTTGCAAGCTTTTGGTGCAAAATTTTAGATAGCATCATGACCGTTAAATATACAAAAGAAGGATCTTGTTTAACTTAAGCATCCTAAGGAATTGATAATCATCTACAGCACAATACCTCAGCCTAAAATAGTTCCCATGAAAGCAAAGGATAAGGCCTACGATACCAATAACAAGGAATGGGAAATTTGAAACCACATTCAGCATATTAGGTATACCTGATATGCAAAGACAAACATGTCAGTTGCAGCAGAGTATGATAGAGAAATAAACAACTGGCGCTGTTCAAACTCAAAGGAAGCAACAATTCTAAATATTTTACAACGGCAGAAGGATCCAACCTAGTAAATTATGCCTAGACAAGGAAGAAAGGAAGAAAAGCCCATGTGGACCCCACCATAGTAGTCACATGAGTGGTACATTTTTTTTATATTTCAGGTGAATCCATATGATTCTCACCTCTGTTTTAAAAAAATTAAAATACAACATTCAACCCCGTTACCATACTAGGATGAGAATCCTGCACCACCCCTTTATAGGGTGACAAGAAATACCATTGAAGCTATTCAAGCTACATTTGGTGGCCCACATTATTTTAACTTATTTTGAGAAGAAAAAAAAAAAAGAAAAAAGAGTTTTTTCATGACTAGCCTATTTAAAAGTTTTGCAACATAAGGATGTTTTAGCAATTTTATCTTTATCTAGTGTCAAGTTTAGTAAACTTTTGGATGCAAGTTTTGTCTACTTGTTTAGAATTAATATAAACGTCCCTGTTGGCAAGGAATCTTCAAAGTTAAAAGTTCCTCTATTGGGCTGACTATGCTTCTATATGAGCAAGCCTTGTTGACACAATTAGAAAATTTTTGAAACAATAAAATTTTCTCATTATTTTTATTGTCAAACGCCATTAACATTCTTTTAACAGTGAGGCACCATTGACCCCTTAATAGATCTAAACAAATATACAACAAAACCTTAGTAAGATCTAAGGTTATTAAGATTGTTTCGCAAAATCAATAACCACAACAGGCCCTCCGATCAACCTAAATGAATCTCCAAAACCCTAACTCTTCACTCATGGAACCCTGACCCTAATTGTTTACCGTTCCAGCCCCAAAACCTTGAATTTTTTTTCTTAATATTGAGAAATTGTATCATGCTTTTCTCTTTAGTTTCTAACTTTCTCATCAAACTTAGCCTTAAACCTCAACCAATCTACCCTTTATTCCAACCTTGTCTTCCTGACTATAATCTCTAAAAAAAGCCCTAACCGACCATTAACTTATCATAGTTAGCCTCTATCCCCTTTCTTAAAGCTCCATCCTACATCTGCATACTTCAATTATTTAATACCACATAAAATAGACACTTACAGAAACTAAAATCTGATACATCCAAACACCAAAGATACCAAATCAAAAGTTGGGGATCAAGGTTTCAGACAGTAAATATAAAAAACTAAAACTCATGCAAGTATCATCCATAAGAGTATGGAATATATATATATATATATATATATATATATATATATATATATATATTATATTTTCAATTTGTTAAGATGAATATTTTAAAAATTCCTTCAAAATTGATAAGCATATGCATAAAGATGTCTTGAGCAATTATCAATATGGTACCTCAAAAAAAAGTCTCCTCTTATATAACATGTCTGGTAAAATCAAATGCATAACATGTTTGTAAAATAAAATGCATAACATGTCTGGTTGACTTCAAATCCTTCACGATATGAGATATATCAAAATTGGTACATCTCAATCTCAGCCTATCCCCAGCAAAGAACATTGAATATGGAAAAATAATGACAGAAGTCAACCAAAAAAAAATAAGTCAAATCCGAAACCCTAAAGTAGGAGAAACTTCGTAGAATTGTGATTTTGAAATCCAAAATTTAACGAAAAACAAAGAGCTTTGGAAATTGAGGAAAGCGAGATTACCGAAGAATTTGCGTTTGTCTGCAAAGTCATGATAAGCTTGGGACTGAGGAATGGCTGGTGTCACGATCATCAGAACTACAAAGCATAGAATCGCCACAAGCCATGAGTATATAGTCCGTTTTCTCATATCTCTGTGATGCTTTGGTGTGTGTCTGTGGAGACGGACTATGGAGACGTTGGTCTAGAGAGGGAATAAACAGAGTCGGACAAGTAAAATAGATGAAAATAGCAATTGGCTAATTGCTCTCTTCATTCCCTTCTTCTTCTTTTGTTTCATTTTACTACGTATGTTGTATCAAATTCATGGCCCAGTTGAATTTTTTTAAAAACAAAAATGAACATATTTCCAAAAATAACCTTAAGTTTTTCAAGTTTATAACATAAATTTTATTTTTTAAAAACTAAATAGATAATTTTATAAAAGGACAACACAATATGTGCATTTCTTTTTAGGAAAGAATATAAGGTAAAAAATGCAAATGGTCATTAATATTTTCTCATCTATTAGCCAATAGAAAAGAGCAAAAGTTAGAAACATGATGTAATAAAATCATATTATTGAAAAACCTTGACAAATCATGTCTTTAAAATATTTATTTTTAATTTTTCCTTTGTCAGAATTTAGTTGTCAATTTTTAGACCTCAACCTTATCTATCTCTTTATGTATTTTACTTTTTCTTTTTTACAAATTCTAATATTATTTTTAATTACTAATGTGTAATTGAGTTAATAAATATATCATCATCTCTTTAGCATACCAATAAATGAGTATTACATTTTATAAATAATTTGTATCTCGTGCATTTGCACTATAATAAAAAAAAGAATAATGATATAATTGCCAAACTGTTAAACCCCAATTGGAGGCCGAACCCACATTCTTACTCTGTCGATGGGGTGATTCAAATATAAATTCTTCTCTCTGACAATTAATGCTTTATATTTTGTTAGTTTATAAAAAACCTTTCACTTTTATAAATTTTACTACATATGCCATCTAACTTTGCAAAGCAATGTCCCGGATATTTTTTTTTCTTTTTTGTAAGTTTACACTTAAACTTTCTAATTGGATTTAATTAAACTCGAAAGTAATAAAATAGAATGATAACTTTTTAAAAAATTATAAAGTAAAATTTTTAAAAGAAAATAATATTTAAATAATAAACTAAAAAAAAAAAAAGGACAAATAAAACTAAAGAATTAACTAATAAGATCTACCAATATGTCTGGTAAAAAAATTTCAAGTGTAATTAAATCCAATTAGAAAGTTTAAGTGTAAACTTACAAAAAATAAAAATATAAGAAAAAGAAAAAATTTTGGACATTCTTTTGCAAAGTTGGATGGCATGTGTAGTAAATTTTATAAAAGTGAAAAGTTTTTTTATAAACTAACAAAATATAAAGCATTAATTGCGAAGGGAAGAATTTCTATTTGAATCACCCCATCCACTTGAAGAAAGAAGATGGTTCCGCCTCTAATTTGGGTTTAAGAGTTCGACAATTCTATCATTACTCTTCTTTTTATTATAGTGCATAATTCGACCTTCAATTCGGGTTTAAGAGTTCGACAATTCTATCATTACTCTTCTTTTTATTATATTGCATAGTTCGACTTTCAATTCGGATTCGACAATTTTATCATTATTCTCCTTTTTATTATAGTGCAAATGCAAGAGATACAAAATATTTATAAAATGTAACACTCATTTATTGGTGTGCTAAAGAGATGATGATATATTTATTAACTCAAGTACATATTACTAATTAAAAATAATATTATAATTTGTGGAAAAAAAAAAGTGAAATACATACAGATATAGATAAGGTTGAGATCTAAAAAATGACAACTAAATTCGGACAAAGGAAAATTTAAAAATAAATATTTCTAAGACATGATTTGTCAAATTGGCCTATTCTAGATGGTTTTTTTAATAAATGATTTTATTACATCTCGATAAATCGAATGATATATGAATTGGCATTTTGCCCTTACTTAACATCTTTTTAACTTTTTCTTTTCTTTCTATTGACGAATAGATGAGAAGGTATTAAAAACCGTTTGCATTTTTTACCTTCTGTTCCTTCGTCTTAAATGTAGTGTTTGCTATCTTTTTTATTTTTACTATTCTTGGCTCTAAAAAAAGGATGGTTTGCATTTTGGTTTTTCTTCAAAATGATGGGCATTTGTCATCATCTAACTTTTTTTTATTTACTGTAGCCCAAGTAAATAATAAATATACTAAAATGACATGACTTTAAGTGTTTTTTTCTCCTAATTTTAATTTTTTAAAAAAAATTTGATTGCTGATTAAAAATAAAATAAAATAATAACTCTTTAATTCATGAACAGTTAACTAATTGCGCTCAATGATCTTCAAATATTAAATAAAATTTATTGATTAAGTTTACTTATTCATTAATTTTATAAAAATATAATTGATAGGCATATACTATTAAATAGCCACATTGGATCTAAAATTCATGAAATAGATTATTAATCGTATTAAATGATTATAAAAAATTCAATAAAACACATATCGGTGTACTTTGGACACCACGTGGATATATTAAAAACTTAACTATTGCGATAGTTAATTTTAACACCAATACATACCCGATTACATTAATTGCGTCTGTGCCTGTGCAACAACAAAGCTTGTAATAGCCATGGGGGCGTAGTAGTGATGGTAAGAGCTTAGTGTTTGCACTTTACAGGTCAGTGTTCGAACCTCTCAAGCCTTCTATGTTCTTGACTCATCCGGTGTGTGGCTATGGGGCTGTGCTACATTACCCCCAATTTGGTGTCATGGAGTGGGGTCCCTAAAGGGCCTTATTTCAAGGAATTCTGGGTCATAAAAAAAAAAAAAAAAAAAAAACAAAACTTGTAATAACAATTGTGGGCCACAGCCCCCGGGGGCGTAGCAGTGATGGTAGGAGCTCGGCACTTGCACTCCACAGGCCAGTGTTCAAACCTCCCAAGCCCCCTATGTTCTCGACTCATCCGGTGTATGGCTATGGGGCTGTGCTACATTACTCCCAGTTTGGCGCCATGGGGTGGGGTCCCTAAGGGGCCTTGTTTCAAAAGTTCTGGGTCATCAAAAAAAAAAAAAAAAACAATTGTGGGCCACAGAGATCTTTGTGCCTATTAGCTATGCTGACTCATTATGGCCTCGTTTACTAACGCTTTCACTTTCTTACTTTTACTTTCTTCAAAAATAAAATCATACTTTTCATTCCTAAAGTTGAAATATAAAGTAAAATTATATTTATTAATTTGTTATGCTTTCAATATTTTTAAAGTAAGAAATTAAAAAGTAAGTTTAATAATTATATAATTTTATTTTGCTTTCTATTTGACCATTAATGTTATATAATATATATATATCATCATTGCTGCAATCCTAGGGTTTCTTGATCGGTCAAATATCATGTCGTACCTCTCTGTTATGGAAACTTAAAAGTTTATGAAGAATTGCTTTCAAATCCTAGGGTTCCACAAATTAAGAGTATTTGGTTTCTAAACCTGCGTCTCGCCTTTATAGACATAGGTCTCTTTCCCTCTCTTTGGGTCTATCTTTGCTCCAATCTTTGTCAATTGCCTGGCCCAAGTCTCTCTGGTCAATAGAGACTGTTTCAACCCTTTCAAAAATTTTCTTTCATAAGTCCTCATTCTGGACTGAAGAATTGCCTTGCAATTGATGCCGGAATTGCCTTGCAATTGATGGTGGGTTTCGCGAGTGTTTGTAAAGAGAGAAAGAGAGAGACATAGGATGGAGGCGTTATAACATAAACCAAAGAAGATTTCAGATGTGGCGATGGTGGAGGTGGTTGTCGGCCATGGCGATGGTGGCGGTGGTTGTCAACGGCGAGGGTATGCCCTTTAGGGATTTTTTTTTATATTTTTTTTCTTCTTCTTCTTCTTATGTGATTGGTTGATGGATTTGGGTATATTGTTGATGGTGTGTATGAGAGAAGAGAGATTGGTGCTTCAATCCAATTTTGAATACAGAGAAAGAGTGATTGGGGCTTGATCCAATATCTAATACAGAGAAACTGAAGCGACATCATCGTCTTCTTCGGCATCGTCGTCTTCGTCCAGATAGACAGAGAACGATACTGATAGAGAGAGAGTGTGGTGGCCAGGTGGTGTCTTCTTTCGTCGTCGGTGGTTAGTGTCTTCCATTGTTGCCGGTTGGGGGGATGAGATGATGATGATAGAGAGGGAGAGGAGAGGATGATGGGTGATGCTCGGCTGATGGGTCAGTGAATGCTACAGTAACAGAAAGTATTTTCTGTGTACAGTGGAGAAAATAAAGAAAGTAACAAATCTTTACTTTCTCTTTCCTTCATTAAATGTGAAAGTACTTTCTAAAAGCTGAAAAGTAAAATCAAACATAATTTGTACTTTTACTTTATATTTTTAGGAATTGAAAGTTAAAAACAGGAATGATTCCTGTTAGTAAACAGGCCCTATGTTTATCATTTTTCTACTTCTAAAAGTGCCACGTAAGAACACACAAGATTTGGTTCTGGTATAGTGATGCAGTTGAGATGGTTGGGGAATGGGATACTAGAATTTATCTTTTTAAATTTGGGTTAGACTCATACTAGAATTCGCTTGTTTTTTAGTAAAATTATGTTGTGTGTTTTTTTATAGTAGCATTGAATTTTCATTTATTTATTATTATTATTATTATTTTTTATGTAACGTTTATTATTATGCCATCACATTTAAAATGAATAATTTGATTTTTGTTTTGTATACAAAAGTTTAGATGTAAAAAGAATGCCTTATGATTGAGATGTAATTTGACTTTGTTTTTTAAGAGTAATTTCAGCAATATGAAATTCATTAAACATTATACTCATTTCCTCACACTCTTTCTTCAAAACCTTCATTTTCCTTTATTTTTCTTCCACCAATTTAACGGTGTAAATTTACCATGCATTTAGGGGATTCGAACTCGTAACCTTTATGATGTGAGATAAGAGTATTTGTTATGAGTAATGATATTTGCACCGATTTATTGCACCGAATGTTTCTTGATTGGTTATTTATGCATAGTACATGTAAATGGATTGACTTATTTCTTTATTTATGCATAAATGGATCGATTAAAATAAATAGGCCTGATAATTCATTACAACAAATCTCATAAATAAAGAAGTGGAGCCCTCCACTTACATGTACTATACATAAATAACCAATCAGAAACATTCGGTGAAACAAATCGGTACAAGTATTATTACTCGTTTGTTATTAGGTTATCCCTACCTCATTTTTTAAAAGCAAAATAAGGCGCCGTTTGGGGAGCTTCCTGAACCCTCAAAAATGTCTTTATAATTTTGAAACATTTATTTGAAAAAAATTGTCACGTTTGTTTGCATGTGTAAGGGACTTTCTAAAAAAGTCAACGATCATGAAGCTCGTTGCAGAAAAGTAATAAAATGCTGCTTTTGAAACATCCTTTAAAATAGTCAAAATATTTAAGGGTCGTGATAGATAGGCTGATAATTTTGGCCGATCAGTTTGGCAGAATACATGTGGCAGGGGCAGTAAGCAAATTAACCAAATTTTTTTTTTTTTTTTGGTAAAGTGGATTCCTTCTTTTTCTCTCTCCTCTCTCTACCAGTGCCACTTCCATGCCTGCAACCATCATCACTGCCCAGATAAGCGAATCTTTGGACCCTCATCGCCTCTTTTTGGGCAGCTCTCGCCGAAGCGAAATGGCAATCTACTTCGACCTTGTTTTCGCGTTGCTCGGGAATTGCCTATCAGACAAGACCATCGAAAGAGCGATTTTCATGGAATTCGGATTCTTGTAGATAGATGATGGAAACTTTCGCTTACTGATCGATCGATTGAATGAAGATTGGACTGAGGGAAAAGAAAGACAAACAAACCACTAATGAGAAGCTAACCTCCCGGTTTTTACGTTTCCAGCCAAGCTTGAAATCCATCATCACTTTATGGGGGAGTCTAAGGTCCGGCGATTTTCTGTCATTCTTGAATCTAGAGAGATAGTCAGGCAGTGGATTGAGGAAAATCACCAATTGACGTTGTTCATTGTGCTATCGAATGAAACCCCTTCATAGATTAAGAAAGTCTTTGACTGCCCTTCCCTGTCTTGCCAAAAAAGGCTTGTATATTAAGCGATTCTGAAATCAGAACTGAACATCATGGAATGCATCTTTCTCTACGCAATTACGAAAGAAGAACATGGACTGTTTGAATTTCATTTGAACAAACTGAACTACAAAGAGCATTTTGAGAAAGAGCTGGGAACAAATCTAGCAAATGGACTCATCAAAGAATCAATGAATCGACTCGTTTTTCGCTGATTGCACTCTCTAGCTCATCCCAGTCAAATTTGAATTCTAGAAGTTCACATCCTTATAAAGAAATCTGAATTGGAAAAGAATTCTAGAAGTTCACCTCTTGCCTGTTTCTCTCTTCGATTCTACTTTACCCTTTTTTGTTTTGTACGAAAAAATGGATTTGTTTGTTAGAGAAAGAGAGTAGAGAGGAGAGAGAAATCAACAGATGTTGACAACTGGACAACGATGTATTTCTGCCTAACAAATCTGCTAAAGTAATCGGCCCAAATATCATTTCCCAATTTTTAAAAGAAAAATTTGTTATTTTACTAATTTGCCCATGTACTTTTTATAGATTGATAATATTGTCTTATTATCTTATTCCTTCGTTCCACCACTGCCGCTTTTTCGCCACTACCACCTTTTACTGTCATCGTTGCCACCTTCCACCACCACCGTTGCAGCCACTGTCACCTTTTCAACACCACCACCTTTGCTATTACATTCTAGCACCACTTCCCCTCATGCCCACCTTCCACCTCCATTGCCACCTTTCACCGTCGCCTTCACTATACCTTTCGCCACCGCCACTCTTAACCGTGACCTTCTACCATTGCTACTGCCAAGACATCCACATTCCACCGGCCACCACCACCTTCTATCACCACCAACATCGCAATCACCTTCTACAACCATTTGTATTGCCATGATGCCATCGATTGCCTTCCACCACTGTCGCATCACACTTTTTGTTGGATAAAGGATATTATAGTCACGAAAAAAATAATATAAAAGTTAAAGTATATTTAAGAAATAGACTCACCAAATGCCTTTTTCTTACAAATTCCTTTAAACAAAATTTATTTTACAAAGCCCTTATCAATGAAACATGATAAAGCTTCCCCAAACGGACCTAAATATTTGAGTTCTTGTACGCTTTTCCAAATTATTGGTAGGTGAAGGAACAAAAATAGCATTCTATAATAAAAGAATAAAAGAATGTGTAATTTCTATTAATAACAAAGAAAAAATAGGTAACTTTTTATTGATTAGATTATGAGATTAATATCCAATTAATTGTAACTCCAAGTATCAGATCGGATCCGTTGGCAAAAGTTGGCAAAAGTGATTTAATGGGTCGGGTTAGGCTACATCCAATTGGACCAATTCAGTATAGGCTCACAGGTCTAATTATCACCTTTCAGACATGGTTCCACACGTTCAGAAAGCACGTGACAGAGAGCCCGTGGGTCTGCCTTCCCGGCATAATATACCCGTACAAAACTAAACAAAGCCCCGTGGGTCCCAAACTACGCCTCTGCTTTAGTACAGTAGTAAGTAGTGAAAGGGAAGCGAAGCAAAAACCCTCATTATACCCCTCTCTAGGGTTTCATTCTCTCCCCAGCCTCTCTCCTCTCCCCCTCATCATCTAGAGAGAATATACATATACATTTAGAGAGAGAGGGTAGAGTATAAGAGAAACATGGCGCAGTCACTCGAACTTCTACTAATTCAGTTCTTGATGCCGGATAACGACGCCCGGCGGCAAGCGGAGGATCAGATTAAGCGGTTGGCGAAGGATCCGCAGGTAATTCCGGCTCTGGTGCACCACCTCCGCACTGCCAAGACGCCTAATGTGCGGCAGCTATCGGCGGTGCTTCTCCGCAAGAAGATCACAGGCCACTGGGCCAAGCTCTCCCCTCAAGTCCGTCAACTCGTCAAGCAGTCTCTCATTGAGAGCATCACCATGGAACACAGGTCTCTCATACGCCTATGCATGCTGGTTGTTTCGATTGTCATTTCTTTGCCGAATTTAAATATCTAATGATGTTTAGAGACTGGAATTGGGAATTCTCACACATACATAGAAATACATGTTTTTATTTGTTTAATTTTGGATTGAATTAGCCAATTTGCCAGTCCAATATTTCTATCCTATGATGCACATGATTTAGTTTGCTCTTACATGATCCTAATTTTAATTTGCTATTATTATTATTATTTTTATGGTACGTAATGCTCTATGGAAACATGTAATTTTTTTTTGAAACTGTGGACAGAAGTCGGCATTACAAGTTTTTGGGAAGGAAAATGCATAACAACTGATCTAGCCGGATGTTCCAGAAATTACTAATAATAATGACCATTTTTGTTGTTGTTTTGGAGGTGTGAACGTTACCCGAGTCTCTGATGTCTTTGATAGGTTAGAGTGCGAGCAGTGAATTTGAACTAGAGGGTGGCGAATAGATCTTCCTTTTAATAAACTTTTCAAAAATCAGTTACTTCATTTTAAATTCGAGAGGATTGATTTTTCAGTTATTGTTAACTTCGAATTTCAATAAATCAATACATTGTAAATGACATAGAGTAAAGAAGAGTAGAAACACAAATTTTTTACGTGAAAAACCCTAGATTGTTGATCTACTCCTTGAGGAGTATTCAATCGCAGATGGTCCTTTGAAAAACCTAGATTGAATAAGCACACAATCTCTCTCTAGGACTTTTCTCTCTCAAAAAATAAATAGAGATGCTCTCTTCTTACCTTAGACTCACCTTTACTCCATATTTATAGCTAATACAGGAGTTCCATACTTTTTAGGTAGTTGAAACCTTATAAATTTTACTTTGAGAGAGTTTCCAAAAGCGTAGTCAGACAAGTTCCATTGATCGAGCTTTTAATCAAAACCTACTGTAACTATTTTGATCAATTGCCAATTCAATTAATACATTCTGGTATTGAACGTAATTTTTGGTGGAACACTGTTGATTGCTTGACCATCAATTCGCTCTGGAAAGGATTCAATTGATTGACCAACTGACTTGAGCACACTGATTTGCACTGTTTTCCAGCTTGATGTCTAGTTTTGAAAAACATTTACAACTTTAGGTTTTGAAAAGCCAATGTTCAAAAACATTTTCAAAACCGTTTACGAGCCTATCAAGATCATAAAAAGGTCAAACTAAGGTCTTACTAAAGTCAATTTACCTGATACCTAAATGTTTGATTGAGGATGCGAACATGTTGTCAGGATCTTTGCAATTCAGTGTCTGCCATGCCTTCAGTAGATACTATCATATTCACGATCTGGTCAAAGCACTTTGCCACATTACAACACAGGTTTGGAGTAGGACATGAAGCTTATTATAACAAGCTTGATTGCCATACTCATATGTCTTTACTAGAATGCCGGTGTGAATCCTTTTGAGTTTTGATTCCATCTCAATTCCAGTTGTTTTGTTTTGTAGTATTTTCTAAGTACAAACTTTTATAATTTTTGTACGCACATTAGAAATATTTGAATTTGGCAAACTTGTTGATTTTTGGTACAAAAGTTTGTTCTCAATTTGGATTTATTGATAATATCAATGCTTAATATTTTTTTTTTGGGATTGGTAACATCGATTAATGAACATAGTACTGAAGTGCTCTGAGGAGACTGAGAATTATTTCACGTGATGGTGTTTTTGTAGCCCTCCAGTGAGGCGAGCCAGTGCAAATGTAGTGAGTATCATTGCCAAGTTTGCTGTTCCAGCTGGAGAGTGGCCTGATTTGTTGCCATTTCTATTCCAATGCAGTCAGAGCGCACAAGAAGATCATAGAGAAGTGCGTTAATATTTTTTAAAGCTTTTGCATGCTGCTTGCCGTTTATTCTTTTTGCACATTGATTCTATCCTTTTCCTCAGCTAATTGTTGTGGTAATAGGATATGTGCACAAATCATCATGGTTATTTTTGCCAGGATAATTATCTCAGTCTCTTGGTTGTGCATACATCAATACATGTTTTAAATTCAACCATAGTTTAAAAGAAGATGATTCAATCTTATTGGTGGTTTGGAGCGGCATATCTTATCACAGGATGAATCCAACTGACATTGTTGCAGATGGAAAAGTTAAAGTGATAAAATAATTGATCTTCTTTGTCACCGAATAAAAGAAAATATCTATGTCTTTGAGGATTTTTAATTTTATTAATCTAAAAAGAATAATTTTAGGTGATATGCTGGAATTATTACAATAACATTTTTTTTTTTTTTAAAATTCTTATTATGTATATATTTTTATTTTATTTCTGTCTTGGAACAAGTATTTCATCAAATATGGAATAAGGATTGTACACAAGAAACAAAGAACGTGGGAATTTAAGAACACGGCATTATAACTTCAAGTGCTGCACAGAGATCTATCTATATGATATTTGCCCTTCATAACAACTTTGTGATGGTGTGTCTATCACCGAAAAACAATTAAGTTAACCACTTATGTGTTTGCTTTTTCATTCTGACTACTACTTCTACGTCTGAAACTTTCCTATTTTTTCACTTATGGAAAGATCATGCACTTCCCCTCCTTTAGTTTTGTGACCTTGGAGTTCATCTTCACATTATTAATTTCATGACAAATTTTGCTCAAACTTCCATTCCAATTTTGTATTACTAAGCTTCTTGATCATGATAAATTGGCGTATCTTTCACACCACTTACTCTTAGTTTCTTATATTAAATTTCATGAATGATTCCTTTTATGTACCATTGAATATCCTATTTATATTGTTCACACACTCACTTCCTCCAAGGTGCTTCATATTGCCTTTTATTATCTGGGGACTGCTGTCTTATTATTGGGGTCAAAAGGTTGCAAGACCCTCTGGGTGTTGCCATTGCTTCTCTATTTTAGATTGACACAAATATATATATATATATATATATATATATATTATTATTATTATTATTTTTAAAATCAACTGTTATAACCAAAACAAATTTCCTTGTGAATATTCCATTATTTTCTTTTAAAAGCATTATGCCTGCCATAATGGTCTCTGAAGTTGCACTTATTTTTGGTCTCTTGTCAAAGTCTAGGACATTCCCAACATTCCATGATAACTTCTTAGGCATTAATAAGCATGCCCTGTGCCTGCATTCAACTTTGCTAGCTTATTTTTATATATTATTCCCCATAAATTATACTTTAGACAATGTTCATTGTTTTTGCTATGATTTTCTCTCCATACTTTCCATTTGTGCTACACCCACTTTTTCGAATAGCCTTGAGAAGCTTCTCATTCTCATCCTTAAAACCAAGAATGGAACTTCCAATCGCTTCCATGACTCCATGAGTACTTCACCTTTCCAATTCTTTATTCAACATTTTTTCATTTGCTCCTCTCTCCAAGGTATAAAAATGTAATTTCCATTCGTTCGGTAAGATGTCGACATGAGAATCTTCCTAGTCTATTTTTTTTTTGCTTCATAAAACAAAAAGTTGGGTCTTCGCTTGATACATTGATAAAATGCTTGGGTTGTCACTCTTGAGATCAAAGTTCTGAATCACGAGAGCAGCTACTTTTTGCAAATAATAAAGTGATAGGTCTGTATCCAGTACAGACCCTGGCATCATCGACTAACATGGACTACTACAATAGTGAATGGCCCCTTTCTTGAGAAAACAAAAATTCTTTACTCTCTTCCCTTCCCCATTCATATGGTGCCTTGAGATCCCTAGATTCCTATTAATAATGTCCTTGACTGCGTGCTCCTAGTATCACATTAAAAAAGGGATACTGCCCAGTTCTTGTTCTGCTACAGCAGTGTCCTGGGAAGGGAGAAAGACAGACCTAACCATTGATATTTCACAAAGTGATTGTTGCAAGACTCGAGATCACATAAACGACACTGATGTTCAAGTGTTCAACCACCGAACCAGGCGATGACTTTAATCTTGATTTGACTTCATGTGTACAAATGATAACACGACACAACTCATGTAACATGTTTAATAAAAGAATTGTATGATTTGTAATACTTTATAACTTGTTTGACAATCTATATAATATTTTTCGTAATTATAAAAAATGCAAATATAAACAAAAAATAAACCTTGAATTAAGAATTATGGAATGAAGAAAATTTCCTTTTATCGCAATAAATCATACAATTAACCAAGGATTTCATTATAGTACCATACTAAAATAGATTGAGCCCTCAAACTCGAATACGACATGGTTAATTAAATGGGTTAATTGGTTCGACACAATTATGACACAAGTACAATTAATGTCAACTCATACACACTAATTTCGTGTTGGGTTTTGAGTCAGTGTCAAATTTGCCACCCCTAGTATGGTCGTTTTGACTTCAAATCTAAAATACCTTTTTAAATTTTTTTTTTTTTTTTTTTTAATTTTATATTTTAAATGAAGTTAAAATGCATTCTTTTTGTTCTTTGTATTTTTTGGGTCATTGGAGAAATATTTCACGTGAATGATTATTTGTAGAGTTTCAGGTTATATGAGGCTATAGTTCTTCTTTAACTTGGTTATACACACTTCATGTGTATATTTCTCAGCCTTATATATTGAAATGGTTAACTAAATTTAGTAATTGCTTGTACATATAACTTTTTTTCCATGACATTTCTCCTGGTCTTGATTATCATCTCCTTTCTATCATCTCCTAATAGGATGGTTTATTGGCATATATATTTGACCTTAGCTTGATTTTTTGGAGGATGTTATTGACTCATTGCCCTTGTTTTGTAACCATTGTATAAAGCTTCAGTTCCTTTTCCATTTTTCCTTAACTATTCATATGGGAACTCTTAGACAGGGTATAACAGGCTAACACATTGCTTTCTTGTTTTTTTGTTTTTGTTTGGTGTTTCAAGGTGGCATTAATTCTTTTCAGCTCTTTAACTGAAACAATTGGGAATTCGTTTCAACCACATTTTTCAGATCTACAATCTCTTCTACTCAAGTGTCTACAAGATGAAACTAGTAACCGTGTCAGAGTTGCTGCTCTCAAGTAAATTTCAATCACAAACGGTTTGATAATTTTTGTTATGTTATTTTGGTGCAAGAGATACTTGTAAAGATGCTGAATTGCTAAGAACAAGTTTTGCTCATATTGAAATTTATTATGTGTTACCAGGGCAGTTGGCTCTTTCTTGGAGTTCACTCACGACGGGGCTGAAGTGGTGAGTAATTTAACTGCTTTCCATAATTATAATGCTTATGCCATATCTACTTTGTTAATAATAGCGAGTCATAGTTACTTTGCAATAACTGACCATGTATTCTGTCTAACTGAAAAGCATGTGTGATTATTTGATTATACTTATATAAAAAAATTTGTATGGTTATGGGATTTTTGCTTGCTAGTGCTCTATTAAATTCCCTACAAATTCGAGAATTGTCACCAAACTTTAGACCGAGTGGTATAGGTCATGACCAAGTGTCTGTTAATCGAGTGTTCTGTTAATCAAGGGTTCTGTGAGGTGGACTTGATATAGATCTAACATTTGTCATTTATTGCGCAAAGTAGCTGCTCATTTTCCTTTATCTATCAATTCTTTCAGTTGGAGGAGCTTCGTTACTTTTTATGAAATCTGTCTGAACCAATATATATTCTATATTTTTTATAGTATACTTCGTGGCAAAATGAATTTATATTTGCCAATGAATTGGCCGGTTGCAAGGAAATGAATGGTCAGTTCACTGACCTAATTGTTTGGTTTGGTGTATTCTCGTGACTTCACTAATCTTTAGCATACTTGTGCAGGTCAAGTTTCGAGAGTTTATTCCCAGCATTTTGAATGTTTCAAGACAATGCCTTGCCTCTGGCGAGGAGGATGTTGCTGTAATTGCCTTCGAAATATTTGATGAACTGATTGAATCTCCTGCACCTCTTCTGGGGGAATCAGTCAAAGCCATAGTGCAGTTCTCCCTTGAAGTTTGCTCAAGCCAAACTTTGGAACCCAACACACGCCATCAGGTTAGAAGGAGCATCGAATTTAGTTTTTCAATACTCTAATCTACCTTGAGTGGTTGCTGAAGCCTATGTTTATTTTGGTTGTTGCATTGCCTTCCTTTTGTGCTTGATTTTCTAAATCTCTTGATAGCTTCCTGCTTTTGTCTAACGCGTCAGGCTATTCAAATAATTTCATGGCTTGCTAAGTACAAATCCAATTCCCTAAAAAAGCATAAGCTGGTCATTCCCATACTGCAAGTTATGTGTCCATTGCTTGCGGAATCAACTGATAGAGATGACGATGATGATCTTGCACCAGATCGAGCTGCTGCAGAAGTTATTGATACCATGGCTTTAAACCTTTCTAAGCATGTGTTTCCACCTGTTTTGGAATTTGCATCTTTGAGCAGTCAGAGTGGAAATCCAAAGTTTCGGGAAGCTTCAGCGACAGCTTTGGGTGTCATTTCTGAGGGTTGTTTGGATCTAATGAAAGATAAGTTGGAACCTGTTCTTCATATTGTCTTGGGGGCTTTGAGAGATCCTGAACAAATGGTTAGGGGGGCTGCATCATTTGCATTGGGACAATTTGCTGAGCATTTGCAGCCTGAGATTGTATCTCACTACGAAAGTGTTCTTCCTTGCATTTTGAATGCCCTGGAGGATGCATCTGATGAAGTCAAGGTACATAAATGTTGGACAAGAGATTGATTTTGGAATGGTTTATATCTTTTGGAATTCTATGAATGCAACTCTTTCTTTCTGTGCAGGAAAAATCATATTATGCACTGGCAGCATTTTGTGAGAACATGGGTGAAGAAATTCTTCCTTTTCTTGATCCTTTAATGGGGAAACTCCTTGGAGCCCTGCAAAATAGCCCCCGCAATTTGCAGGAGACCTGCATGGTAAAGATATATTTTCCATACTTTGAAGACCAAGTTAATATAACTGGGAACTACTGTTCTTTCTTATATCTAGTTAAGCCTTTCCTTGATATTATTGCAGTCTGCAATTGGATCTGTTGCATCTGCTGCAGAACAAGCCTTCATTCCATATGCTGAAAGGGTTCTGGAGTTGATGAAAAATTTCATGGTGCTTACAAATGATGAAGACCTCCGTGCACGAGCAAGAGCTACTGAATTGGTTGGAATAACTGCAATGTCTGTCGGGAGAATGAGGATGGAACCAATTATACCCCCTTTCATTGAAGCTGCCATTTCTGTAACTAACTGTGACACTTTTCTTTATCTGGAAGTTTTTCTCGTATTTCCAAGCATTTGATTTATTGGGGTTAATTTCTCAGGGTTTTGGGTTGGAGTTCAGTGAGCTTCGGGAGTACACTCATGGATTCTTCAGCAATGTGGCTGAAATTATGGATGATGGATTTGCACAGGTATGCAAGGCTTTGGTTGTATTCAATTTGTGAGTAATTGCATTTGCATCCATGCTAATGCCTGGCTTCCTTATTTTTCTTTTTCTTCTTCTTTTTGGTAAAACAGTACCTTCCACATGTTGTACCTCTGGCGTTTTCCTCCTGCAATCTTGATGATGGCTCTGCTGTGGATATTGACGACTCTGATGAGGTTGAAAATATGACTGGATTTGGTGGAGTGTCGTCTGATGATGAAGCTCATGATGAACCAAGGGTTCGAAATATCAGTATAAGAACTGGAGTATTGGATGAAAAGGCTGCAGCAACTCAAGCCATTGGATTATTTGCTCTGCATACTAAAAGTTCCTATGCACCGTATCCTTTGTCATTTATGGATTTTATTTGTATTTTTGTTTTAATATGTACAACCACACTTAGAAAAATGCTCATCGTAATCTGAGTTCTTTGATTATCTTAAGCTACTTGGAGGAGTCTCTGAAGATTTTGGTTAGACACTCAACTTACTTTCACGAAGATGTTCGGCTTCAGGCAATCACTGCATTGAAATGTGAGTAACCAGATCAAAGTTACCAGGAAATACCACACCATAGCGATTTGCGATTATTAATGCATATTCCAAAAGATGGTGCACCTCCATTCCAGAACACAGAATTTAGCATTCCAAGATATATGTTTTTATTCCCTTTAGATTTATCGCTTAGAGATTGGGAAAAAAATGAACTAACAAAATTAAGTCTGGAGGGATATTTATAGGAGGCGGCCATAGTGAGAAGGAAATTGCTGTCACTTCTCGAACTACCTGGTCAGATTCCTAGTGATCTATATAACCACCACGCTATACCATTTTCTTAAGATTATGCATAATGTTCTCATTGCCGTTTTGGTAGCAAAATTACGTGTGTTGTAAGTAATGCAGCACCATCTGCTTATGGTATAGAGTTATGATATTGTGTATCCAGCTGAAGTTTTACAATCTGTATGCTTGATCTAATCAAATTGCTCTTTTTGCTGACGAGCTTTTTAAATCCAATTGGTTTATGTCAAATTATAGTTTACAACATTGGAGTGTCCCTCTTTAACATGTGTTGATCTTGTAACTGCCTTTCAGCACTTCCTCATATCTCAGAAAGAATTTTGTAGTTTTCTTCTAATTTAAACTTGCATTGTTCTTGTAAATCTTATTGTAGCTCAAGTCCAACTGTTTGGCTTGGGACCTGGGAGGCATCCTAACCTTAACATTGACATCTTACTTTTAATCATAAGTAGTCATTACCCGGCATTGATCCCCTCTAATTCAGGGTGTTAGGAGGGGTAGACTGGATACCGAGCTAATCTTTGGCACTAAGTGCACAAAGTGGCTATTCTTAGACTCTTAATCACAAATAATCACACATTATATCGAGTCAGTGCCTCTTAAGTTACATGGTTCTTATTCATGCTCATTAACTGATCTGTTGCTGCAGATATTTTGACAGCTGCACAAGCAGTCTTCCAAGGTCAGAATGTGAGTGTGCATAATCCCCTCACTATTTCTTTTGCCTTATTATTATTTTTTTTAAAAAAATAAAGTATTTCTACCTTGTGAGAATGATGGGATCTTTTAATATATCTTTGTGATTACTGTTTTTTCAATAATTTAGGTCAGAATTTCGATCACTGATTTGTAAACTTGTTTTATTTTAAGATTGATGTATGTTGAAATATTCCACTATCCAAAACCGTCAGGCAGATAACTACTACTACTATTTGGGATTGATAAGTTGCCTTATATAGCTGCCAGCTGGACCTGGATGTCATGCTAATACGGTCTTGGTTTTGCCTGTCTTTTTTGCAGGATGGGCCAGAAAAGGCGAAGGAAGCTCTAGGTAAGATTATGATTTAGTAATGACAGTTTGAACGTTATTTGTACATTTTCAAGGCTGTATTCGATTTTATATTGATCAGTAACTCTTTGCAATTGCAGATACTGTGATGAATATTTATATCAAGATCATGACTGAAGATGATGACAAAGAAGTTGTTGCTCAAGCTTGCATGAGTACAGCTGACATTATCAAGGATATTGGATACATGGCAGTTGAGCCATGTAAGTATAAATCCTGTTGGTTTAATTTTTCCATCTGTTGAAATAATATTGTGTGTTACTTATTATACTAGTGTAATCTGCTTTCAAATGTCATTTGATTTCAGATATGCCTCAGATCGTTGAGGCTACTTTGGTATTGCTAAGGGAGGAAGCCGCTTGTCAGCTGGTAGAATCTGATAGCGAAATTGATGATGATGATACTGAACATGATGAAGTACTTATGGATGCAGTTTCTGACCTCCTTCCTGCATTTGCGAAGTCCATGGGTTGTCATTTTGCACCCATCTTCGCAAAGCTGTTTGAACCTTTAATGAAATTTGCGGTGGGTTAGCAATTGCTACTGACATGACACTTTCTCAATCTTTAGCCATTGGTTTTTAATAGCTCACTTGCTTTATAATTGATCTGCAGAAAGCTTCACGCCCACCACAAGATCGGACAATGGTGGTTGCATGCCTGGCAGAAGTTGCTCAGGATATGGGCACTCCAATTGCGGGCTATATTGATGTAATTTTTTGAAAATCTGAAACGAACTGTTTAATTTAAATTTTTTAGTGGCTTCTGTTTATATATGCAGTTAATTTCTGAGAAATTGTCTCATGTTTCAGGCCGTGATGCCCTTGGTACTCAAAGAACTAGCTTCATCAGATGCAACTAATAGGAGGAATGCTGCATTTTGTGTTGGAGAGTTATGCAAAAATGGTGGCGAGACTACTCTGAAGTATCCTTCTATATGCAAATATTTTTCTGTTTCACTTTTTTGCTTTGCTATTCTGATAATTCTGTTACCCCTTCCATTTATGGTGGAGATTTTATGTTTCATGCGAGTGCATTTTTTTATGATGAATCTTTTTTATATTTATGTTGCTTTTAACTAGTTTGACTTTGAAGTCTATCCTATGATATTCCATTTGTTCTTTTGGAGCATTTTCCTTTACATTCGTGCCAGATACTATGGTGATGTATTGCGTGGACTTTACCCACTATTTGGGGAACCTGAGCCAGATGATGCTGTGAGGGACAATGCAGCTGGTGCAGTTGCAAGGATGATAATGGTGCACCCTGAGTCCATCCCCTTGAATCAGGTATATCGACTTGTCTCTTCTCATACTTTTGTATTATCTTTTGCCTCAACTCTGATGGGTGCTTTATTTATTTTGTCTCAGGTTCTTCCCGTTTTCTTGAAAGTTCTTCCATTGAAAGAAGATCATGAGGAGTCCATGGCTGTCTATGGCTGTGTCTGCAATCTTGTTCTGGCATCGAATCCACAGGTTTGAATTCCTTCCATCTTATTGAAGCGAAAGTGATGAGACTATATTCTTTTGTTCGAACTTTAGAAAGTTGTCTTTTACTGTCATTCTCTTTTTTAATTTCTTTATTTTCCCACCAAAATATAATGTCATTTCGTATGATTTCTCCTTCCTTTACTAACTATGTTCAAATTTTATTTTTCCTTTCATTTATATGCCAAACAGATCTTGTCCCTAGTTCCAGACTTGGTCAATCTTTTTGCCCAAGTTGCAGTATCACCTGTCGAAACTTCGGAAGTCAAATCTCAAATAGGCAGAGCTTTCTCCCATTTGATCTCTCTTTATGGACATCAAATGCAACCGATTCTGAGCAACCTACCACCTACACACGCTAACGCCCTAGCTGCAATTGCCCCCAAAAGTTGACACCTAATTAAGCATGCTGGTGACGCCATTTTATACTCCTTGCTCAACTTTTTCGCCAATGAGCTCAATTTAAGAGGAGATCGTTTCTTTTACTCATTTTAAAGTTGGGAACGGTTCCTGAATGAAGGCTGTTCTTGACCAGGTAGTTATTCATATGAGATTGTTGCCAGTAAATATCAAAATGAAATTCTTCACTCTTGCTGGTATTATTATGTTGTACCTTTTCAAAATTTACTATTTGCATCATAATTCACAATCTTGATTTGTTATTGCAGGCTTTGGTTTGCCTCCATACTGACAGCTATGGCTCCGTTTTTCCCGTGTGGAGACATTGCTGTTTCTTCCAATTTTTATTTATTTTTTTTAAATGTATCTTATGATATTTGTATTTCTCATTATTTAATTTTATCAGTAGTTATATTTATTTTACCATTGGGTGTGGTGTGTGTTATAGTAATTTGTTTGTTTGTGAGCTCGAGTCGCTGAGAATACTGTTGTGTGATGATTATGTAAATTTCGGGAATAAGAAGGGTGATATACTTATTTTTACTCTGTGAGATTAGATGTGGTGTTGTATAAAATATAGGTACATGCATACATATTGAATTTTACCTTTTTTGGAATACCAACAATGTTTTACTAAACAGTGGTTTTGTGGTTAAAAACTGACTATCCGGTTTCTTTATTTTTTCTTCCTACATAGAGTCACAGTGTGACGGGTGGGTACTTGTTCATTTATCAAAAGTTTAAGTTGTTGGGTAGTATTGCATAAGCTTAAGCTGTTGGTTCAGGACAATTGTTAATTTTTCTTGTGATTACTTTACGAGAACATTGAATAATAATTATATGAAAATTCATTTATTCTTGTTTGAAGACAGTTTTTATTTCAAAAAAAAAAAGAAAAAAAAAAAAAAACTTTTAATTTATTTGTTTAAAGAGTAATTAAACAAGCAAGATTTGCTTTAGATTTTACTTTTGAGGATTCACTATATCAAAATAAAAGCTGGACATTGTTCCCCTCTTTTGGTGGAGGCAAAGCCTTAGAGAAACAAGAAACCAATTTTTTCTAGTGTAGTGCTATTTTCGCTTTAAAAAACATATATACTCTCTCCACCAAAGTATTTATCATAATTCATTATAATCACACTTCCAAACCAGTTGTCTCTTCCTTCTGCCTTTGCAGTGATTATCCATTTTAAGCTTGGGTAGAATTCTTTATTTATGTAGTGTCAAATCATTTTTATTGTCTTCGAATGGGGTGATGTGAGTGGAGGGCATCGGTCACTGACGAGCATTTTATCATCGCTTCGTCCGAATGTTTATACATCTTCCAATGGGGTGATGTAAATGGAGGGTGGCATTTTATCGTGGCTTCGTCTCAATGTATATATTTAAATATATGAGTAGTGATAGAATGTTCCATCTCCCACTTAAAAGTCATATCGTCTTGTTCCAAGTTATTCAAAATAAATAACTAGCGCGCTAAATGACGAATTTCTCCTTGTCGACATGCTAATTTATATGACTGACCTGCTAAATGTACGAAAAGCAATGTTAGGAATTTTTTTTTTTTCACACAATAGTTGATATAAGGGGTGCAAAAAAAAGAAAAGATACTTGGTTCTATTTTCTCACTCAAAAATAAAACAGATTCATTTTCTTAGTTTTTGAGACATGTTTTACAAAATTGAATCAATTTTTTTTTTTTTTTTTTCAATCGTGTGACCATTACTCATGATTGGGAAATGATCATGTTATTGGAATGAAGAATCAATTAATAACCTTTATTATCAATGGTTGTTGTTTGAGATAAATTTTTAGTTAAAATTTAAGGTTATGTTTGGTATAGTGAAAAAAAAAAACTAATAATAATATAAGTTAGGAGAGAAGAAAAAAAAGGAAATTGAGAGGATATTGTTAACTACTTATTGTATTTGATTGATTAAGAAAGAAAAAGAAAAGAAATGATAATAATTAAGTTTGAGTAAATAAAAAAAATAAAATTATTTTAATAAATTTATTATCATACCTATTTTAATAAATTTTGACTTTTATAAAAATAATGACAAAATTGATATTAATAAAATTTTATTAAAAATAGTTATTTTTTCTTTCTTTTCATTTTGTCCCACTTTTTTTGAAAGATAACAAAATCACAATGTTGTATCTTTTCAAATCCCTCCATTTCTTTTCTTTTCTTTTCAAGTTGTATGCCAAACATTATATTTCAATTTCTTCCACTAACTTTCATTTCTTTTACTTCTATCACCATCCAATCAAACTGGGCTTATATTATTTCTTTTAGCCATCTGTGGCTTCTTCGGATTTTGGCTCTATAAAAATGCCATATCAGCTTTTCGAAGAGTCACGTTAGCAATTCCAAGAGACACGTCAGTAGTTTTCGCTCTCCAAAAACATGCACTTCATCAGACTCTCCGAATTTTCGCTCTCCAAAAATAATAATAATAATAAATTAAAATTAATTTTATTTAATTTTATTTTTTTTCCTAAACGGCTATATTTGTAATGGCTATATTTTTAATGGCTATATTTTTAAGTAGATGGATTTGTAATTTTAATTATTTTTTTTACAAAAAGTTTTAAAATTTTTTTAAAATATTTTTTTAAAAAAATTATAACCGTTAAGGTACTATTTGTGTCGGCCAAACAATGTCTTAACGGTCAAATGCATTATTTGTGGTACACATTTAAAATTTAAAACAAAAAAATAGAAAAAAAAACATATTTTAAGGGAAAAAAACAAAAAAACAAGGTTTTTAAATTTATTTTTGGCCAAAATAAATTTATTTTTGACAAACAGTGCCTAAACAATATATTTTTTATTTAATATATTTTATTTTATTTTAAAATAACAGCCCAAAATAACCTATTTTTAGGTTTTAAAAATAAAAAAAAATCTGCCAAAAAATCTGCCAAACAGTGCCTTACTGTTCGGCTCACAGTGGAAGGAGCAAAGGAATAAGACAAAAAAGGTGCAGCAGAAACGGCGTCGTTTTGACCCAAAAAAAACAAAAAAAAATTCAGCGATCCTGGGCCGGCTAGCTGAATACCGCGAGCCGGCCCGCTAGCAAAAACTGGGCCCACCCGTTTTAGATAGGGCGCTGTGAGCCCATTTGGTCCTAGCTCGCGGAAATTGGGCTTCCGCGAGCCCGCTGCAGAGGGCCTTAGGAAAGAAAAAAAAACTTTGAAAATGATGTGAGCATGTCTTGCATATAGTTGTGATACATGGATATAAACATATAATTCCAGCGTCTGATTGTAAAAAGAGATCATCAGCAAGAATGTCAAGTGTTAGTAGCTATGTGGTTTGCTCCAATTGTGTTCGTTCTCTCCGCAAACGCAGTCTCTTCGAGACTTCCTCTTACACTACACGCCGTTCCTTCCCCTCCTCGTCGCCGTTTCACTCTAATTCACCCCAAAACGATGCGTTTCGAAGTCACACACTCACTCTCTCATCATCATCATCATCATCATCATCATCAACAACCCTCTTCTCCTCTCTTACAGACTCTGCTGCTTTGCCTTTCGACCTTTCCCCTCCTCCCATTGACCACGACCTCCTCGTAAGTCTTCCTCTCTCTCTCTACATCTTTATACAGGGATTTGTATTTTACATGGTTGTAAACATTTATTTGATAGATTGATGAAATTTGAATTGATGTTTCAATGCAATATGTAATCAATCAATAATATATAAAATTAATTGCGTGATAATTAACCACTATAAGAAAACTGAGTGTTTGTTTAATGAATTATTGGAATTATATGAATAAAATGTGGTCATACTGAAGAGATCGATAGAAGTTTTGGCATGAAATCTAAAAGGGGTGATTAAAAAAAGAAGAAGAAAAGGTTACATTAATATTAGTGGATTAGTGGTAACTTTACTTAAATTACTATCATAACATAATTTATGGGTCCGGTTAATTAAACTTCAAGATGTAAGGAAAAAAATTTTAATTGGAAAAATTGTTTGAATTTCTTTTAGTTTTTCCTTTTATTATTATTATTATTATTATTATTATTATTTATTTCTAGATTTTGTATACAACCTTGAACTTCTTTTCTCTCTTAATACATGAATTGCAGTTAAAAATGGAAATCTACTTACCTGTAATTGGGAGTAAAATGGTATGAAGAATTGTCGATTTGCCATGGCTGGGTAGTTGAAATGATATTTGGATTGGCACCCTGTATCTGTGGTGAAATTTAGTTGAAAAGAATTTGTCCGAACTTTAGAAACTTGCTGGGACTTCAAATTCAAAATTTAAAAGTTAAGAGTTTGCTCATTTGCTTTTGTAGCGGTTTTTGTATCCAGTCATTTTGAAAGATTTATAATACTTTTTCAATCATTGTTAAGATTTCATTTATGATTTTGATTTGCAAAACATTGAATGAGAAATATAATTCTACTGTGCCCTTGATTGACTTATTTCGGAGGTCAAGTATTGCATCATTCAGGGATCGATCTCTCCAACACACACACACACACACACACACACATATATATATATATATATATATATATATATATATATAATGTTCTATTTCATTGTAACTAGCAGTTAGTGGCAATTAGTTGACAAGTACCATCCGAACTAAAGAACGAAAGAGAAGCATTCAGAGATTGTGGAGTTATTTATATATTTCTGATCTTCTACTTTTTAATTTTGGAGTCATTAAAAAGAAAAAAGAAAAAACCTATGGAGACTGCTTTATTTATTTATTTTTCTTCTGATGTGTTTTCATTAGAATTGTGCAGTAGGAAGGTGTGTGTCACCTCCTCTTTCACCACTTGTAGTGACTCTTTACTATTGATATTTAGAAAATAATATGAGGGCCTTTGTAATGTGTAGTTTCTTGTGTCTTGCCTATATAAGAAATATTCCGTATTCTGTATTATTTGTTTTGCCATATCTGGTCATATTTTTACAAACAATCCTACATTTAAATTCTTGGTGAATGACTTATTTGTCCTAAGATATTGGTTGGGTGCTAAATTGACATGATTTTATCAATTTAATTCTTGTCTTCTTAAAGAGATGTCGTTGAGGATTCTGGTAATGATTTATTTGTTGTATATGCTTAATTTGCCTTTTTGTTTTTACTCTAAGTTTTCTAGTGCTCTTATTCCTTCATCCCTATGCCTATAAGGTTCATTTCCTGAATCTCTGCAGGACACTGTGAGAGGTGGGGGGGCGGAGGTGTCAGAAGATGGAATAATTGAAACATTCAATAATGATGACGAAGCATTAGATGCAGTTGATAATGGCGTTGTGGTGCATACCTGGTTTTATTAGATTTACTTCTATTATCATTCCTCCTTGTATGCTTCTTGATGTCTCCATTACATTTTCTTAGAAGGAAGTAAAAAAGGCTCTATGTTTATATGAGCCCCATAATAATGTGCATCTCCGTGTTTTCTCACCACGAATTGAAATTTTAAATTCAGATATAAGTCTCCACCCTTACTAGTTCAGTCTTACTAATCTCATTCAGTTGAGACCTGATTTAATTCAGAGTGGTTAATAAAGAGCATGCAATTGCCAAATATTTGAACATTACTAAAGAACATGCAATTGTCACAATTCGATAATTTATATTTGAAAGGAGTGCCTGATATAGGACTTATCTTTAAGCCTTGCAAAGAAATTGGATATTGTTGTTCTTACAAATGCTAAATGAAAGGGAAACAAAATGGACAGAAGATTTATATTAGGGTATTGTGCATATGTAGGAAGTTATCTGGTAAAATTGAAAGTAAGATGCAAAATGTTGTGGCAAGATCAACTTTTGAAGGTGATGCATGGATTGCTAGTGATCTGGTTGGTGTATCATGAGAGGATGAAACATTTTAAGATAGATTGCCATTCTTATTATGTGAGGGAGTTAGTGACAAGTAAAAATGTAGTCACTTTTTATTTTCAATCAAGAGCTCAATTGATGTATTTTTACTAAGGCACTAGGAAATACCCTTTTTTATGAATTATGTAACAAGCTGCGCATGATAAAACTCTGTTCCAACTTGAGGTTCAGTGCAGGGATTTTACTATAATGATTTTAAGTGTTGGGACCTTTATTCTCCTTTGTTTCTTTCCTCTTTTCTTCTCTGCAGCCATAACAATTTTTAAAGCTAATCTGCCTAAGATTTCATTGTTTATAGTTTATCTGCAGATCCAGGGTATGTTGCATGACATAACAATTATATTTGAAGTCCATGTCTAGGTTCGTTTTAGTTTGTCTACTAGCTTCATATCTGAAAATGTACCATATCAATTCTTTATCCTTTTATTTTATTTTATAATTATTAGTTTTTGTGTGTGTGTTTTGGGTTTTTTTTTTTTTTTTTGGGGGGGGGGGGGGGGGGGGGGGGGGGGGGGGGTTGTCTGGAAAGTGCGCTTTGTCTCAGCACTCTAATAGCGTTTATCTGCACTAAGTGGAGCCCGATTTCTAGGGGCATTGCCTGCATATCTTATTGGATGATAGTTGTCTTTGAACTGGTTGCTTAAATGACCAATTTTTTTTTATGTTTTAGGTTGTGGACCTTTCACATTATGGCCGGATAAGAGGTAAACTTTTCCCTCTTGCACTTCCTATAAATGAAGCAGGTCACCTTATGTTTTATCACATGTGACTTGTATATATTGATGATCAGGAAATCAATTATGCTTCTAAACAAGACTTCTGATAGTATACTATGTTTAGATATTCAAAATTGACAATGTGTTTCATGATTATATTAAAGGCATCTATAAATGATAAATTTTTTCTTTTTATTTTTTTTTCCTGAATAATAAATTTTTGCATTAGGATCTATGGTTTTTTTTTTTTTTTTTTTGGCAGACCATGTGTTTTGATGACAAGGTCTCTTATAATAACACAACTATCAACTATCAGGTTTTGCGGCATATTTGATATGTGAGGTGGGTAGGGGACAGGCCATTCATTGTATCTCATCTGGAAGCACCTTTCATATTGAATTAAAACTGTTTCTTTTAGGATGAGTTGATGCATGATCAATTATGCTATCTGTTTTTTAAATAGTCTGATTTTCTCAGTGATCAAGTCAATAGGTTCCTGTAATGGAGTGAAGTTACATAGAAATAGGAAAGTGATACAAGAAACGATACCGGAGAATTTATGGATAGTCACCGTATATCAAGGATTTCAATTATTTTCGACCATCTATTAGAGAAGTCTGACACATTCCTTCATACTTTTTTTTTTTTTTTTTTCAATAAATGGAGAAGTATTGTTGCCAGAAGTTTCTTCTCTAATAGTCTATGGGATGTGCATCTGTGGAGTTGTGTCAGAGAGAGAGTGCGCGCGCGTGTGTTTTGGTGGGGCGGGGGGGGGGGGGGGGGGGTGTTTCGCAGAGAGTTGGGAGACTCCTTTTTTTTTTCAAAAAAAATCATCCTTTTTTCTTCAGTCAGTTATTGTGACAAAGCGAAAGAAAGCACATTGGAAGTATGAAATCCTGAGGCATAGGTCATAACTGCTATGTTTTTTATAGTGTAATTCTGAACCGTGTCAGTATAATACCTAGTGTGCAGAATGCTTTTTGGTAATTGTTAGTATAGTTCTATGATGCTTCCATTTTGCATTTTGAGATGCTAGCTCATAATTGAATTTGGAATGTAGTTATGGATTTTTACTTTGTTCCTTTCTGCAGCCAAGTGTCAATTGTAGTGTTCTGGTTACTTTCCTATTGGGTTTGTTCTGGATTTTCCAATTAGACCCCTCAATTGAGTCCTTACGGATTGAGGATTTGAGGTGCAATGGTATTTAATTTGATGCACTTTTGTTTTCTTCTATATTAATTTAATGGGTTTGATTGACATGAAGTCAACGGAGAAGACCGTATTCAGTTTCTTCATAACCAAAGTACTGCAGATTTTGAATGCCTTCGGGAAGGACAGGTATTTTGTGGAGATTGAACTTATTCTTCTTTAAATGTTTGATTTTTTTCCCTCCACAGTTCTGTTCTACTGTTGATATTCCTAGAAGGTTAAGGAACAGGATCTAAATATGGTTGAAACATGTAGGGGTGTGACACTGTTTTCGTGACACCGACAGCTCGAACAATAGATATTGCGAATGCATGGGTTATGGTAATCCTATGCCATCATCTTTCATTTATAACAATTGGCTTTTCTATATATGCTAGTGATGATATTACATATTACTTTTTTAATAAGAATTTTACATTCACAGAGAAATGCAGTTACATTGGTGGTCTCTCCGGTGACCTGTGGAAGCATAGCCGAAATGCTTAGGAAGTATGTTCTTGATATTCTTGTAGATTCCTTTATATCGTCTATATATTGTTTGGTTTTTGATCTCCTTAGCTTGGTTCAGTCTTTTTGGATGATATTCAGTTTGCCACTAACCCCACTTTAACCAAAGGACAACTTTAGAGGGAAGGAACTTCGTATCTCCTCCTTCAACTATCTACCAATCTTTTTGCTTCTACTGATGTGGCGTCTTTGCATGCCTACTCAAGTCTTAACTAGACGGCTGTGTGAATGGGGTCAAGGGTCCTGAAATTATTGAACCTTTGTTTCTTCCAGCATCAGCAGTTCGGCACTATCTCCTATCTTCAGAAAAAGCCTTGAAACCACTTAGAAGAGTCAAATTTTCAGCAAAATGTCTTGCACTCACTTGAGAGCATCTTACTCATATTAAGCACTGTTCAAAAGATTATTAGTTTAAAATTTTAAACTAGCACTATAATAAGGACAATTAAATTGTTAGCTATATTAATTTATGGAGATTTAAGTTGGTCTATTGATTTGCTATATATTGATACACCACTATCTGGGTTTGATAAAATTCTTATTTGCACGATTTTGTAACATTTCCTTGTTACCTTGTAGCATATCGGAGTTTGGTTTTAAGCTTTCATTATCCAGACTGGAATCAATTTGCTAACGTATAAGACAAAGCCTTTAAATTTTGGCATGGGTGAGCGGCTGAGTTTATTCTTTTTCCAGATAGGTTGGGGGTCATTAGTGACTGCAGACTTTTCTTGGGTGATTGCATAGGTCAGTGGGGGAGAGCAGTTATGAAAACAAATCTACTGAGGATTAGATCTTGAAATGTTGTAAAGAAATCAAAATAGGCTATGTTGTTTCTTGCCTTTGCATAGATAATCCTCAAAGTTGTGTGAAAAGTTGAAAGCGGCAACTTCTTACCTTTGTGAGTTACGAGTTTTAAGTTCCAATCAAAGAGTCCTAGCTCCTATCTTAAAGATTTACGGTTTTGGAAAGTTGGATAAAATTGCTATTAGACATTTATGCTAGATTTTTTTAATGAAAAAATATCACTTAAAGAATATTAAATGATTGATCAGTTATGGTGTGATTTTGCTCACAAACATATCAATTAATTTTTCTTTTCTTTTTTTCATTATTTTTGCTGTTATTAGTAAATGTGATCCACAACAGATATATTATTACACTCTCTGAACAAAAGAATAAAGATTAATTTTTATTTTTATTTTTTTTCCCCTAGTTGTTACTCACCTCTCCCCTACCTCCTTACCCCCCAAGGAATTGTTTGCCCCCAAGAGGAGTCGAACCTTAGACCTGATGCTTCAAAAAATGTTTGAGCTAAAGAAGTGAGTGCAGTGCTCCAACTTCTTGCTAAAAGGACTGCATCACTTGATATCAATTGGAATGAAATGTAGAAGGAAGGGATTTAAGTTGAATAAAATTTAACCCAAGGATGTCAATACCTTAATTGAAAGACAAATGAGATAATATGGAAGTCACGTCATAAGGTGTATGAACAACACTTTTAAGTGAGAGGTCGTATGAAAAACATTGTTCATCTTTGTTTTAGAGTGGGGGGAGGTACTTTAACCCTCTGTACTGGTATATTAGGTTTCTAAGTATTACATATATTGAAGGTTTAGGCACTTTTGCAGTGAATAATTCTTGTAAGCTTATGGAAAACCTTGTATACTCTAGCTGGAGCCAGACTAAAATACTGTTCATCTATACTAAGAATAAAGTGAAATTTCTGAAATTACTCCTGAAAATAAATTGTTTTGAGCTTTCCTTATTCCCATGAAAGTTGCTGTATGTCTTAAATATTTTGTTGTTTTTATTTGTAGGTATATATTTTTCACCGATAACGTTGAAATACATGACATCACCAAGGAAACATGCTTGTTTGTACTAGTGGGACCTAACTCCAAAAAAGTAGGGGATGTGATGAAATTTTCATTGATTGAAGTTTTTCCTTTCCTTTCCTTCCTTCTTCTTCTTCTTTTTCCTCTAATCTGATTGTGGATGTTACTTTTGATATTTTGTGGTGCAAAAATAGGTCATGGAGAATTTAAATCTTGGTGACCTTCTTGGACAACCATATGGCTCACATAAACATTATAGTGTAATCTTCAAGTTACTTTCCTTTTTTGAACACCTTTGTGAGAATTATTTATTTTACTTAAATCTGTTTTCAGGTTTATTTTTATTGTTCAATTTCTGTGTAACACCCCCTGTTGAATGTGCATAAATGTCTTAATAAATTAATTTTGGTCAGCATGTAAGAAGTTTATAGGCAAGTTATTTACCGGAGAAAAAAAGTTTATGGGTGAGTTGTGTGCAGGCATGGCTATGCGCTTTGCAATAAAACAATCTATTTGTCTATTTATTTAGACATCTTTCTTCTTTCTAATGAACTTCTATATGTGCTTTTATATCTGTATCTTACCTCAATAGTTATCATTTTCTGATTGTTGTTTCGTTGTTGTTATAAGTTATAAAGAAATAGTGATGGTGGTGGTAGTGGTATTTTATTTTTTGAGCATCATATATCTAAGTTTTTGGATTTGCCTAAACTATATATTTATATGTATTATGTATATCTAATAAAGATTTTCACTCATGATTTGTCCAATTTGGATTTGCATGAAACCTTCCCTGAAATATGTACTTCTTGCTAATGCGAAGAAGTGAAAAATTTGTGTTTGGTCTGTAATTTTGAGAACAGTTTTCTGTTTTCAGTACAGAAAACTGAAAATAGAAAATAGTACAAATTTACAAAAAAACTCCACTTGGTTCAGTTTTCTGAAAACTCAGTTATAAAAAGGTCTGTTTTTAGAGAACTGTCTTTTATAGTTCTCTGAAAATAGATTTCTGTTCTCTGAATTCTTGAGAACTATTTTCAGTGTTACAAACCAAGTAGGCCGCACAATGTATAGTTTAGTTTATGTTTTTTTGGTCCAACACCTGTTTTTCAATTTTTAATTGGGGTGACGGTGAGGTTTGAACTCTAGACCTTTGGTTTTGATACCGTGTTAACAACCATCTATCCAAAAGCTTAAGCTTTTGGAGAGGGTGTAACTTTAATATTTATATCCTTCAACAGTTTCCGTACTTGTGCAAAACCTATAACCTCATTAATTTTAACTAGATATAAAATATTTTTAACAAGATCGAGTGTATGATATACATCTTTCCTGTTAACTTACGACTTATGAGGTAAAAGTTCATTAATTCTTTTGGTATTTTTCCCTCAATATTTTTTCATTTTCAGGTGAGTGGAATGCCAATAACTGTAGCAGTGGGAAATGTCATCTCTGAAGAAGGTTTTTCACTGTTAATATCACCTGCTGTTGCTGGTTCAGTCTGGAAAGCTATTCTAAGTCAGGGCGCAATCCCAATGGGTTCTAATGCTTGGGAAACATTAAGGATATTTCAAGGTCATTAATATCTTGATTTAGTGTTTTGGTTCATCTATCATTTGTTGATGCTTCTTAATATGCTTTTTGATAGATTTGAATGTTTGTTTTGTAGTTACTTATTTTTTTTATGTCAACCTGTTTTTCTGATATAGTCTCACATTCTCAATTAAGTTCTGAACATTTGAAAAAATGCATGTCATTCATATGCTTTCTCATTGACAATATAATGTGCATGGGTTGATAGGCTAGATTAGCCATGGTCCGTTGTACACAGTCAGTATCCATGCAAATTCCTTGCGGATAGGCTAATTTTGAAGGAACCATGAACCCGGCTTGTAAATAGAGGTGCCATCGGTGGTTGTAGAAATCCAAATTTTATTTCCTTCCCCGCGTGCTTAGAATTTTAGATCACAGGAGGAAGGAAGAAAAAGAATTCCAGATGATAATTTAATTGAAGTTTATAGTCTCCATCTTCGGGATAGAATACTGTGGTTTCATGTTTATATAGCTGTAACCAAATTAGTTTGTGCAGGAAAACCTGCTCCTGGTAAAGAGCTCACTAATGAATATAATGTTCTGGAGGCTGGTCTGTGGAACTCAATTTCTATGAACAAAGGTGATTTGTACCAGAAATCTCTTCCCAAATATATGTTGTTATGGTTAACCTAACACGAAAATTTCCTCAGGGTGTTACAAGGGACAAGAAACCATTTCTAGACTCGTAACCTACAATGGCGTCAAGCAGAATTTATGGGGAATTTGTCTCTCATCACCAGCAGTGCCAGGCAGCCCCATTACTGTTGATGGTAAAAAGGTGCAAATCATTTCATCCTCGGTTATGAATTGGCTAAGTTGAAAAAAGATAGGGAAGAAAAGTTTGTGCCACTGGAAAAGTACGTCTCTCCCAGCTAAAAGATTCTACCATTGACTTGGTGCATTCATGGCCTTGAGCGTAAACATTACATTCACATCTTTACCCTTTCTCAAATTCTCAGAATGCTGCATCAGGCCTTTTGAATTATATGCTATGCAATACCGTAGCTCAACTATTAAGCTTCCTACATTTTGAATTTCAATTTTCTTATCCCGCCGTTATTACCTCTTATCCTAGTTCCCTCTTTGTAACTTCGCGGGCAAGAAAAATTGAACAATTTTTTTTTTTGTATACTCGTGTAGGTTGGGAAACTGACAAGCTATGCAGCAAGAAGAAAGAAATCCGAGCATTTTGGTTTAGGCTATATCAAGAGGCAGGCTGCTGCTAAAGGAGACTCGGTAACTGTTGGAGAGAACGTTGTTGGAACATTGGTGGAAGTTCCTTTCCTTGCTGGACAGTGTCCGCCATCAAAGAGCTAGAATCCTCTTCGTCTTCACTTCTCCTGCAGTGGTCAAAAGTAAGTTAATGCAGTTTAAGTTGGCAATGTGACAAAGGACATAGCTTCTGCCCATGTAATCTTATGTAAACTTTTTTGATGCTCAACTTTATATCGAGTGAGAATTCTTTGGCCATGAAAACTGAAGATTTTCAAACATCAACACCTGTGTTTTGTGTTTTTGGAGGTGTAGAAGCCAATATTTCTTCTTCTTCTTCCTCATTTATTTATTTTATTATTATTATTATTATTTTTTTCATATGTTGTTAAACTCCTATCAGCTTTTTCAATTTACTTTAAAATATTATATATTTGTGGGACTGTATCTCCGTGTTTATGTGCGATGTGGGGTTACTATTGAATTGTAATTTGTATCAAATGAACCTCAATTTTGGAACGAATAAAATAAGTGAGGTAAATTATTCTCACACCTGAGGTTTGTTCAAATCACTGTTGGATGAAATTTTTTGCAAAATCATGACATCCTTTTAGAGAATTTTTTAGATGGTTCCACTAATTACAACTGAGCACACGCAAACAAAAAGTTGATTTTTCTTTTTAGAAAAAAATTCACATTTCCTACACAATTGTTCCAATATAATACTATAATCTCCATCCCTGGTTAGAGTTAATACCCTTGCTACTGTTGACGGTCATATAAGTTACTATAAAATGTCCTTCATGATGCTTATATCATTGCTGATGTAAGCAAAATAAAATTGTAAACTAAACATATATTTAGAATTGGAAATAATCTCTTGTTAGAAATTCATCCAAATTGACTGCTCTGAATTTTTCGTAATTACATTTTTGACATCCACTGGTCAATGATGCGAATGAATTTGTTACTAATAGATGATCAAGTGTTCGTTATCTTATATATATATATATATATAGTTGCTCATCATTATTTTTATTTTAATTGTGTATGGTATGCATGAAGCTTCCTCTATCCCTATCCCATAGGTACAATGTTTAAATCAATAGAAAACATTTTCTTCTATATGAATCAATAATTTTTATTACATTCCAAAGTACACAGCACTAGTATTAATAGCAAGAGTACCACTCACCTTTTTTATATTAATTCTGTATGGTGTGCATGAAGCAAGTATGCAGCACTAGTATTAGTAGCAAGATTACCGCTCACCGTCCGTGCCGCCACCACCATCTCTCTCCAATTAAAGAGTCTTCTTTTATCCCTCAAAAGGGTGAAAGAATCTATAAGACATTTTGGGGGTCCCTAATTTCACTCATCGAATTTTGGTAATCAACTTGTTGATGCTTAATGTCAAGCCCCATCTACTCTGCGGAGATGCTACGCCGACATGCAGGTGACAAACGAGTGATGAAGACTTTGCTTAGCTTTTGAATGGCATGACAAGACTTATGTTCTAAAGTGTTTTGCATCAGTGTAGAGCTTGTGAAATATTAGAAAGAGTTGAAGATCTTAGAATATTGAAGAGGTTTTAGACGTGTTGAGAAGATTCTTAAAGTGTTCGGAGTTTTGTATTGTTGCAAATGTCCAGAACATTTAGATGGAGTGTTCTAGACAGTATGCATGGTGTCTATAAATAAGGTGAGGGTCACAAGCTACAAGAGCATGTGTTAAAACCCGGAATAGAACTATTCTCCCTTGCCAACCAAAGTGGTGTGAGGGTTGGTGTGCGGAGCTAGGGTTATCAGCAGTGAGTGCATTCTGAATATATTAAGGCAATGTATAATTGTGAATATAGTTGTTTGAATGGTTACTAATTCCTATTTCGTTCTATTTGGCATTGGGTTTGTGTTTTAACAAGGAATTAGTGTAATTGGCGTCATTTAGAATGCAATAAAATTAGAGATACAATATTTAATTATCTCTATTTATATATTATATATTAAGTATATTAAGTTTAAATTGGTAATTCCATATGTTTAGTAGGGTAACTAATCCAAAGGTAATTTATTCAATAAATATGTATTAACATCCTTCTATCTATATCGTTTTATATTTTGAACCATACCAGAAATAACACAAATAATAAACAAGTATATCTTATAAACACAATTAATAAACAAGTATATGAAGTATACGTTATAAACATAATTAATAAACAAGTATATGTTATATTTTAGGTGGGATTGATCTCGGTTGATTAAATTGTCTATTTTAACCTCAAAACCCCACTGTTGGGTGCTTGTAGCTTAAAATAATATACACAGCCATAGGTCATATGGTCCCACACTATCTCATTTACCTTTTCAAGTGGGAGGGTGGCAAGAGTTCAAGTCTTTAAGCCATTCTTAAGTTATTTGTCAAAAAAAAAAAAAAAAAATTAAAATCACGCACATACACCTGAATTACTTGAACAAATTAACCCAGTTAGTGAGTTTCATCGTTACTTTGGCTAAGTAGCCAAATTGAATTATTAACCCAGATAGTCAGTTAGTTCATAATCAAAGTGGGATGTTCTTGTATGATGCATAGTTCTATATATATTTTTCTTTTAATTTTTTTTTTATATCGAAATTAATATTGGTGGTAATATCATTTCCTCATTCTCACAAGTAGAAATTATTAAATAATTAATGATATTGATTCCATAGTTTGAAAGCAACATTTTCAGAACCAATTTTAAGTTTGGCTTTGTTGGTTTGAGTAATGGGAGGATAAACACGACCTGATGCATCCATATATTGAAAGTCAACCTTGCAGAACCAACACTAATTCTTGAGTCTTCCCATAATCTAATTGGGAATAAAAATTAATGTTTTTATTCGGTCTGTATTTAGGTTTATTTAAGAATAACATCAATGAAATAATTGGTTAATGTTCAATTGTACCAACTAGAAAATCAAATGGGAACTACCTTAGATGCTGATACATTACCCAAAAAAATAAAATAAAATAAAATAATATACATATGTTTTATATACATATGTTTATGTATATATTCTCTTTCTCTTACTTTCCTCCATCCAATTCTATATTCTTCCATATTTTCCATCACTTTCCCACTAATTCACATAAGTTAATCAAATTCAAATGGTAGACTTAATAGCCAAAAAGGAGAAACTGAATAGAATTGAAATTTTTTGTGAGAATTATACTCGCTCGACTTATATTAGCGTTCTTCATTATAATATGGTTCTCGACCAAGTTAAACTTTTTTTTTTTTTTTGAAAAGTAAAGTTAAATAAATTAAGAATAAACATTACAGATGGATAGCATGAGGAAGGCGATAAATACAAGACTCGGCCCAATAAGAGCCAGCCCAACCCAGAGACATAACAGCATTTGCAACTAACCCCATATAACAGCCTCCAAAGGAGGAAAACATGACTCGAACCAGCCGAGTCAACAATCCGGCGATCAGCAATGACTGCAACAAGGTGTGGTTCCACCTTCTATCAACAGTCCGGTGGTTTGCGAGGTGGTCGAAGGACTGAGGATAATTTAATTGAAGTTTATAGTCTCCATCTTCGGGATAGAATACTGTGGTTTCATGTTTATATAGCTGCAACCAAATTAGTTTGTGCAGGAAAACCTGCTCCTGGTAAAGAGCTCACTAATGAATATAATGTTCTGAAGGCTGGTCTGTGGAACTTAATTTCTATGAACAAAGGTGATTTGTACCAGAAATCTCTTCCTAAATATGTATATTATTATGGTTAATTAACCTAACACGAAAATTTCCTCAGGGTGTTACAAGGGACAGGAAACCATTTCTAGACTCATAACCCACAATGGCGTCAAGCAGAATTTATGGGGAATTTGTCTCTCATCACCAGCAGTGCCGGGCAGCCCCATTACTGTTGATGGTAAAAAGGTGCAAATCATTTCATCACCAGCAGTGCATTCATGGCCTTTAGCACAAACATTACCTGCACTACCCTCTCTGAAATCCTCAGAATGCCGTATCAGACCGTGTGAACTATACGCTATGCTATACCATGGGCTTAACTATTAAGCTTCCTATAATTTTAATTTCATATATTTTTTTAACAAGACATTATTACTTTTTATCGTAATTTCCTCTTTGTAACCTGCGGGGCAAGAAAAATTGAACAATTTTTTTTTTATACTCGTACAGGTTGGGAAACTGACGAGCTATGCATCTAGAAGAAAGAAATCGGAGCATTTTGGTTTAGGTTATATCAAGAGGAAGGCTGCTTCTAAAGGAGACTCAGTAACTGCTTCTAAAATGTCTTATAGCTTCTTTTATCCCTCAAAGAGTGAAAGAAGCTATAAGACATTTTGGAGTCCCTAGTTTCGCACATCGAATTTTGGTAATCACCTTGTTGATGCTTAATGTCAGGCCCCCATCTATCTGCAGAGATGCTACGCGGACATGCCGGTGACAAATGAGTGATGAAGGCTTTGCTTAGCTTCTGAATGGCCTGACAAGACTGATGTTCTGAAGTGTTTTACATATGTGTAGAGCTCGTGAAATATTAGAAAGAGCCGAAGATTCTAGAATATTGAAGAGGTTTTAGAAATGTCTAGAACATTTATCTCGAGAGTTCGAGGCAGTATGCATGGTGTCTATAAATAAGGTAAGGGTCACAAGCTATAAGAGCAACCTGTTAAAAGCGAGAATAGAAGTTTTCTCCCTTGCCAACCAAACTGGTGTGAGGGTGGGTGTGCGGAGCCGTGTGGTGGCAGCGGTGAATACGTTCTGGTTATATTAAGGCAATGTATAATAAATTATATTTAAGCAATATGATATTAGTTTGATATGGGTTTTGTATGAATGTCGGTTTGGCTTGGGAAGTGTATATAGAATATGCAATATTTAAATTGAGCGAATTGCAGAAAAAATAAGTACTAAATAAATATTGAGGGGCTATTGATTGTGATGTTTCAAAACATTGCCACTTATGTTAAAAAAATATTATGTTTTATTCTAAAAAATGTAGCGTTATAAAGCCTTGCAAGAGAGTTTGTGTTTGTAATAACCTCCTTCCGAACATGTAAGGGGACAAAGAAGGCTCAAAGACAATACAATATTGCAAAAACATAAAAGATTTGGTTTGTTTGGATGTAAAATATTTTTTGGTTAATTCTACCTACAGCTCCTGACTTTTATCTATATTTCACTTACACATTTTTTATGTTTCATAATTTCACCTACACCCCCTGTCAGTAACCATAGTCTAAATTCTCAACAGAAATATGTGATTTTACTTTTTTGCCCATTAATTATATATTATTATTTATAATTTAAATGAAAAGACCTAAAGACCCTCTATCTCTCTCTCTCTACACACAGGCACATTATGTAAACGCAGGTGACCAAGTCGGACGTCGGACGGCCAATTATATCTTATCCAATGTACTTGTTCAATTTTTGATTGGTAACAACTATAATTTGTTATACTCCTATATCACATTAGATATGATCGTCAATATATATTTTAAATTTTGATTTTCATTTGATTGATATGCATATGGAGCCAAATGGGTCAGTGACGGAATCGAAATCAATCCCAATTGGAAAGGAAAACAACCTAGATGTAAAATGATTTGGGAGAAATCCCCAAAATTCTGGGACTGAGATTTGGTGAAGTTTCATTGAAAAATGTAGGCCAAGGTGTTGGCGATGAAGATGAGGTAGCTGACGCAGAATTCGGCCTGAGAAAGGACGATCATGAAGTCGATGGAGACCGGCCGATGGGTCCGCAGAAGGTGAAACCCAGGTTGCCGAAGGAGTTGATCTTGGTGAATCCGTGGTGGGATTCGAGTCTCCGGCGAGTGTGGACCAATAGATCCGGCTGTTGGAGATGGCGGCTGTGAGATAGATCAGGCAGCGACAACGGATCCGGCGGAGACTACTGGTACGGCCAATTGTGATGATCTCTGGAGCCGGCGAAGATGAATGATGGCGATGGTTGTAGCAATCGACGAGGCTGATGTCGTAGAAGTCCTGGGCGGATCCGAGGGTGATATCGGTGAGGGTGGCTGGAGGGGCTCCGCCGGCGCCGTTGCAAAATAGAGTGCCGCTGCAGTCGTCTTGTTGGGGCGAAGCTTGAAGCCGCCGCGAGCGAGGATGGGTTATCTTGTTTGGACGCTGAGAAAATGAGAGATTGTTGGATGTGGTGAATTGGGTTTTCTGAGTTTTGGCTAAAGAGAAAGATGGGTTTGGTGTTTTGATGAAAACAGCAGACACGGCCGCCATTGGAGGTGTTTTGATAGAGCTTTTAGACCTTGTCTCTGGTTCAATATATATATATATATATATATAATTTTTTTTGGAGGTAATTTACAGTTTACAACAACAATAGAGAGAAAGGCTAATTTTGTAAATTTGCATTGTCAATGAGGTTAAAAATGTCATTTCAAGTATTAGAAGGGTAAAATTGACCTTGTATCCATTTGTTCATGTTGATACCGTCAGTTATTTAACGACAGGGAGTAATTTGTTACATGAACTAAAACCTCAAGGGAGGTAGGTGAAATTATGAAACGTAAAGGAAGGGGAAGGGGTGTAAGTGGAATATAGACAAAAGTCAAGGGGTGTAGATGGAATTAACCCAATATTTTTTTATTTAGTTTTTGGTGCTTGGTTATCGTAAAATATTTACGAAAAAAAATATTATTAAAATTTAACAAAAATAACTTATTTATCAATTTTAGACAAAGTATTTTATATGCCCCGCTCGATGGACTCGACCTTAGCTTCAAGATAGGCCTTTGTTAAATACCAACAAAGTAAAAATAAAAAAATATTTTTCCTAAAAAAGTAAAATATTAGAGGGAACCTAAATGTAAAAATAACTTTGTTAAATGAATGTACAAAAATGTATAAAGGTTATAGTTGTGTCATAAATCAACATAGTAAAGTGGGCTATCGAGGTGGTGTTCTTTTCGTTTGATGATGGAGAAAATTGGCGCCCGTCAGCAAAAACTCTTCCTCATCCATCACTAGACTGGGACTCGTACCTCCATGCAGGACCAATAAGCCATGCAGTGGCAGCTCCGACTTGTAAATATATATATTTTGAAAAAATAATATCAAAAGAGATTGACAAACAATGATAAAAAAGGAAAAAAAAAAAGAAAAAAAAAAGAGAAGACAAATAGGTTGAATAGCAACGGAGTATACAAAAAAATAAAAAAACTAGATATTTGATTCTTTGTTGAAGAAAAATTGCTGAGGGAAGAAGAAGAAAAAATAATGATAATTTTTTTTTTATAATATGTTAATATTATATATTATAACATTATATAATATATTTATAGCATGTTATATATTACTATAACGCATATAATACACATTTGGTATGTTTAGCTAATGGATTATCAAATTCAGATAATTAACAAGTTATCTAGTTCACTGAATTTGGATGAAAATCTAATTACCGATGGGTATAAAATTTATGTGTTAGAAGTTTTAATTGAAACATAATTTACATTTTTATCTGTTAGTAATTATTTTCATATTTCAATTTTAATTTCAATATCTCTGTAATTTTTTTCCCCTAACTTAAAGTTTCGATCTGTTAATGAAAATCAATTTTTATATGAAAAGATGGTTAAGAAAAAAATAATAATAAATGGTTCGTGTTAGATACGAGATGGTTAATGTTTTAAACTTGAGTTCTAACAATATTTTAGAGTCAAAAAGTCAAACAAAATAATTAGCTGGGCCCATGAGACCCATGACTGTAAAAAAACTTTCACCAATTCTTATGAGAATTAACTATATTAAAATTTTATTATTTTTATATATTCTGAAATGCCTATACATAAATTTGTACTACCTTAATTTTAATAAGAGAAGTGCTAAACACAAGTATGCATTCACAGTCGCATGTCTGATTGGTTGAAAAATTTAATTATGGAAGTTGTAATTAATGCCTCTTTTATATTTTTTTGAAATTATAAAATTTTAACTTTTAAGTCTAAATTATCCTTTTATATTTCTTCTTTCTTTTCTATCTTGCTACCCTGCTTTTGTGTATACATAACCTTCATTCTTCTTTGCTTATCTACCTTATTCTTTTCTTTCTCTCTCTCTCTCTCTCTCTTTTTTTTTTTTTTTAATTGTTTTTAACTATATATATATATGCTCACGAATGGTTTTTCATTTGTCCCTCTTCTTTAGATAAAGAGATGGGAATAAAAATTTATGTGAATTGATTGCTTCTTTCCTTTTGTTTTATTTATTTATTTATTTATTTTTCAATTCTTATATATATATATATATATATAAATTCAATATATATATATATATATATATATATATATATATATAGTAGTTAACCATACTGTGAATAGATTGAAACCATACTTTTCTTATTTTATATATTAACTAAAACTCAAATTTTATAATATTACTTCTATTAAAACTCAATCTCATATTGTTATTTCAATTAAATTACATAAAATCAAATAAAAAATCTGTCAAGGTGGAACATATATATATATATATATATATATATATCTATATATATATATAAGACAAGTGAACAAAAAAAGAGAGAAAGAAAGTAAAGAATGAAGTATAGCCATATATATCCAATCAGGAAGAAAAAAAAAAAAGAAGTTAAATATATGTAAGAAAGGAAAAGAAGGAAGGTTATTAGATATAAGAAAGAGAAAATATTTTTAAAGGGTAATTTGATCTCAAAGTTGAAGTTTTATAATTCCAAAAAAATAAGAAAGCGACATTAATTACAACTTATTTTACAACTAATCAGATATGCGATTGTGAATGTACAGTCGCACAAAAAAATAAGAAAGCGACATTAATTACAACTTATTTTACAACTAATCAGATATGCGATTGTGGATGTACAGTCGCTTGTGCGACTGTATTTAGCAATCTTCTTTTAATAAATGAATGGAACAGTCGACAAGTTAATAAAACTTTATGATATTTGTGTGTGTGTGTGTGTGTGTTTTTTTTTTTTTCCAATCTATTAGTTGCGCATGGGTAAGATGATGTTAGATTAGTCCATATAAATAAAAGGAATAGAAATTCTTTTTTTTTTTTTTTTTGACAGAAAAAAAGAAGAAGAAAGAACACTCATAATCCAATCACTCCAATTGATTTTTTAATATATATTTTTAAATAATTAGGCAACTAACCGTAATAAAATACCCTACCAAACCAAATACGTTCGAAGAACAGCCGGTGAGCGCTTTGGTAACCGAGTTGCCTCAAGTAGGGCCGGCTGAGTCGACGGATCCAAATCCCGAGTCAACTCAACTCACCGGTGTAACTATTCCGGATCGGTTTGTCGTTAGTCGGCCGTCGTCCATCCCCATCAATAGCCAAATCCCATCCTAAATTTCTCTCTAAATCACAAAGAGAGAGAAGCAAGACCAAACCCAAAACTCCCAGCACCTCTTTCCTTAATTTCTCCCTTCTACCATGAAAATCTGAACAAAATTTTCTCTCTATCAGCAAAGCTCCTCTTTCCCCATTCAAGCCAGTTTTCCGGCGGCCGGTGCCTCTTCTCGCCCCCGTCAAGGTCTATAAATGTTTTGCGGTGAAGTCAAAGCTCGATACGTCGCTGAAGCAGCAAATGCATGAAGTCCACTCCTGAGGTCTGTGTTCTTCTGAAATTTTTGTTTATACTCCGTTTGGTTTCTTAGAAACTGAAGGAAATCATACGAAATTTTTGGTTGATTTGCGGTGACTACTTTCTTATCCTGGAAATATAGATTGAAATTATGGCTGACAATGTTGTTTTCCTCTTATTATTGCCCCCAATTTTCTCCGTAACCAAACAGAAGTTTGGGCTTTTACAAGTTGAATGATAGTTTCCTCGCTTACTTGGCTTAACTATTAGAGCAATAAGTTCATTGTGTGTGTATGGTAGTGCATGAATGCTATTGCTTGACAACCCTTGTATTCTATAAGTTGCAAGATTGTCTTAAAATTGTCTTCGGATGGCTATTTTTTTACTGCATCTATGTGAGTGCTGTAGTTTTCATTGTAATGCTTACTGGGGATATTTTATAGGGCAGAATGTTGGGGATATGTATATGAATTAAAATATAAGAATGCAAGTTAACTTTCATTCATGGCCTTTAGCGCAAACATTACCCTCTCTGAAATCCTCAGAATGCTGTATCAGACCTTGTGAACTATATGCTATGCTATAACATGGCTTAACTATTAAAGCTTAATTCCTATAATTTTAATTTCATATATTTTTTTAACAAGACATTATTACTTTTTATCGTAATTTCCTCTTTGTAACTTGCGGGGCAAGAAAAATTGAACAATTTTTTTAATACTCGTACAGGTTGGGAAACTAACGAGCTATGCATCTAGAAGAAAGAGATGGGATCGGAGCATTTTGGTTTAGGTTATATCAAGAGACAGGCTGCTTCTAAAAGAGACTCAGTAACTTTTGGAGAGAACATTGTTGGAACATTGGTGGACGTTCCTTTCCTTGCTGGACAGTGTCCGCCATCAAAGAGCTAGAATCCTCGTCTTCACTTCTCCTGCAGTGGTCAAAAGTAAGTTAATGCAGTTTAAGTTGGCAATTTGACAAAGGACATAGCTTCTGCCCATGTAATCTTATGTAAACTTTTTCGATGCTTAACTTTATATTGAGTCAGAATTCGTTGGCCATGAAAATTGAAGATTTTCAAACATCAACACCCCAACGCTCTCAGGACCGATCTAGAAATTCATACAATGAGGTCAAATTTATATAGAGGGATTTTTTTCGTTGAATTGTAATTTGTATCAAATGAACCTCAATTTAGGAACGAAAAAGATAGGGTAAATTATTCTCACACTCTGAGGTTTGTTCAAATCATTGTTGGATGAAATTTTTTCAAAACCATTATGACAATCGTTAGAAAAATTATTAGATGGTTTCAACTAATTATTATTGAGCACGTAAGTAAAAAATTGATTATTATTATTATTATTTTTAAATAAAAACTTGCACATTTCTAACACAAATGTTCCAATGTAATAACTTCTCAATCCCTTGTCAGAGTTAGTACCTTCGTTACTGTTAACGGTCATATAAGTAACTATGAAATGTCCTTCATAATGCTTATATCATTGCTGATGTAAGCAAAACAAAATTGTAAACTAAACATATATTTAGAATTGGAAATAATCTCTTGTTAGAAATTCATCCAAATTATTAGAAGTGAAGTGGACTGCTATGTATTTTCTGTAATTATATTTTTGACATCCAGTGGCCAATGATGCGAATGAAGTTCTTACTTATTCATGAGCAAGAAATCATTATATATATATATATATATATATATATATATATATATTATATTCTAAGTTGCTCATCATCATTTTTACCTTAATTCTTATGGTGTGCAAGAAGTTCTCGGCTCTAGAATTAGTAGTAAAATTTTATCCACTGATTTAAATAAAAAACAACTAATAAAATTATTTTTTAAGAGGTCCAGAACACCACAATTTATATAGTTTTTTTTTTTTTTTTTTTTTTTTTTTTTTCTTTTAGAAAAATTCAAGTCAATTTATAAATATTAACAAGTGTCCATACACAGGCCAAACGATAGTAAGCCGAAAGCTAAACAACCAAAAAGGGCCCAAACTTAGCCCAAAGGCCTACAAGGCTAAAAGGCCTACAGGGCTTAAAGAACCAAAACAATTATATATTTGTTACTGAAGTCCTCAAATCCAGTGATCATGGAGGATGACTCCAGCATCCGTCGACGGCTGTCAATGTATAGTGACGTCTGGTGTAATGTTTGTGATTTTTTATATACTTATATATATATATATGTGTGTGTGTGTGTGTGATGGTAAATTTTAAAAAGAAAAGAAAAGTAAAAGGAAAATGGTTTTTGGTGGTGAGACCTATCACTATTTTTTTTTTATGTGGTCAAGAGGCTATGTTTTTGGCCTCATTTCTTCTTTTTCTCTTCCTCTCCCGTAGGCCGCCTCCTTCTCCTTCTCTTCTTTTTTTTTTTTTCTTTTTTTCTTTCTTCTCAAATTTCAAGTTTTGATTAATTCCCAACCGTTAGGAGATTTTTGGTGCCGTTTGCAACAAAACGGAGAACTCAGCGAGATCTACGCATGGGTGTAAGCAATTTATCATTTGGTGCACCGTAGGAAGTTTGAAATCTAGAGTTCAAATTGGGAGTTTTCATCATTTTGAGGTAGAGGTGTTCTAATATACAATATCTTGAATTTCTTGTGAAGTTTTCCTTTAATTAGACTCTAAGCATACTTAAATTTAATTTTTTCTTGATTATGTTTGTTGTGCTTGTTAGTATCTAAGTGATAAAGGCATGCTAGGTGTTAAGTGAGCTTAGAAGTATGATTAAACCTTTTGTGGTGAATAAGCATGCTTAGTGTTGATGTATTATATGCCTATATTTTCAAATTGCTATGAAAAGTGATGTAGTAATTATGAAAATGAATAATTATATTTTATACTTTATCTATTTAAGTTGTTGGATTTGTTAATTGAAAGTATGTAAAATGTCATGATTTAGAAAGTATGAAAATATGATATCGTGTAGGAATTCATATTTTAAGCATGCTTGAATGATGTGGATGAAATGTAGGAAATTTCTATATTGTCATGACATTGAAGGATTTGCATAGTTCATGCTTTATCATTGAGAAAGTAGAAAGGAAAAAGTTTGTTTTAAAAACAAATAAAATTATTTTTGGAAAAAAGTTTTTGAAAAGTGTTGTGAAAACCTGGATGCCTAGGAGGCGCCTAATGGTTCATGGTGTTAGTGTGATCTAGAGGTGGGCTAGAGAGAGATTCTAGTGTGGTTGAGCTACCTAGACCCAGACGACGCCATGGAGGTGCCATGTGGTCGGGAAAAGCTAGCCAACCCCTCTCTCGTGACGCCTTAGAGGTGCCTTGGGTCAGATTGCACTAACGATTTAGAGAATTGAAACGGTGTCATTTCAGAAATGGGGAGCTACATTGCATGACATGGCATTGCATTGGCATACATTGTACATTTGCTGGTTAGACGATTGTTGGTATTATCGTTGTTTTGCTTATTTTTCCCAAGACATGACCCCACTTACTTGTATTCTATTCCTTATGTGAATTCATGGGGTCATAAGAAGTGTGTCTTAGACATTTCCTACTGAGCTTATGCTCACCCATTTATTATTAACATTTTTCAGGATATGGAAGGGAAGTGGCGGACTACACTCCTCCACAGGGTTCGATGGGTTAGTGGACTGTTTTAACATATTTTGTAACTATGATCTCTTATTATTATTATTGCTATTACTATTTTTTAAAACCCCCAGGGTAACGCGTATATTATGTATTGACGTAAGAAAGGATGGTAGTTTCCTCAGTTGACCTCGGGTTCAGATAAAAACCCGGTTAACGATTCGGACCCTCGGGTTCGGGTTGTTACAATTTGATATAAGTGCTTTACATTCGAAAACCTAAGGACGACGGGTAGGGTTGACCTAAGTGGGACTTCAATTGATTTCGAAGTATTGCCTTTTAAAGTGTTTATTGTTTTGAGCAGCACGCCTACTTGTTACTTGCTTATATGTTTACGGTTTTGAAAAATATACTTTTTTGATTAGTGTTCACATACTTACATGATTAGATGTTAAAAATATGTGTTACATGGCCACGTATGTGGAATATTTATGTGATAATGATTGAAAACATATTATACGTGATATGATGGTAAGTAGTGAGTATGGGTTATGACATGTAAGTGGTGCATGGTAATGTGATGGACAGTTGAGCACAGGTTGTGTAAGTGGGTATTATAGGAAATGATGATGGGGATGGACGGGATGTTTAATTTCGCATATATACTCATTGTTTAAAACTTATGTGATAGGATACGGTCGTTGTAATATCCTTTTAAAAGGATAGTCTCGGTATTTATTAATTTGTTTTTATTGCATTTTTAATTGTTTAAATTGATTATTTGACTAATTGCTTATGTGTTTAATTGAATTAAGCGTTTCTTAATTAATTGGTTATTTGGCTATGTGTTATTTGTATTATTTGTTAATTTGATTATGTGCTTAAATGATATATTATTTGTTTAATTTGATTATGTAATTAAATGATGTGTTTGATTAAATGTTTTATTTTATTTTATGGTTATGGTTAGTAATAATGGGCCAATCAATTAGGTCTCATGGACTACTTGGATAAGAGGTTTGTTGGATATGGATAATTACGCATGGATAGTTATATATGTATATATATAGATATATATGCACGTACATATATAAAAGGGAAAGTAATTTATTAATTACTTTTATGGTAACTTTAGTATTAATATTTAATTGAATTTATATATTTTATATTTATATAATAAGAGTATACATAGATTTTAAATGTATCATATTTTAAATTACCTTTTAATATTATGGTAACCTAAGTGTTATTAAATAATTTGTTAATAAATAATTTGATGTATATATTTTATTTATTTAATAAGAATGTACTTAAATTATAAATGTAATATATTTTAAGTGACCTTTTCAATATTTTATTTTTATTTTTATTTTCTTTATTACGTTGATTTGGATTGGGAGAAGGAATAGGGTTATTATTTAACCTATAAATATATAACTATTAGTTGTAAAAGGGGGTTAAAATATATCACGTAATATATTTTAGAGAGAGAGAGTTAAAGAGAAGAGGAAAAGGAAGGAAGGATGAGAACAATCTTTAGAGAAGAAAATTAAGGAAGAAGAAATTTAACTTTCGATCCGAAAGTTTAATGCATGTTTTTCTTCTATCTCTTTCCCTTTGATTCGTGTTTCTATACATGCCTAGAAAATTTCAAGATGCTTAAACATTAAAATTAAATAATTATATATGTTTAATTGGATTAGAACATAGATTTTATGAATTTGGTTCATATTTGTTCTTGTTGTATGAATTGTTAAATTCATGGATTTCATCTGGTTTCCTTTATGAATTTTTACATGTTTAAATGATGTATTTTCATATCTGTGGATTGATGGAACTTAGAAACATACCTAGGAATCCTTAAACAATAAAGATTGAGATCACAATAGAAATTCTGGGCAAATTCGTGTAACAATACTCAGTCCGTTGTTACAGTGCTCGAGCCTTGGAGGCAAAACTCGAGCCATAGATGTAAGGCTCGAGCCTGAAAAGTAAAGCTTAAGCTACTGGAGAAAAGCTCGAGCTATGGTTAGGAAGCTTGAGCCTGAAAAGAAAAGCTCGAGCTTTGGATGTAAAGCTCGATCCTGGGATGTAAAGCATGAGCAACAGACAGGAAGTTCGAGCAATTAGGACAAAAGCTTGAGCCTTACCTTGAGAATTTACGTAAAAGCGTTTAAATTAATCTCAATTACTTTTGAAGGGTCATAAGCATTAAATAAGGACTAAGAATGAGTTTAAATAAATTTTAAACAAACTTAAATGCAACAATGTATGCTATTTAAATTCTTGGAGGAATGAATAGATTTAATCTTTATTTTGTTCTAGCAATTAAGATTAAATGTGTAGCATGAATTTTATATGGAGAATGCTTACTTGACTGTATAATAAAATATCAGCATGTGTAAGATTCAGTTTATGTAAGATATAAGATGTAGGAAGCTTAAAGAAGTATTAAGTTATTCTTATTTTGTGATAGTATGATATTCCATTATTATATTAATTGTTGGATTAATTGATGTATTATTGTATTTGTTACATCGATTATTGGATTGTGTGGATGTAGTGCACCAGTATGGGATGGTGGCACTTTATGGACGGATTAACTTATCAGTTAAGTTCTACCTATTTTGTATAAGGGAATGGATTAACTAAAATGCTAAATCGTATTTATATTCAAGTCAGGTCAGCTGAACAAGTTGAATAACTTATAAAGGATTACTTATACAGGATTAATTTATACTGGATAGGATGGTTTCTGGATTTTATGTATATAATTATGGTGCCATGATATGAGCTTGAGTCTCAAGATCAGTGGTTAGGGCGCGTATATCGCTAGGGATGTGTAGTTAGATATAGTGTAGTTGTGTGCTCTAGTAGGTCTAGTTACTCATGCCCACTATATGTGCGTTTTGCATGTTGCTACTATTCAGGTTGAGATAATCTTATAGTTTAGTGAGGTTCCTTTAGTGTGTATTTATATATATATACAGATTACTAGTTATTATTGGATTGACTAGGATGTATACGTGTTTCGAATCTCTGCTTGGACTATAGTAGAGTAGAACTTGTTTGTGTGCCTGAGCCACCATTATTCAGGTGTTCGTCAGGAGTAGAGGTTGTTCGTGCTGAGCAGGAATCAGTCTACTTCATTCTTCCGATTCTACATAGGATTCTTTTATGCTTTGTTCTTCAGTTGTAGACAGTTATTGCTGTCACTTGTTCAGATTGGTTTTTAGGGATCTACACAGTATGGATTCCCGAGTTGTATTAATGGAGGATTTATTGTATCAAAATGATTTTATTATTAATGAAAATTTATTAAGAGGTTTTATTATTGGATTATTCTTTTAGTTTTCTTTCAGCAAATTATTTATTCTTTTATACTTTGTGTTTGTTTATTTCCGATTTGTTTTGATATCCCCGGGCGTTCGGGTGTGGGCCTGGCCAATCCCGTATTCGAAAATCTGGGAGTATCATAGTCGTGTCAAGGTTTATGTCCCTGTTATTATGTATATATATATGTATGTCTTGTATATATACCTATATTCTTATGTGTATATACGGTCGAGCATGGGTTAATTTTGTGAGTTTTGACCTGAGTAGGCAAGGAGCCCAGTTACTCCAGGGTTGTTGGGTGTCAGTTCTTATCGAACGAGTGGCTTGGACTTCTGGCTCGTGGATTGAGTTATTCAGTGTGTAGTCATTTTGATTTTTTTGTTGCATTTTGTGTGGTACTTAGAGCGTGACTTTAGAACGGGTTCATATTTCATGACATGGTGTCTTTGTTGTGTGCGAGTTTCATACATAGGTAGATGGGTTCCTGTGACCGTGGAGGTCAGGTGTGCGAGTGAAGATTTCGAGGGAGAAATGTATGACCTTAGGAGGTTAGTGTTTGTGACTTGGGTCACGGTTAGGTGCGGAGGTTCTTTTCGAACCGGTCGTGGTAGGTGTAACAGAGGTTATTTGAGTCACGAATGTAGTCTATGAGTTGTAGACGTGTATTTCGAGTATTCTGGTACAGTCTGAGGAAGCATGTTGGTCATGGTTGTTAAAGGGATTGTTTGATTCAGTAGGTCTGGTGTGACGTAGGCATTGACTGGAGTCATGCTAGTGTTGGGTGATCGACTGTTTGATGTGATTTATTTCGTAGGTTGTAAAAGTCTGTTGTAGAGACTAGTTAGTTAAGGAGTGATTCCCATTTCGGATAGCTATAGGAGTGTGATGGGTAATTGACTCTCGGTAAGTTGATTGCATGGCTCGGTGGATGAGGGGAGTTATAGGTTGTCATGGTTGTCGAGAGAGTCTCAATGTGGTGTATAGTGTACAATTTTAGCTGTATAGTGTAGGATTAGACGATAAGGCAGGTATTATGTGGTTATCGGTATGTTTGGTGGTTGCAGATGAAGTGATAGATTGTAGGTACTGTGTTACCAAATGAACTGTGTTTTAGAAATTGTAAGTTGTGGACTGGAGTTGAACTTTACGCTGCGTATGGGGTATGAAGAGGTAGTGCTTGTTGTTTAAGGATTCAAGGAGATAGACTGATGATTGGAATGATTGGGACGAGGGTAATCCCGTAGGTCTAGTTGCTAGCCTTATTTGACTTTTGTCAAGATCAAGAGTGTTCTGAGGAATGGTGAAGAGAAGAGGTAATGATGTTGAACCAATGCTGTGAAGTTATCTTACTTAGGCACGTAAATTGTCTTAGGAAGAATGGTCGGAGTAGTCGATTAAGTGTTAATGAATGATTGTGTTGTAGATGGTTTAAGGAGACATTTGGATGTTGAACATTCTGATTTTTGCACTCATTTTTCCGTTGGGATTTAGCGGAATGGTATTGTCGTATAGAGATTCTTTTCTAGTGGCAAGTAGTGGCTGTTATAGAAGGTATCGAGATTAATGTTTATTCTTTCGTTATGATGATGTCATAGGTTGAATTGCTTGGTAGCGACTTGGTGATCTGGTTTGATGAGATGTTTTATTTGTCATTCGAGGATGATGGTAGTAGAAGTGTTATGGTGTGATGTTTAGTATTGATGAACAGAATGGTCTG